GACCTCTCGAACGTACCACTCAGTTGCACTGCCTGTTTTTGTTGCGCTCCCGGAGCGCTGAGAGTACACCGGGCATTTTCACGAACAATCCACCCTAAAGCCGAATTATCTTTCAATTATACGGAGCCTTTCTTTCCCGCTAAAGCTCCGGTGCTCTTAGTCGTTGATAGCTGCCTGAAAAACCCAAACTTACCTCGAATTCCCAAACTTGGAACAAACTATGGACACCAGGACCTATGTATCGGATTCCCTTCTGCGTCTGACGGGCGCCTCAGATCCTACTGTTATCGACTTTATTCTTGCGACCACATCCTCCGCAAAATCACCCACCTCGCTACGAGAAAAGCTCGAACCTTTCCTTGATGCCAGCGCTGGAGATATCGAATCATTCGTCTCGGAGCTATGGTCTCGAGCCGGTCTCAAAGGCAGTGCTGGAAAGTCGGAGAAACAGAACAAACCCGAGGATAGTACGAAAAAGAGATACCGACTAGTTGAAATGGAGGATGGCACGGTAGACCACCCGGGCTTAGGACCGACCATAGATGTGGAGAAATCAAGGCGCAGAGACAAATCTGAACGTAACGGCGACAGCAGACGGCAGAGTGACAGAGAAGACAAGAGGAAAAGGGACCGAGACGGAGAAATCTCAGAGCGTCACCGTTCGAAAAAGTTACGTCGGATCGACAAGAGGGACTTTGAGGATCGCTGGGGTGATGAAGAGATACCGGGGGATGAGCTACAGGAGCAGGAGCCAGTTGATGATCTTGTTGAGGGATCTCCAAGACGAAGAGGCCGTTCACCCTCAGAAGTCTCGGTTAGCTCTGATCTTGATGAGGAGACGAAACGAGAAAGGGCAAGACAGCGTGATCTTAAAGAGCGTGATGAATTTGCGAAACGACTAGCGAAAAAGGATGAGCAGAAGTCCAAAAAGATTGTGGAAGATCGTTCGTCTACAAAGGATAGTGATGTGGCGCGAAGGCGCGCTCTAGCCGAGGATGCCGCAGCGAGGGAGGCTGCAATGCCAGACCTCAGGCTTCGTTCACGCCAAGAGTACCTGAAGAAGCGCGAAGCTGAAAGGCTGGCGTTGCTTCGCAAGCAAGTTGCCGAAGAAACCGCTGAGTTGAGGGAGAACCCTAATTTGACTCGACGGGAGAAGGAAGATTTCGCGAAAAATCGTGAGGTCCTACGACTTGCAGAGGAAAGGCTGCGAATAGACGATCATCGTGATGGCTATATGCTACCCGAAGATTATATCACGGAGAAAGGGAAAATAGATCGGAAGCGCAAGGAAGAAGCACTCTACAAACGATATGTTGACAGAGATGAACGCGGTCAGGAACGGTTCATTACGGAGCATGAAGAGTGGGAGAATGAGCAGACAGCAAAAGCAAAGGCACAGATCACCAAAGCGGAATTTGTTGACGAGGGAGATTACGAGTATGTATTTGATGACGCCCAAAAGATTAATTTCATTATGGATTCGAAGTTAGAGGGTGATCGGAAGCCCCTGACAAAGGAACAACGATTATTAGCGCAGCAAATAGACGCAGCTGAAAAGAAGGCAGCGTCAATCGAGGAAACTCGCAAAAGCCTGCCAATATATCAGTTTCGCGACGAGTTACTGCAAGCCGTGGCTGATCATCAGATCATTATTATAGTCGGCGAGACGGGGAGTGGAAAGACAACGCAGATTCCTCAGTATCTTCATGAAGCTGGATACACAAAAGGTGGAATGAAAATTGGCTGTACGCAGCCTCGTCGAGTAGCTGCCATGAGTGTCGCGGCACGTGTCGCAGAAGAAATGGGAGTGAAAGTAGGCAACGAAGTCGGTTACGCTATACGTTTTGAAGATGCCACAAGTGATAAAACGATTCTAAAATATATGACAGACGGTATGCTCTTGAGAGAACTACTAACGGAGCCTGACCTTAGTCAGTACTCTGCCTTGATGATCGACGAAGCGCACGAAAGAACAGTTCCAACAGATATCGCCTGTGGTCTGCTCAAAGATATCGCGAAAGCAAGGCCAGACCTTAAACTGCTAATTTCTTCGGCCACTATTGACGCGCAAAAGTTCCAAAAATACTTCGATGATGCTCCAATTTTCAACATTCCCGGTCGCAGGTATCCTGTCGACATACACTACACATCTCAACCAGAAGCTAACTACCTCGCGGCAGCCATTACGACCATATTTCAAATCCATATTACCCAAGGCAAGGGCGATATTCTCGTTTTCTTGACTGGTCAAGAAGAGATAGAAGCTGCAGAACAAAATCTCCAAGAAACAGCGAGAAAACTAGGAGGTAAAATGCCAGAAATGATAATCTGTCCCATCTACGCCAATTTGCCTTCAGAATTACAGACCAAAATATTTGAACCTACTCCTCCTGGTGCGAGGAAAGTGGTTTTGGCCACGAATATTGCTGAAACCAGTTTGACTATCGACGGAATCGTGTATGTTATTGACCCTGGTTTTGTTAAGGAGAACGTATTCAATCCTCGCACAGGAATGGAAAGCTTGGTTGTCACTCCATGCTCTCGAGCATCTGCAGGCCAGAGAGCGGGAAGAGCTGGGCGTGTTGGACCTGGCAAATGCTTCCGGCTCTATACAAAGTGGGCTTACCATAACGAACTCGAGGCAAATACCACGCCAGAAATACAGCGCACCAATCTGAGTGGTGTGGTGCTGGCTCTGAAATCCCTTGGAATTGACGATCTACTTGATTTTGATTTTATGGATCCGCCACCAGCAGAAACCCTCATCCGCGCGCTTGAACAACTCTATGCACTCGGGGCTTTGAATGACCATGGAGAACTCACCAAAGTTGGAAGACAAATGGCAGAATTCCCCACTGACCCCATGCTGGCCAAGGCCATCCTTGCGGCCGATAAATACGGGTGTGTTGAAGAGGTTCTGTCAATTATCGCCATGCTTGGCGAAGCGAGCGCACTGTTTTACAGGCCTAAGGACAAAAGGATACATGCGGATAGTGCTCGAGCTCGGTTCACAATAAAGGATGGCGGTGACCACTTGACACTTCTCAATATTTGGAATCAATGGGTCGATTCTGACTTCAGCTATGTTTGGGCGAGAGAAAATTTCCTTCAGCAACGAAGCCTTACGCGTGCTCGTGACGTCCGGGATCAACTGGCCAAATTATGTGATCGTGTTGAAGTGACTGTAAACACTGCTGGTGCCAACAACCTTGTCCCCATTCAGAAAGCAATCACAGCAGGTTTTTTTCCCAATGCGGCACGGCTACAGAGAGGTGGTGACAGCTATCGGACGGTTAAGAACGGGCAGACTGTCTATCTGCATCCATCTAGTACTCTGTTTGATGTTAATCCTAAATGGGTCATTTATCACGAGCTGGTTCTCACAAGCAAGGAGTATATGCGAAGCAACATGCCTTTGCAGCCAGAATGGCTGGTTGAGTTGGCGCCGCATTATCACAAACAGAAGGATTTGGAGAGCTTGGGCGTGGATAAAAAGGTACCCAAGGGAAAGGGAGCCGTTGGAGAGAAAAGCAAGATATGATAATGTCCAAATATTCACCACATGTCTGTATAGTATTTAACTAATGATGAGTATTTACTCCGTATACCCTCAATTTTTAGGTGATATGGGCACTTCAGAGATGGAAGATTGATATTCCGTGCCGAGCCGCATTGTAAATACCCAGCCAATCAGGAGCTTGGATTTTCTGTAGCAATAGCAACCCTCTGATTGGGCAACTCTTTACACGTGACTGTGGGCCGGCTTAGCTAATAGGTGGGTTTCGTTACCTCGGCTCGGCGAACTGCCATCGATCGCGCGAGTCTCGGCCCAGACAAGCAATAATGTTCCATGGCATCGAATCCCCAAGTGAGGAGAGCCTGAAAGGACATCCACCAGCAGACAATACCTAGGCATTCACCAGTCCAAGTGGCTACTAAGCGGATGTCATTTTAATTATTAACACCTTGTCTGAGATATCCTTACCCGTTCTGTTTTTGTTCCCCTTCGGCGTTTTGGGACTCAGCTCTACCTTCTAAAACCCGATCGACAGACTGCTATCCTTAGAAATCTCCGAACCGCGAATTGTCTCTTTGTTTTTTTTTTGGGGTGTTTCAAATAAACGAGCAAAGATGTCGAAAACATTCACTCCCGCCCAGGTCGCCGAGCACAAGACCGCCGATAAAGGTCTATACATTATTGTCGACTCCAGCGTGTACGATATTACCAACTTTGTGGATGAGCACCCCGGTGGTGCGAAGATCTTGAAGCGTGTTGCTGGCAAAGATGCGTCAAAGCAGTTCTGGAAGGTTTGTCTCCTGATTTATTGAGCTTGAGTGGTCTGATCGGAAGACGCCGGGGGAAGAGCTCCTTGAAAGGATCTTGCTAATAGGATTGGTTGGTCTAGTACCACAATGAATCGGTGTTGAAGAAGTATGGAGCCAAGTTGAAGGTTGGAGATGTCAAGGACGCCGCGAAGTTATAAACGAGCATGGTGTCACAGAGTGCGCAAGTTTCGAATAAGTGGGTGGGAGTCAAACCATGCTTCCTGTGTGGAAGATAGGCGGGTTCATTTATGGGTTTGGACAGACGAGACGACGAGACGATACCTCTAGCGAAATACGCCTCCCTCTACAGACCAGATCCCAATGGCAAATTGAATTAGGACCCAGGAAGTATACGTCAGCTTCAGCCCAATACCGTCTTCGCACTTCCGCTTGCAGATTTTGTTGTTTAGTTGTCTGTTTATCGATAAACCGTGTTTTCTTTGCGAATGTTTCTCCAGCCTGCAGTCTTTTGGATACTCTCCGACCTACCCAACTGGGCGCTACTCACTTACAGGCCAATATCCTAGATAGAGAATAGATCTTCATATACCTTTCGAAGTCTGCATTGCATTCTTGGACAATCAGCCCTGGCTTTGGCCGAGGATGACTCCACGATAGGTGTGTCTTACCCGACACGAGTTGAGTCGGAGACCAAAATCGGAAAGGCGTCTGCTCCGCCCCCTAATGGAGCCGCAAAGCTGTAGTCAATGATATAAAATCGTTCCAAAGGCAGGCAACCAGCTCCTTGTACAGATAATTTTCTCCACAAAACGCTATAAAGAGATCCAACACAAGTGAAAGAATTGGAAAGGACTAAAAATGTCCAGGGAACAAGGCTACCGCGCTGTTCGCGCAAAATTTACCGCGGAGACCATCACAGTTTACCAAGCGTACTCTGCCGAGATCGCCTCTCCAGCTCTCCGCGCCGGAAAATTCGTTCCACCGTTCAAGCGCACGCGCATGACATGGATCAAGCCATCATTTCTCTGGATGGCCTACCGGTCCGGGTGGGCCTCAAAGCCGAACCAGGAGCGTGTCCTCGCCATTGAAATCTCCCGCGAAGGTTTCGAGTGGGCTCTATTCAACAGCTTCGTGAACTCGCACGATAAATCACTCTACCCGGACAAACATGCCTTCGAGCACAGGAAACAAAACACGTGCGTCCGAGTACAGTGGGATCCAGAGCGAGATTTTGGGTTTAGTCCACTGTCGTATAGGTCGATACAGATTGGATTGAGCGGGGAAGCGGTGGATCGTTATGTGGATGAGTGGATCGTGTCGATTCAGGATGTTACAGATCGCATGGTCAAGATGGAGCAGCTGGTTGCTGCTGGGAAGATCGAGGAGGCGCAGAAATTGATGCCGATCGAAGAACCGTATCCCTTGCCGAAGCAGGTTGGGGCAGCTGTGGGAGCGTCTTCATAGCGGCTGCGATCCGTCACTGCTGTGCTTTGCGTAACTATCTCAAACAAGGGTGTGGTTTCTGGTCTCGTGCACCAAAACATTTGGTGCAAGCAGGAATCTTCAATGGCGCAATGGTGAGCGATTATACATTCTCTTCGAAGAATACGTCCGTCTCTCAAGGGTAGCCAGCCAAAATCGCGAGACACGATTTTGAGCCTCGACGATTTTCGAGCACCAAAGACATGGATGAATGAGAATTAGATGGACCTTCGAAAATAAGTGTATAGTGTTGATTGTGATATTCCATGCATGGATTTGTGTCTACCTTGAGAAAGAACGCAAAGTGTTTGCGGATGCATGAGAAGCAACCCTAATATGCGGAGGTTGAAAGAAACCAAAGCCCGATTCTTGTAAGGACACGAATAGATGACAGCGGATCTCCGCGTGGCTCTTTGAATTTAAAATTAGAAGTACATAATATACAGCCAAACCTCCCACAGGCTAAGAAGAGACGACGGCGAAAAAAAAAAAAGAAAAAAGAAAACCTAGACCAGGGTGTATCAAAATACATAGCTACTAAAATAATAGCTCTGCCAGAACAAAAAGCAATAATAACCTGTTGGGGCTCTGGAGATGCGTGATGAACCAAGAATCCCGCCACTTGAGAGCCAACAACGCGGAAACGAAGCGATGTTATTCTTCCAAATCCAGGAAATACTCAACTCAAATGTTGTGCGACTGGCAAAAGATTCTCAGCGTACCAAGAGAGTCCGGATATTCCCAATAAAGTCAGGTCCCAAGTAGAAGGCCAAGGTGAAAAGGGAAGGGAGAAGGGCAAGTGGCTCCGGAGCCCCGTGCGCAAAGTCTAGTCAGAGTGGTGTCCATACGTGGTGGACAAATTTATCAAGATGGAATTGAACAAGTACTTTTTAGACGTGTGGTTTGAGGAAGGAATATATATCAAAATCCCTTGAACGGGTCATCGTGGCGGAAGAAGATATCGCTCCCATCGTCAGAGCGTGGGAAATCGGTGTCAGGACTCTGTGGCCAGTAGACAGGGTTCCTCTTCTTGCCATAATACCTGTTACGATAACCTCGCTGGCGAGATACTTCAGATCTGTCGACAAAAGCCTCCATTCTCACCGTGCCAACAGCGTCGAAAAAGTTTGGTGTTCCGGCATTGATGGGCCCGCTGGCTTCCGACGTTCGATGGCTGAAGCTACTTTGACCGCTGTGGATTCCGGGAGGGCCTATAGATGAAGGAGACTGGAGATCCGATGAGCCAGCGGTTGTCGCACTGTAGGTGGACGCCGCTGCTGTCGTGTGATTGGAAAAGCTTCGGAATGCATTAGGGACGGGTCGTGGAGCGGTGTTGCTCCTTTTCCTTGTATGCGATGAAAATCTCGGGACGTATGGAGGATCGGCGGCATCAGCAACGGGCTCATCACCATAACCTTCGATGTGCGGGACCTCCGGTACAGCCGCCTGCTGTACTGCGAAAGATCGCTTGGATTTGCCATTTGAACGGCTTTTGCCTTTTGCTACCCTTATAGAATCGCGAATTGGATTACGTCGGAGTGCAGCTGTAGGTTGCCGGGGAGTATACTCCTCCTGGGGCACTGGAGGCAAAGCTGCAAGATCAGTCATTGCCATCGAAGAATGGCTGAGGAAAGACAGAGCAGTCAACCAGATGAAGTGGAGTTCTATCGTCATGGCGGTGAATTTCAACGCTCTCTGGGGAGTCAAAATTAGTATTGAGCGGTTAACCTGGTTCTGTGGACTGGCACCCTTGGGCAGCGGGTTCTCATCTTTGACATCAAGGACGGATTGGATGACCACTTTTTGAGAAGTCAGCATGTAAAGAAGCACATGTTGGATCCTGCCAATCGGCTGCCGTGAGCACTCACATTTTCTACCACTCTTACCCAACAAAGCTGGGCCGCTTGTGGGCTGCTTGCTACTCCACATGATAGCACGCTCATACGGAGCCAGCCACACCCACCTCTTATGCCTGACACCCGTATTCGCAGCCGCTGCAGCTGCTTCCTCTGGGCTCTTGCCTGCTTCCCATCCGTCCTTTGAATTCTCTGGCATACCAAACGACTTTCTCCTGCGTACATACTTCCACATCCATCCCCCTATCATAGTCTGTGCAATAGCATCGACGACGCTCGTCGGTTGCACATTTGTGGCATTTGAATCCCCTGGAGAATGAGAATGCGCGCTTGAGGAGGGCTGGCGATTTGTACGTTTCTGCAAGCTTTTCTTGGTTTGAGCTGTTATCTCATCAAGGGGCATTGGTGGATACTGCGGGCTGTCTGGAGCAACTGATGATGTTGAAATGGTAGGCGGAGATTGATATCCGTTGGGTTGAGTTCGAGCAACGACAGCCGCTGATCGAGTTTTCCGGATGAAGCCATCTCCCATACGGTCTGACATGTTTCCGTTCCTGTAAGGGGTTGGGCTCTGCGCTCCTTCACTGCTACCTCTTGGTTTTCGAGAGCTGAAACGAACAGGTACAGGAAATGGAGGGAGAGCAGGGTTCTGGGTGCCTGAGCTACCAATGCTGGGAGCACTAGGGCTACGTGGACGAAATGACTGATGAGCAGCCGTGGAGCTAGAAATCATCGCAGCGCGCCGCATATCTGGTTCCTTGAACGTTGAAGCTTGTTTCAACTGAGCTCTCGCTGGCCGTTTTGCATTCGATTTACGTCGAGTGGCAGACCGATGGAGTTTCACTTCTCTGTCTATAGATTCCCTGGGAGAATATTGACCATCGTGTATTTTTTCAGGGTTATCGTTAAGGATATTGGGAGAGTTCTTGGAGACCAATTTCCCAGACTTCAAGGTATACGACGCCATTGGCCGGTTCAACAGCTCGTCATCACTAAATAACTCTTGCCGTTTTTGCTGTGTCTCTTCGTCGCTCATATCGCCAAAACCAGCAAAGAGGCTGCTCGATCTAAATGGTCGACGGATATCTGAGTGCTCATCTTCAGTAAGGGGGCCATTATCATTATTTCCTGGGTAGGCTTGATACGTGTCGAAGTGTTGCGTTTTGGTGATTCTGGGGGGACTTTCAACTGGTGGAGGGTTACGAAGTTTCCTTCGCGGCGATTTTGGAGGTGGAGGGAAGTAAGGGGAAACTGGCAGGCTAGAAGATACATCAGACATATCGGAACTGAGAGGTTTATCGGGCATAGCCGATGGTAGCAGCCCGGTTCGAAGGTTTAATGTTCGTTTATCTACTCGTATTTCTTCCGTTTGCATCCCGGAGCAACGAGTATTCGAGGGTAATTCGGAATCAGTTTGGGAGGCGGCAGATTTTGTTTGCGGCGGCAGAACTACGCTGCTCCTTGGCGATGGAGGATTTGATCCAGGAGGATGAACGGTGATTATTGGAATAGGCATCTGAAGCCGGGGCTGCACGGCTTCTTTGATCTCTACATCGTCGGTTTGGGTGCTGGCAGAGGCTGTTTCTGGTGTAGTTGAAACTTCGCCACTGGGTATTTCGGCTTGAGGCTTTACTTCCTCTATCGTTTGGCATGAGGAAGCTATCATCACAACAGGAGTTGTAGTTGTGCCTTGGTCCACTGTTTCTCGAGGAATAGTCGCATTTTTTGGGTCCTGGTCCTTTTCGACTGTGTCGGTTTCCTCCGTTTGCGTACCGCAAGATTGGAAAACGACCGGAGGTTTGTCGGGGATGAGCTTAGGAGATGGGGGAGGAGTATACTGAATACCCATGTCCTTATATTCAAATCGCATGTTGCCCGAGATTGTTTTGGCATCATCATCCATAACGTCGTTCGTCGCCAGAGATCTTTGGACAAGCATTTCAGGAGCATCCAAAGAGAGGCCTAAAATTCTCCGGGCTTTCAAGTCCAGTGGATGCGACTGATTTGGGATGTAATTTTCTTCAGGAAGAGTATCACGCGATTCTGGACGCTCATCCTCGGTGCTATAGCTTGTATTTTCGTGTTCTTCGTCAAACGCAAGCTCATCTGCAAGATTAAGGGCTCCAGCCTTTGATGCGTGACCATTGACTTGGCTCATGATAGAGTATCGGAAGTTTTGGAGATCTCCGTCGTTGCCAATGCTGGCAGTACTTCTCCTGTGTCTTCCTGCTGCACTGCTCGACCTAACAGTCGCGGCGTCGCTGTCTCGTGTGATGGCCCCATCTCGTCTATAGCCATCAAGGTCTTCTTCGTTCTCTGGGCGATTTGCGTTGAAAGCCTCCGCAGCAGCGATTTCGCTGAGAACAAGCTTCAATCGCCCTTCGACCACATGAACTTTTCTGTCGAGGTTCCGCCGCTCTTCATCCCACTTCTGCTTATCTTGGTTCCATAGCAACTGAGTCTGTTCAATTTGCTCTTCTTGGGCCCGAACCTTCTTCTGTGATACCTCAAGTCTCTTCCGAACATCAGATATGTTTTCCAAAGCCTCGTCTCTCTCCTTTGCTAGGTCCGTTATTGCCGAATTAGAGCCTCCTTCCAGCAGCTGTAGCTGCCGTTTAAGAGAACGAGTCTCCTGGGCATTCTTGGAAACGGTCTCTTGAAGTGATTCTGCCTCTGTTCTTGCATTTTCCAGACTTAACTCGAGTGTGTCGATCTCCTTGGTTTTACTTTCCAAGTCACGGCGCAACGATAATATCTCCGAGACAAGCGAGGCGTGTAAGGTCGGTGTAAACCTGCGAGGATCCAGGGGAGAAATTGTATCATCGTTTACAAGGTGTATGTTGCCTCTCGATTCTGCATCTCGGCGACCTGATGGAAATGGAGCTGGTGACGACGATGGGCCGGGAGAGGAATCTCTGCGATGCAACGAATGCCGGGAGATCGAGGCGGGAGGAGTTTTATAGAAAGAATCGGATGGGCTGGAAGGGTCCTGCGAGAAGTAATCCCGTTCGCTTTCCCAGTTGGTAGCCATGTTGCATCGAGATGAAGATCAGTACATCGCCCGTGATATTGTACCACTTATAACATCGAATACACGTGCCGGATGCTCAAGGCAACATGGCACAAACTCAACCGGCACCCTTTCTAGCTACTGATCAGCGCAGATGGCCAGTGATGGAGACACAAAACTCTTGTTGAACGCCGAAAATCGTGCGAAGTATAGAAAAAAAAAAAAAGGAAAAATTAGGTGTGTATATTCAAATACAGCGGGAGCTCAATTCAAGATTGAAAGCGCGAATGGCAGTATTTTTAGAAGTTCAAGTCTCGGGGGGCTAGTGCCAAAGAAGCGAACCAACGAAAGGATTCATTCAGGAGGCGAACGGGAAGAGCGTCATGGGGCAAGGTGAGAAAAGAACACCCCTGCGTGTTGTGCACAGTCAAATTCTATGTCTGTTGCATCAAACTGGGGAAGCAAAATTAGCACTTGAGGCGCGGAATAAAGCACCACCAGGTCTCCGAGGCGTAAGACGCGACGCACGAAGCTAGGGGGTTTGGCGAGCTGAAGATCGGAAGTAAAAGGATCAAAAAAAGAGCGTGCTGGACAAACTCCGTGAGCCATTGGTCGACCCGGTTAGGTCGAGAAGCTCCGGGTGGCATGCAGGCAGGTTGACGAAATCGAGGCATAACAAGAGCGCTATATACATATCGAAGACAGGGTTTGCGGAGGAGCAGGAAGATGAGAAAAGAAGGGACCTGACAGAAGCGTTGAAAGACTTACCCATAAGCCGTTTCTAGCTGATGTCGACTGAGTGAGCAGGAAATTTTGTGCCAGTACAATCTGGGAGCGGTTCATCGCAATAACGGAGGGCTGAAGGGTGAGTGGCAGGACGGGTAGCTTTCGAGCTGGATGGAGACAAACTTTCGCAGCTTGATGTTGTACACGAACCGGGACCCGCTCATTCCTCCTGACAGCGATAATGACAGGCCATTATGACTATTTCAGCCAGGAAGAATGTGGACGGATGGCACATCAACATTCTTCTGCTCGAATGAAAGAGAAAGAAGACATTCGTTCTCACCGAGCGGCCTCGAGGACGTTGGCCGTTGGGTAATTTTTTTCCTCCCCATTCGCCGTATCCAGGCTAGTCTCAGGGGCTGTATCGGTAAAGAAATACAGAGAGATACTCGAGATCCCGCGTGAGGGAACATCAAAAGCCCACCGGTAAAGTTCAGCGATCACCGCCGCTAGCCAGCCTCGATCGTTCATGATAAATAATACCTTGCCCTTGTATCCACCGGGAGCACTATCATTCACCTTTCGGGGAGAAAACGATCGACTCCTCGCGGGCAAATAGCATTGGGCACACGCTTTGGCGGCCCGGAAGTATGGAGGGGTTGGACCAGGGTTCACGGCGCAGCTCACCCGGAACCAGAGCCAGTCCCGCGCTACTGAGTTGAGTGACCCCCCAACACGACGCACTGCAGCGGGCTCTTGAGCCGTCGACGCGAAATAGCCAAAGCCTCAAATTGACTACGCTTCATTTGCTCTATCTGCTCACCGAACGACTTCTCATGCGATGAAAATATCCTCCTCAAGCATATCGCCACAGCCAAACCAGAAAAACAGCAGCGTTACCGTTTCATAAAAACGGCCATCGAAAACTCACAAACGCGGGTGGACCGTTGGACGCCAACGAAACCGAAAAACTGGGAATCGTGCGCTGGCTCCCCGGATGCCCAGCCCAGAACGAGATCTAGCTTGATGTTTCTCATTTCTTCGTCGTTTCTCACTCGTCCGTCACGGGCCTTGTGGCGACGCCTCCTTGAGCTTCGATGCAAGAAGGTGGGCCCGCTGTTGGAGCAAATTTACCACGCGCTGCGCAATACGCAGATGTACGGAGTACAGAGTAACTCTATGCTCAACACCTTACAAGGGGGAAGCAGCAACACCAGGAACATCGGACAGCTGACGAATGTCAGGGTCTGATTTCCAGCCTTCTGCTCCGCGTGGACTCTTGCTGCATGAGTCCCATCTCGATCGTCCCGTTCCAATTCTTTGCAATGAGATGCATCGCGAGACGATGCGTGTAAATAATTGACCGAGAAACCTCGCAAATGCGCTCCCTACGCACAGGCACTCTCCTGAGCTCCTCCGGAGAACATGCTTTGTAAAATACAGTTTCTCACCCACTCGTCGGCATGCACATGCGATGCGATGCGAGTTAAAATATGGCGGCTTGGCGCGGATACCTCCCCTGCAACTGAGCAAAATCCGATGCTGATCCGTCAGATTCTTCCTGAAGACGCCGTTTCCATGCGAAATAATGCCATTAGATGCCCATATGGGGCAACCCAGACTCCATTTCGCCTGCTATTTCTGTATCCACATCCCTGATCTTTTGTTGTTTCATCTATGCTTGGAAGAGATCTGCGGAGGTAGCCCTACCGGCACTGACCAAGTCTCAATCGGAAATAAAGGGAATAATGTGTTGCCTTGGGAGAAAGAAAGGCATGTCGCTCATTTGCCTTGGAGATCATGAAAGTTTCGGTTTATCTGATCAATTCCCCCCGGTTTTACCTTGTTTCACGCTAACATTATCGGGAAAAACAAAGAGCCCCAGTGCTCTGTATGAACATACATACATATGTATGGACTTCCCGCACTTGCCTCGGCGCGGTCGATGCATGGTTTGTAACGGCGTAGACCCGGCTCAAAGACGAGGCCCGAGCCCCGGGGATTTGGGTTCCGCGACACGCAACATTATCCCCTTTGCTCGGTTGCGATACGATTCTGATATTTGCTCCTTGGTTCCTAATCGATCCCTGAGAAAATGGGATCTCTCCCATTTTTGGACAATGTACTCCGTACGGAGTACTCCTCAGGTGAAAAGAACGTTCAACAAGGTCGATAAGGTCCAAGGGTCAAAACACTGCTCGGAAGGATTCGAAGACCGACATCCCAGCACGTTTACTATCCTCGTTGGCATGGGATTCCATGCGAGGCCCCCGTCAAATGCCAGAAGACCACTCCAGAGGAAGACGGACTTACCCCCTGAGAATCTCCCACTCCAACACATGGACGTGGTCCACGCCTCGAAATCCTCGGCTCTTTGACTGAGACGTTTGCTCTTCTACTTCAATGGGTGATGTGAAGACGGCCCATCCGTTCAGGTTTAACCGAAGAAGCACAAGGCACTGCCTGCATGCAGTATTCATCAAAATATGGCACCCAAATGCCGATAAAACGCCAACCATGCAATGATCTCCGAGAATGTTAGCCCTGGAAGTCAGTATTTTGACTGGGGTTTGACTAAATATTCCTCTTCGCTATTGAAGGTAATGGCGAATATCCAGGCCTCTCAAAGTAGCCTCTCCGCCTCGATCGAAGGATCGCTCTGGATGGACAACATTTTCTCAACGAGTAGCACAGAAGGGTTCTTCTCCTTAAACTTCCTCTTGAATAGACTGCTCAATGCATGCTTTTTCGGGAGTATGTATGGCTAGTCCAACACATTTCCGGGGCATCTCGATTGCGCCGTGTCACGTAAGTCATTTATTCCGAAAGCGGACCAAGGTGTTGTTTCTAGAATAGCCACACGGGTAGTGCCTCATAACCCCATCGACAATGCGTGTACTCCATATGTATTTTCATATCTGCATCAAGCAACCCCTATTCTTCCAGTATATTCCGCTGATATTGCCTTCCACATAGCATCGCATCCACTGCAATCACCCTCGTCCCACTATAGTTTAAGGCGGCCAACGTGCGCTGACGCCGGACTCCAATTATGCCACCACCCCGATGATTGTTAAGCAAGACGTCTGAGAAAGGATCAAAGCGGAATTTAAGCGCGGTGGCCAAGGGGGTGGGATGTGGGGGATATGCGGCCCCGCCATCAGCCGGATCGCAATGGAATTTTGGAATGATGTCAGAGGATACTATGTCATCGTATATAAAGCCTCTCGATGTAGATCGGAGATCATTGCCATTGAAATCTACTTTGAGAACCATCTAAAGAAATCCAGCGACGAGCAAATAGGCAGATTTTAAAGTGTGAGACTGTTGCGTTATTGAGGCATGGCTGACAAGGTACCCAATCCAACACCGCCATCACACCCGCACCACCAATTCAACCTTGAAAACTGTCAAGAATCCCCAAATTTAATTCCACTCTCCTATGAGAATTAGGACGCTCCTATCTACAAACAAGCCGGCCAAGACGGCCGTTTCCGCCGCCAAGTCGCCTCCTTCCGCTCCACCATCTCCCGCTCCCCCGGCGCCGATTTCCCGCCAGCAAAGGACCGCTACGTCCTCTACGTCACATACGGTTGCCCATGGGCCCATCGCGCCAACATTGTACGCTCCCTCAAAGGCCTAGAACCCATCATCCAGCTCGCTGTCCTCGATCCACGAATGAGCCCTGAAGGATGGCAGTTCACAGGCGAGCTCGGTTCCGCTGAAAAGGATCCCATATACGGTTTCCAGTACCTGAAGGAATTATATCTCAAGGCAGACCCGGACTACCAGGCACGATACACGGTGCCGATGCTGTGGGACAAGCAGAAGGAAACAATTGTGAACAATGAGAGTAGCGAGATTATTCGGATGCTGTATACTGAGTTTGACGACCTGCTCCCGGAGCAGCTGCGAGAGGCGAATAGGCCCGGTGGAGGATTGTATCCGGAACGTTTGAGGAAGGAGATTGATGATATGAATGATTGGGTTTATAATTCTGTGAACAACGGGGTGTATAAGACAGGGTTTGCGACCACTCAGGAAGCGTATGACGAGAACATCTACCCTCTGTTCGCATCGCTGGATCGACTGGAAAAGCATCTGAGTGAGCGGGGACATGGACCGTACCTGTTCGGGGAGCATATCACCGAAGCAGACATTCGGTTGTATCCAACGATTGTACGGTTCGATGTCGCATACTACCATACCTTCCGGTGCAACTTGAAAATGATTCGTCACGACTATCCGCACATCGATAGATGGCTCAGACGATTGTATTGGGACGAGTCAGAGAAGACAAACGGAGGAGCTTTCAAAAAGACGACTAATTTTGACGCCGTAAGCTTCTCTTTTAGCTCCCCTTTTATGAAAACAGTTTCAGAACCCTCTCCATGGCCGGAACTGATCGTGTTCTTTTTTGCAGTTTAAACTTGGATATCTGTTTTCGACAAACAGGCGAATGCAGGTCCCATTCTCCATTGTGCCTGCTGGCCCGGCACCACACATCCTCCCGCCCATCACAGATGCGTAGAGTGGTCGATCAACCTTGTAGCGTCGTTGAATTGATTTGCTGGATGTTAGCACATCGCAAAGTAGAAAACTGCAAACTAGTCCCTTTGGTAGCCTTCTCAATAGCTCCTCTAGGTCTTCATATGAAAGAGTGTCAACGGCAAGAATATGAGTACCAGACCTGTATGTAGAACAGGAGATTCCTCAACGAATCCATCATAGAATGCTTAATCACAAAATCTCCACTCACGCATAAATAAACACCATCATCACGCACCTTTGCCGTAAGGAGTCCTTCCACATATCACGATATGTGGGAAAACACCCCCCCAAAAAAAAAAAAAGAGGCATTAGGAAATGTGTCTCCGCTTCTGGAAAAGAGAGCTAGAAGAGCACGGAGGGAGTTAACCCTCATATAACCAGTTAACATTGATATAGCGTTCAACCTACAGAGCAAAGCGTCGTAAGAAAAGGCCCATACATTAATGAATCCTCGAAGCTGCCGACCGTTTGCACATGGAACTCCACAATTCAACCATTTGGCGAGTCGTTGAGTGCCTCCCACATCGCGATCGTCAACATACAAACTCCATAGAAGTTTCTAGCCGCGAGCATCAACGGCTTCACGAACGGAGCTCCACTCAAAGAGGACCCTGGCCTCTGATCTCGGGCCTTCAACCGCCGATCATCTAGCAGATCAAGTGATGAGCCCGTAAGCGAGCATACGAGCAATCATCGTCTCGCAATCTGAAAAAAAAAAAAGAAAAAGAAAAAAAAAAGAAAAAAGGGTTCGCACGGCCCAGCACCTGCTCCCCAGAATAGTCTTCCAGGGTTCTACAGCAGAAGTACACCATCCAGGACTTCTGAAAACAAAGAAACTTTGAAATGAAAGCCTCCCCAATCCGTTTTTCAACAATCGCTCCAAAAACCAGGGTAATTGCGGCCACCTCAAGAGAGCAATTGAAGGAACGAAAGGAAGGAGAAAAAAGGGCGCTTTATGTCGGAAACCACTCAGACAATCCCGAACGCATGTACCGAGTTATACCTTGTCGTGAGAAACAAGGGAGAAAAGAAAAGAAAAAACAAAAAGCGCAAGAGGTTGCGCCAGACTTTCTTGGTAGAGTGCGCCCCGGGGGCTATGAAGCAAAACGAGATTCCAGCTGCGAAAACACACGCGGCACAGGGACTTCGAGGTGAGAAAATGCGAGGTAAGCCGGAGAATTACACGCCGTTTTCCTCCAGGGTTGAGTTAAGAATGTCTGTGTCCCTTGTGTAGGCGGACACGATAGATGCAGCGTGGAAGACGACAAGGGACAGGGGCCAAGACGAGTGAGAAAAAAAAAATCTTTTCTTTTCTTTTTGTTTTTTTCTTCCAGCAAACTTTGGTGGCTAAAGGTGGGAGGGCAAAGAAAAAAGAAAAAAGAATAAAGAAAAAAGAAGGGTTCGCAATTTTCTGTTCCTTTGCTGTGCTCCCCGTCCACCCCACTCCCAAAACGCTCAAAGCTCAAAATACAGGTCCTTTCTCTCCAGGCCAAAACAGTTAACTAACGCACAACATCAGATGGGTAACATTAACCTTTCCGTGAATCGGACTCTCAAATCCAACCTGGTCAAGAGCAGCAGCAGCACTCCCAAGTCCAACATGAAGTAAAGTGTAACTGGGCGGCAGTCTGCAAGAGAAAAAAAAAAAAAAAAAAAAGGTAATTTGTCAAACTGACCAATGTCAAGAGGAAGCACAGGTTTGATCTGCGCTTTTCCTTTCCAAGGTCGCATTAGCGGGTGATACACGACGGGTAGATTTAACGGGCAGGTCCACCGCTCACCCCGGACTGCGCACACTCATCCACGTTTTTCTACTTGGCCATTCTGACCAGGGAACCCCAGACTGGCGTGGGTTAGGTCGCTGGATTTTGCCGGTTGCGGATGAAATCAGCTCTGCTTGATCTGTCTCACCAAAGGTCAGCCATATCTTCCATGGCGGCATGGCCGCACACCCGGGTTCGCATCCATTTGTCATTCATCCCGCCAAGATATGGTGAGAGTCAGCGGTATCTGTAAAATTTGTCAAGGGGCTCCGCACTGTACCTACATACGCACTTCTCCCAACCCAAGATACGGAGGGAAAAAGGCAAAATATCTGCAAGGATGGAACTCAGGTTCGGGCTGGTTAACCTTATTATCAAAGAAGCGGAAGCTTGGAGCGAGGGAAATCCTTCACAGAGTTTTAGCCTTGAAGTTTGCACCAAATTTCTGGCAATTTAGATATCGCTAGCCAAACTTCAGAGTTCCGTATTCATACCATCCCTGGAAACAATCTCTTTAGGAAGCTGTTCATGAGGACAATTGTTCCTAGCACCTTATTAGAGTTGTTATAGTTAGGTGGACGTGCATATCTCTAGGCCAGGAAGGAGAAAAAAAAAAAAAAATCAAAATTAAAGATCATATTGGTGCATAGGGGCTCGCATTGTTTTATGCATTCTCAAGAGGCTGCATTGCAGGCCTCCAAACCAAATGCAACAGAACACGTACACATACAAACATGGTTCATGCAGGTAAATATGAGAGATCTGGGGGACATCCATCTCGCTTTCTCTCGATACCGGGTTTCCGCCCTATAGTTAAAAGTGTTGTGTGTTGGATCGTGGTCGGGTGTCAAATAATTCTGAGAGCACGGCGTACCACCTCGCAAGGATGGCATACGCAGACAATGCAATCGCTCAATGCTAACATTTCCGACATGAACCCGCTTCTTTCCCGTTTTGACTGCGAAAGGGCTTTCGCAACGGCGAGCGTTCTTCCAGCCGAAGACTTGTTCCCAGTAGAGTTAGCCACTGATGATTGTGGCCTGGGTGCTCCGGTGGTGCGCAGGGTACCATTTCGGTACCAATATGATGTCGATGATGTACGGAGTACGAGCGGAGTCTATCGGCGTGTGCTCGACCTTAAACAGACCTGTAACACGGGTAGATAGATGCAGGTAAACCCCCTGAGGGAGGAAGAAAGCAGACTCCTGGCCAATCCCTCCCCCGATCTGCATGGCATCTCAAGGATCGTAATCGAAAACTCTGTACTCCGTAAGTTGGGTGGCTTCCACTCTGCAGGTACGGCAAATACTGGTCGCAGTCTCGGAAGAGGGATCCAGCGAATGTCACGGAAGCGAGGAGGAACCTTCTGGATTTTCAACCCAGAAGCAAGCGAGAGTGATTTACAAAGGGAGAGAGGGGGGAAGGGGGAAGGCCAAAGCTTATTGATACACTCATTAAAAAAGAAAATTCGACAACGAAAAGAATTTTGTTTTAACCAAGCCCCTGGAGGCTGGCGATCAGTGTGGTGGATTTGATAGTGGAGAGCGCCTAAGTTTTAAGCATGATCGGCATTCCTCTCGTGCAGAACAGTTGAGGGGAAAGAGGATTTGGAAGGAAAAGGCGAAGCTGCATTTTTCCCAAGCAGGAAGACTCTCTTGCCCAGGCGGCGACCGGAGTCTTAACCAAACTCTCAGGTGGCCTATCAACGGGCGCATTTTGGCCGCCGGGGGTGCCTGAAAGCTGTCCATGCTCTGCCGTGCTGGACTGCAAAAGCCCGGGTGCAACGTGCGGCTCATTGGACAAAGCTCAAACGCGAGAATTTCGCCACTGCGGGGGAAGCTGGGAGAAGGGCCAGAATCGAGGGCGATGGGGTGGCCCGAAGCCGTGCATGCTTATGAGATGCCTCGCATGGGGCAAAAAAAAACAAAAAATAAAAAAAATAAGAATCAGGTTAAAAGTATATATGTGCATCGGATACCGCTGGAGGACTAGGCCGGTTGGAAGATCATCTCGATTATGCTTTTTTTTCCCACAACCTTCTTCGTAGTATCAATGCCGCAAGTGCAGCAGCGGTCACGGGCGGCTGACGGCAGCATTTTCGAATATTTCACGCCTGGAGGCTTGCCCGGCGATGGCAGTGTACATGCGTACATGGATGAATTCGGGCCATGCAGTACTCCCCCCGAAGAGCAGCAAACACGGCGAATCCAATGGTTTCCGGAGCGTGCGTCGGGGGTGTGGTGGCAAGTGGAAGGTACACAGCGAGACCTTAACATCAAGCTCGTATGAAGAGCGAGGCGCGATCTCCAAGGCGGCCAGCGTTCTTGGCAGGCTCGACCGGGTTGATTGCCTCGTGCACCGCATTAACCTTGCATTGCATTGCAGGAAAGTTGCATTTTTTTTCCCTTGAGTTGTCCATTCACTGCACAACAACAACAACAACAACAAGCAGCCGCAGCAAGCAAGCAAGCAAGCAGTTGGATGACATAATACGTTAACATTCTGGCCCGGGGGGGAAAGGGAAGGGAAGGAGCGGGCGTGGAATACTTCCGCTAATTCCTTAGCCGGTAACCTTCCTATTGGGCTTTGTGGGGGAAAGTGCAGCGCCACAACCGGCTGTGATTGGCTGCTCCCTCCCCGAGGGACAGGCTTGATAACCAATCAGCATGCGTATTTCTCAAACGTCGCTGACTAACAGGCTCTGCGCCTGCTGTTCCAGAACCGTTGGAAACTCTCGGCTTTCCCTCCTGTGTGTCAGTCCCGCCCGCACCACTACGTACTCAGTCTCGCTGCTCGCCGTCCAGCTGCACACGGCCCGCTGCTGCTCTGCCCACGACTCCTTCGCCGACTAGGGAGTGGACGCGCTCTGGGCACAATGGCCTTTTTGGACATAGAATTTTTACACGTACAGACGGAGTAAATTATCCTCCCCCCTCTCCTCAACGTCGTCTTTTTTCCTTTTCCTTTTTTTTAATTTATTTATTTACTTGTTTACCTCTCTCAACTACAGATGTTGGTACAAGAAGGCATCCGTCGAGCAAAGTCCCAAAGCGGCTAGAATCGACTGCCAATCCACAATTCTGCTCCAGAATGATTGTAGAAAGTTTCAACTAAGGGGACTCGCTTCCCGCTGGTCTGAGAATTTCCTCGAGCTTCTCCCCATCCGCAGGCATTCGGGGCCAATTGGAGCAGCCAGCGGGTGTCCATAATTCAGCGTAGCCGGAGTTCTAACCCACTCCTCTTTCCCACATGTCGCCCTTTTAGCTCGAGCCGTATTCTCTTTTCCCCCCCCTTCCCGACATGCGCGCGTGTGGGCGGTCTCTCTGTCTCTCTCTCTCTTCTTTTTTTTTTTTTTTTTTTTTTTCCCTCAAAAGCATCTATACTGGTGTCGGGACTCCGCTGGTGGAGAAAAAGAAAAAAAAGAACCGCCCCCCCTTTCCAATCCACTTTCAATCCTGTATGGTAAAATGTTTGCCTGTACTCTCTGTACACACTCTGTACATGCTACGACTAAATAACTAGCTGCTGCTCTTAATTGCGCCCGCCGGAGGAACTGCTGGGATCTGCTGCTTACTCTTTTCCGGCTCTTCCCCCCCCTTCTCTTCCTCTCTCTCTTTCTCTCTCTCTCTACTCCCTGCGTCTCCCTCCCATCTCGTTCTCGTGTCGATCTGCCTCCTGAGAGAGAAAAAAAAAAGCAATTATTTCTTCTCCAGTGATAAGGAGATCACCGCACAGCAGCCAAACCAACAAGCGACACCACACGGTAAAAAAGCCAGACCCACGTGGTTTTTTCCGCACCGAAGTGGCCGAGATCGCATTTCAGCCAAAGACAGGCGAGCATCCTCCGACCATACATAGTTATATCGAACGCCAACCCACAGAGGGTTCCTCCCCGCTCCTCCACTGTTCTTCTTTTAACAGCCCATCCATGCTTCACTGCTGCTAGCCTGGTGTCTCTCGTCATTCCACCCTGTTCCTCACCGTTCCGATCTGAGCAGTCCACGCTCCTCGAAGACGCCAACAAAAAGAAGCATAATCCATTCCTCCTCCACGGCGACCCTCCGCTCCGCCTTCCTCTCTCTTCCGTTGTGAACTAGCAGAGGCAAAAAGGAAAGGAAAAAAAAAAGAAAAAAAAAAAAAGGACCAACCCACACTGCACCCGAGACTACGTTCTGGCTGCGCAGCTTTAAACTAGGTTCGCCACCGGCTTTCGCGGGCCTTCTCTCACGTGTGCGTGCGGTTCCATCAGCCACCGAAAGAGTTGCAAAGACGCAGCCCGGCTTATCTCAACGCCTCCCCGTCCTCCACCTCCTCCACCACCACCACCACCCCAAAACGCAGCATTCTCTCTCTCATCTTCATTCTTCCCCTCTCTTCCCTCTCTCTCTCTCTCTCTTTTCCGTTCGACCCCTTGAATCCTCTCATTTTCGCCAATTCCCTCTTTTATCCGTTTGCTGCAACCGTCGACTCGTTCGGAAAAGAAAAGAATCGCCTTTCTTTTTTGAGGAGTCCGTCTTTGCTGTGTGTAACCTCTTGAAGGTATTCTTTCGCTGCTGGTGCCGAGGGTAGGTTCTCTTCCCGTTTGCTATGCTTTCACCCGGCCCTGCATTCCAGGATCAATCACCATCTGCAGCTCCCTGGTCCGTGTTTGCTATTGTCTCCCTATCGCCTGCCCTCGGTTGAGTCCGAAGCAACCACCTACACCTCTCCCCCTCTCTCTCTCTCTCTCTCTTACCCAACGCCGTCTATCTCTTTCAGAAGTCGTAACCTCAGCAGGATGCATTTCAACTATTATCCTTTTTTTTTTCTTTTGCTTTTAGCTTTTGTTTTTTCTTCATTAAAAAAAAAAAGAAAAAGAAATTCATGTTTTCTCCAACATGGGCGAATTTGTTCCTGACAAATCTGCAGAGATAGATCGATCATTTATCGCCGCTACCCTAGGTCCTCGTACAAATCACACACCCTTCAATCGTTGCAAAATTTAGTCGAGAGAATTTCGGCTTCCAACTTCGAGTATCAGTGTTTGCTGTGGTTTGACGGGGCCCTCTTCTCATCGATCCTTCCTTAATTCCTTCGCTACAGTGAACAGAAAGCCGTTGCAGCCATGACAGGAAAAATGAAGTTATATAAGTTGGTGGTGTTGGGAGACGGAGGTGTTGGGAAGACAGCACTTACAATTCAGGTTCGCATCGTCTCTCTTCTTTTTTAAATTTTCATGCTTGTCTTTATTTTTCGTTCCCATTTCGCATTGACTAATTGCGAGGGTAGCTGTGTTTGAATCACTTCGTCGAAACATATGATCCCACCATCGAGGATTCCTATAGAAAGCAAGTCGTGATCGATCAGCAACTATGCATGCTGGAGGTACTGGACACGGCCGGTCAAGAGGAGTATACGTCGCTGCGTGACCAGTGGATTAGAGATGGCGAGGGCTTCGTTCTCGTGTACAGCATTACATCCCGGTCTTCGTTCACCAGCATACAGAAATTCTACAACCAAATCCAGCTTGTGAAGGAATCCGCGAGCTCCGGCTCACCAACTGGCGCCGGCTACCTCTCATCCCAGATGAATGGCTCCAATTCAGGGCCACCCCAGCCCGTCCCCGTCATGCTGGTCGGAAACAAGTGTGATAAAGCAGTTGAGCGGGCTGTTTCCTCGCAGGAAGGGTACGGGCTGGCAAGGGACCTTGGCTGCGAATTCGTTGAGGCCTCCGCCAAGAACTGCATTAACGTTGAGAAAGCGTTTTTCGACGTTGTGCGACTCCTCCGACAACAGCAGCAACAGCACCAATTTCAGCAAACTCAGCACTCTACACGGCATCTAGACAGGCGAGGCACCGCATATGGTGCTGCATGCGCACCCACTGGCGCCAAATATACGAGGTCCTTTGGGACAAACCGCAAGGAGACCCGCAGTGGCTTGAAGTGCAGGATCTTTTGATTGCTTGACTCCCGGCACTTCCATTAATAGTTATACTACCATCCCGACTCCCTAGTCCTTCGTGGTCGCCTCGCTTCCCCCTCCCCCCTTTTGCTACTTAAAAAAAAAGGAAAAAAAGAAAAGGAACCAAAACCAAAAAAAAGAACAATTTCCCCATCTCTCCTTACGATATCATCTTGGATGCGCATAGCTTCATTCCTCCCCCAGCTTTTGTCTCGGTACGGTTTCCTGCATTTATGACGGCGCAGTTTGAAGCAAATTTTCCGTTATTTACCCTCTCTCACCCCAGATCCTTTCTGGGGACGCGATGATCGAATTGAACAATGACCGGTTTTGCTCTGGGATACGAATGATGCATTCTCGTTTATATTGGGTCTCTTTTTTTAAGTTTATGCTCCCCTTCACCCTCCCCTTTTCCTTAGCTGAGGCGTCATGGGTTCCATTTTATTTTTTGTTATTTTTCATTGCTTTTTCTTTTTGCGCATCCCGTCAGTGTTTATATCGTGGAACCCCTGGGCTGTTGGACTGTTTGCCTTTTTTTTTTTTTTTTTTTTTTTTTTTTTTTGGGGATCTCCTTTTTGATATACCAACTACGATAGAGGTGATTTCTCTGAATGTTTGGTCTTCCAGTCAAATGTCATGCAGGAGCTGTTTGTGGTTTCAAAGGAGGTCTCAGAGACAATGAAAAGGGAAGGGGAAAAAAAAAAGAAAAGAAGGAGGAGGATGAGGCGGAGCGAAAAAAAAAAGAGCCTACTTACATTTCTCTTCCTTTTTGCAACAAATTCGAGGGAAATGGTTGGATGATGGCTGGCACCTTGTGGACGACTAGACAGTTTGTCCCCCTTGTATCAGAGGGTAAACCCCCCACTGCGTTGTTGAAGATAGCAGTAGTAGAACCCTTTTTTTGCTTTTTCTTTCTTTCTTTCTTTTTTTTTTTTTTTTTTTTCAATTTTTCTGTATCGCCCCTCTGATACCAATGATAGCTATATACCCGCGATTATCCAGTAGTAGTAGTTCTTGGTCTCTCCGCTTTTCTTTGGCTTGCTTTTTGAGGTACTATATATGTATGTGTACACACGAAGTACTTGACTTAATGACACCGCATCCCCTTTTTATTTATTTATTTATTCATAACTCGTAGTTTTCTAGTATTTTATGACTATTTATTTTGAATTTGCTATCGCATGTGAACCCATCAAAAGAGAGGGTCCCCTTTCCTCCGTCTATCCGCGGTGAACCGGACCGTAGCCGGCTTGGGTGATAGCTACCGGCCGAGTCTACGGTTAAGGTGATGATCTGAGGGACGCAATTCGGCTTGCATCCGAAGCAGTGCGCTTATTTGAGTTGAGTGACGAACAGTTTGTGATCTCCGTTTCTCCGCGACGGAAAAAAAAAAAAAAAAGAAAAAGAAAAAGAAGAGAGGACTGCTGGCCGAACTCTCGGGGGTAAGTAGGCGGAACAGTGAGGACGGAAGCGATGGAGGGGAGGATGTAACATTTTCTCTCTCAAATGTAGAGTTATACGAATTTGTCTTGAAATTCATTTGTCCTTTTCTATATTGTTTCGGTCAAACTCGTACAAGGTGTTTTTCTTTTTTTTTTTTTTTATGTGTATTCTGTATACTTGGTAAATCCCGAGAGGCAAGCTGTTAAGTAGGCTTCATTATCCCAGACTGCATAAAACTATAGTGAAAAAATAACAATAGTAACTATACAGAATCCTGGCTGGAAGGTGAAGAGGCCTGCTTTATGTTGCTGTACTTTGATATGTTGGACGCGCCCGAGACTTTTTAACTGGCTTCGGCGTTTTGTTGAGCAAGTTGCTGTTTAGTTATCTAACAAACTACGGAGTAGTTAACTAGTTAACTAGCTTGTCAGTAAGGTTCACGTCAACTCCTTGTGCCTGAAGCGGGTTTTTCGCCCCCCTTGAACAGTTTGCCCCTTCATCCGGGCGCCGCGACGGCATTGAATAACCCTCTTGCAGATGACGTGCTTACTTTGCTCCGTCGAGTGTCTAGCTATGATGACTACCAGAGCATGTGCAGCAGATGTACCTGGAGCTGGGACTCCAACGTGAACTTACAGTCGTCCGCGCTCCCTGGCAGCAACGAATTGCCGAGGGGAAGTTTTACCATGAGTGGTTGCAGGCGGTATATAAATAGCGTTATGCATGTCCATGTCCTTTGACGATGTAACGCCCGCCGCCATAACTATTCTGCTGTCAGCCACTTCCATCCATCGGAACCTTTCAAATCTTGATCTCTGGACGGGCTGAGATCCTCCCTGGAGAAAGCCCCCGCATTCACCGTCCGTCAATTGCTGCCCATCGTTGTCAGTGATTGCACCCGCGCTTCGTGCGACACCTCCCCGGCAACTTGTCCGCCATTCGGCGCCCACGCTTCCTTTCAACTGCTACATATAGCTATGTGAAGCTTAAAAAGGCCCGCTTCCCCGCTGTCGAACCTGCAATCTTCTCATCACCGCAAAATCCATCGCAACGAGCGTCGTCCGTCCATACCCGTTTGTCTCCAGCCCTGCGCGGCGATTTGCGGGGAACCTCACTTGCCGCGTCACTCCACCACCACCACCACACCGCAACAACGATGGACTCTCATCCCCAGGACAGGACTTACTCCTTGTCCCTTCGCGACCCGGAAGCTTTCTGGGGCCATCACGCAGCACACCTCCATTGGCACAAACCCCCATCCGCAAGTCTTCGCCGAACAACAAAGCATCTGCCCAGCGGCACAAGCCACGAGCACTGGTCCTGGTTCCCCGACGGCGAGATATCCACGGCGTACAATTGCGTCGACAGACACGTCCGTAACGGCAACGGAGACAATGTAGCCATCATCTGGGAATCGCCCGTCACTGGGTTGAAGCAGAAAATCACGTATAAGCAACTTCTTGAAGAAGTAGAAGTGCTGGCTGGCGCTTTGAGGGAGGAGGGTGTGAAGAAGGGTGATGTGGTCCTGATATACAGTATGCTTGCTCAAAAAAACCCCCCCCTCTTTTTCCTCGTGTTTGACAGCGTCCGAACTAACTGTGATTACTCTCATAGTGCCCATGATCCCTGCAGCGTTGTACGCTTGCCTTGCTATTGCAAGACTGGGCGCGGTACACGCCGCTGTCTTTGGCGGATTTGCCGCGGCTTCACTGGCGCAGCGAATCGAGGCGGCCAAGCCACGTGCCATCATGACTGCATCGTGCGGTGTTGAAGGCAGCAAAGGTGTGGTTGATTATAAGCCGCTGGTCGAAGGCGCCATCGCGAAAAGTTCATTTAAGCCGAGTAAGGTCATAGTTTGGCAGCGGGACCAGCTACGATGGGCCCCGATGCAGAAGCTGGAGGGCCAGCGAAACTGGCAAAGAATCGTGAAAAGCGCCAGAAATAGAGGAATCAGAGCAGAGGCAGTGCCGGTTAAGAGCAATGACAGTCTGTATGTCATTTATACCAGCGGTATGTTTTGAATTTCTCTTAAAAATTTTAGAAAGTGGGTCAGATTTAATGTGTTTGTTGTGTAGGAACAACTGGTCTACCAAAGGGAGTAGTCCGAGAGGCTGGAGGACATGCTGTTGGCCTTAACCTTTCAATCAAATATTTATTTGACATCAAAGGTCCAGGCGACGTTATCTTTTGTTCCTCAGATATCGGCTGGGTTGTCGGCCATTCATATATTCTCTATGGACCACTTCTAGCAGGAGCAACAACAATCCTTTATGAAGGCAAACCCATAGGCACGCCGGATTCCGGTATCTTCTGGAGACTAGTGGAGGAACACAAAGTCAATATTCTCTTCACAGCCCCAACTGCTCTCCGCGCAATTCGCAAAGATGATCCTGATTCACGCTTGTTTGAGGAAGTGGGCAAGCGTGAAGGTTTGAGACACCTAAGAGGAATATTTTTGGCTGGTGAAAGAAGTGAGCCAAGCATTGTACGCGCTTATCAGAACTTGCTAGATAAGCATGGTGCACCTGGTTCAATGGTGATTGATAACTGGTGGACATCTGAATCTGGCTCGCCGATGTCTGGCCTGGCGTTGAGAAGCCCAATTGGCTTAGACCATAGCAGCGGAGACTCGCATAAGCCATTTCCGGTCAAACCAGGCTCGGCTGGGAAACCTATGCCAGGGTTTGATGTCCGTGTTGTTGATGATGAAGGAAATGAAGTGTCAAGAGGAACAATGGGTAACATTGTTCTTGCTCTTCCGCTTTCACCAACAGGATTCACTACCCTCTATAATGATGATGAGCGATTCTTTAAGGGGTACCTGAAACGATTTGATGGCAAGTGGCTAGACACCGGCGATGCAGGAATGATAGATGAGTCTGGCTATATTCATGTCATGTCGCGATCTGATGACATTATCAATGTTGCTGCCCATCGCTTCAGCACAGGTAAGGCTCCCCACCCCCGTTTCCAAGTTGTACCTCATCTCCTGAAAAAAGGCATCAGCAAGCTAACCTGAAAATCTAGGTGCAATCGAACAAGCCATTCTCTCTCATCCCGCCATCGCCGAAGCATGCGTCGTCGGCATCCCCGATTCCATCAAAGGGCATATGCCTTTCGCTTTTATCCACCTACGCGATGCGCCGTCGGCGCCGCTTCCCGCAGTTCCATCGCAAGAGTTTTCCACCTCTGTGAATGCTCTTGTGCGTGAGCAGATCGGTGCCATTGCCTCTCTCGGCGGGATCATCCAGGGCCAAGGCATGATTCCCAAGACACGAAGTGGGAAAACCCTTCGTCGAGTATTGCGAGAGTTGATCGAGAACGCGTCTGTGGGCAAGTTCGACGATAAAGTCAACGTGCCACCGACGGTGGAGGATGCAGAGATCGTGGAAGTTGCGAGAGAGAAGATTAGGGAGTACTTTGCCGACAAAGAGAAAATGCAGACCAGAAGTAGGCTGTGAATGGTTTGTGAGTTTAGTTTATATCTCCAAATTGACTTTTTCCTTTCCTCTTTTTTTTTTTTTTTTTTAAAAAATTTACCCGCTTTTGTGTAAAGCATTGCGAATATACTTGCTGAAGTTTGTGCGAATGTTTTCTAGCGTGTGTTGCTCTTGATATCTGTAAAATTTTTATGTCTTTAGCAGCCTCATGAGCTTTGTTTTGATTGTATGCATTTATGTATTTGTGATGATACTCTCAAGCAGGATGATCGGTTCATTATTCATGGCATAAGATGGTCCCAAAATATGTATACTTATGGAGCACTCCATAGATAATGATTTTTTGGTCAATTTCGCATGCAGAGCATTTCCCAGGACTTGCATGGATAAAATCGGAATGCATCATCGCCTGATATTCGGCTTACTTGCCGGCTCTGTTCCGACTCCCGATGGAAACAAGGAAAACAGAAACTCTCTCTAGCGGGTTCCTGGACTCGGGGAGCCATGGATTCGATGTGGAGATTCGGATAAGATTTATGCATGGACCTATGCTATCATCGTCATGGTGGATTTTGGGAGGGTCTATGTGAATAGAACGACCAGGCAGGTCAAATCATATAACGAAATCCCTTTGGGAGAGGCGCTGGTATGTCCACTTCAACCCCTTCTGTCTCAGCAGACATCAACCTCATCCTCTCGTCATCCACAAGCCCTCCACATTCACGTTCCGTCCGTTCCAACGCACAGTTCTGCTTTATGAGATGCAACCGTAGCACCACGGCCATCAATCCCGCCAGCATCTGCAGTGCAATGCATAGCCCCAGTGCCAACCGGTACTGGGGCGCATCTCGATCTCGATACGTGTACGGTGTCCATATACTCGCCGAGTTACCTACCGAGTTAATAAACGCGTATGCAGTGGCTCGTTTTGCCGGCGGCCGCGGGATAGCTCCCGCGACCCAGGAATAGCATGTGGACATCATCGTGAAGACGAAGCACATGATGAAGAGCGAGAGATACCGGGGGCCAAACGAATCTGTGGTCATGAAAATAATGAATCCGAGGATCGAAATGGGAATGGGATAGATGAAGAACCAGAACCGACTTCCAAGACGATCGGACATGCGGGAATGGAGAATGCTGTATACGAGCGTGAAGATGTAAGGAGGAGCGACGAGTAGGAGAGAAATTGTCTCGTTGTGACCGAGGGTACCTGTGAGTGTAGGGAAGAAGTTTTGGAACCCGCTGGCTCCCGTGATGGACATGTAGGCAATGGCGAGGAGGTAAGTTTTGATATCGGTCATTGCCAGTCTGAAACCCGTTAATTGACTCATGCCGCCTTCACCATCGATGTCAGCTTCAGCGGCGTCGATCGCAAGCCGCCGGTTTGCGACGCGTTTCATTTCAGGTGTTAAAAGCCTCCATGTGTCTGGGAAATCTGGTAGAATCACACAAATGAGTGACCCAATGGCAATGGTGATGATGCCTTCAATGATGTATAACCATTGCCATGGAGAAAGGCCATAGCTTCCAGATAACCCATTCAATATACCTGCGGCAATCAGATTTCCAAATGCGCCGCTAAGTAATGAGCCAGAATAAAAGATGCTCATTCTGAGAGTCAGCTCTTTCTTGGTGTACCATTTTGAAAGATAGAACAGGACACCAGCAAAGAATGGGGCTTCTAGTCGACAGAGATGACGGTTAGCTGCCTTGATGAAGTCAAAGGGAGCGATGCTGGCGCATAACGTACCGACGAATCCAAGGATAAGACGACATGCCAAAATTTGCGGATAGTTCTTCACGAGACTGGTAGACGCTGAAACAAGGCCCCATGCAATCGTGGAAAATCCTAGATATAGAGACGGCCGGCCAACGTAGTTGAGCAGGAGATTGGATGGGACTTGCATGAGGATATAGCTGACAAACAGGATGGAGAGGCCAGTTTGGTACTGTGACGGCGTCAATTTAAGATCCCTCTCAAGGCCCTGTAGTCGCGCTGCGGCATAATTATTGCTATTTAACACCCGTTAGATTATTGTTAGAAAGGCGAATGAAACGACGGAAATCGATAGACAAACCGATCAATGTAATTCATCAAGTAGACACAGATGATCGTGGGCATGATCAATACATCAATCTTCCAGCGAAGCTGTTTCTCTATGACCAGCTCCTCGGGGGTAAGTTTACTAGGGTCTTTGATATATTCTTGAGAACTGCTGCCGCAGGTCGGCTCAGAATCTGGCAGCGCATCACCGCCATCTGCCATGTTGTTGCGCTGGTCTCTTGGGCACAACTTCGCTTTAAATAGTATGGCCATGCAATCGTACTCTCATAGAAGGGTGGCGACTATCATGGCTAATTATGTAGTTAGGTCCTAGCTACACCTCATGGGAGGGGAGATGGTACTTATGAGGAAGAAAGCCACGGCTTGCTGTAAATGGTGCTGATGTTGCACATCCGTAGCGCGAAGTCCAGGTAAATACCAACTGTGCCACGGCCTGGGTATTGAGCAATGCGTCTTTCCAGAGCAGAATGGCGAGTATCCGGATGGAAACAATTTGTTATTTCGATGTCATCTCATCCTTGTGATCTTCAACTAAATCCTACCCGTTAGCTAACCAGTTATTTACCCTCTCTACGGAGTGCAGAGGTTTCAAAGCTTCTTCCTTTCTCCCTTTACAAATATCCTTTGTTCACTCCTTCTACTCTACTTAATTCCTCTCAATTCCTACTACTTCCTCCCAATAATGAGACATTTCCCATCCCGCCCATATCTTAGATAATTGCAGGATGTCATGGCTTCCATCCACCCGGTCTAGTCCCAAAAAACTTAGGTTCTCCCTTTAGTCCCATGGGCATTGAGAAAAAAATGTGCCCCTAAAAGCATGTTCATGCTGCTCTGGGGGGTCATGAATACAGGAATTGCCAATCCTCCTGAGCTCAATTGATAGTCAAGGCATTCCGGGCAGGCCCCGAGTCAAAGAGAATTGCCGCGTGTGTTTGGCCGCACCCGCAATATGCATGCGGATAAGGGCTGTTCATTGAAAGTACCGCCGGCGTCTGCCTGTATGAAAGTATTCGCGAAGAACTTCCCTTGAAGCTAGAAACAATTTGGTTCTCTGTCAAAGAATAGTGGGTAAGACCGCATTACAGTGTACGAATCCAAATCCGTATCCTGCGCGTTATCTAGCAGGGAGCACGATGAGCAGCGTGCATCTGCTTGTAGTCTTTACTATAGGTCTAGATGCCTCATCACAGCGAGACCGGGCCTGATTGTTGCAAATGAAAGAAAGGCTCATCCACCGCCACTGGAGCTGAAGAGTATCCACAGTTTTCCATAGCAAAGATGCTTTTCAATCGTGCTAGTTTGATCAACGCATTATGCCAGGTTAAAGGCACTCCCCAAGGTTACTGCCCAGTTAGCAACTTCGAAAGTTCCGGTACCCAGCAATATTGGGCAATACGTCGCGTTTGCACTGTGGTGGTGCGTCTGTCTCGGGCGTGCCACATGTTCTGCGGATACAAATTGAAGGCCACGAGCTCAATATCGCTTCACCAAGATATAGATATTCGAAGCAAGAGCCTCAAGCCACTTTGGACAACGGACTGATCTGGCAAAATGCGAAAGGTAGTCGGCTGAAGTGAGGTTCGACCATTATTTTCAGATACGTATGAAGCACATCCGGCAGCTGGACGTACAATGAGAACATTGGGAAGATCAAGGCGAGGTCGGGCTTGTTGAAGCCCAAGGCCTGACGTTGATAGAAGAAGGTGAGGGCGGTGTCAATTCATTGGTCTGTCGCTCATCGTATCACTAGTCCATTCGTCATAGTCTTGAGTAAAACCAACTCAGCGCACGAAAATGCCACCCGAAGATCTGTGCGGAGTATATGATAAACAATGGTTGGGCTTGCCCTCAATTTCTACCCGTTCCGGAATATCCTCGCGGCAATATAATCCCAACAGCTGCCAGATATTCTTCCACTATGCGGTTCGAAAATCGAGTGCTGATGTAGTTCTGTACAACACGGCTGCTGTTCCGAAGCAGCTCGATATTGTTTTAATACCGATCCCGCAAGCGTGCCTGAACCCATCACATAGAATGCCGTCTATGCCATACGGTACGGAATAGTCATCTCTTCAACGCCTTCCGGTAACCCCGAAAAACCCTCTGCCGATCGACACGAACACCGCACCAACCCCCGCCCGCTTTCGAACAGCAAAAGTCAGTATCGTTATTGTACAGAGGGCGGAGTACGGGGTATGGGATTTTGGATTCGCTGAAGATGAACGGGAAAGCCCGGAAGGGACATGATTCGTATTTCCGCCCGTGTTAGTGTTTGGGAGCTTTCTTAGCCACCAAACGCGTTATTGTCGTCCTGGATATTGGGTACGTATCAGTAAGCATCTGTGCTTTGGATACCTACCCCGTACAACAAGATGTATGTTTGAATGGCCTCTTTTGAAATGATCTGAGCATCGGGAATGGAACGGCTGAATCCCGGCTTGCACACCCGCACGGAGCACATTGCAGCGAACCCGAAAAATGCTCCGTGATGGAGCTGTCGATCAGTGTAGTGTCTACCTAAAGATCATCCATCCGACTGTCACACGGCGCCCCGCCCCGGGCAAGGATGGATGGGAGGATTCTGGACTCCCAGGTTTACGAGTATTGTGAGATTTTCCGGGTCATTCTTAGGGGCCAGAAGTCTCCGCGCCACATCGCCTGGTCCACACAGCTCAACGACGATTTTAAGTGCCTCAAATCTAAGCAACTTATGCGATTGTGGACGATCAAAATTGGTATCGGCATAAGACAAAAAAAATCCTCGTTTTGCTCTTTACCTGCTGGCCGAGAAATTCCCAAAATAGAGATAGAGAGCACGTTAACGGTAGCATAAATATTATGTAAAACCAATGTTACCATTAAAGCAACAAGCAAATAGCCGCCAAGTTGCCCATCTGCTGTAGATACATTTGAGACGTTCATGATAACATTGGGACAATTCCACACATACACGCCACTCCCCTTATCGCCTCCCAATTGTAAAAAGAGAGATTGTATCTTTTATGCACATTTTCGCACCACTCCCTGCTCTCTTTACAAGCATCGTAGACCGCCCCGTAACTTTCCAGGAGGGATTAAATTTACAAGAGGAAAGCGAGACCGAGGACACCAGCAAGACCAGCGCCAGCACCGGCAACGACGCGGGAACCAGCACCGGTGAAATCAGGGGGAGCTGGGATGGTGTTGCTTGGGAGGTTTCCGGTACCGCTTGGCTGCTGGGGAGGCTGGACGGCAGTACCGTTGGGGAAGACTGGTGGGTTGACTGGAGGAGGGATGACACCAGTGCCAGTGGCAGCAGGGGGGCTGCAGGAATGAGTTAGTGAGCAGTTACGGGTAAGCTTCCATGGGGTATATCCTATGGACACTCACCAGTCGTTGCACTCAGTGACGGTGGAGGTGATGATTGGGCGAGTGACGGTGCATGGGCAGTCAGTGATGGTGAGAGTGGTGGCCTGTGTAAATTATTGTCAGTGGGATCCTGCTATTATCTTTGGCATCCAATGTTTGCCAAACACACAAAGTAAACACAGCCGCGAAAACAAGGGGACGAAAGCGAAACTGACCTCAGTCACGGTGTAGGTGTTGGTGCCGTGGGTGAGGGTGGTTGGGCCAGGGCAGAAGGTGGTGTAGGCAGTGACAACCTCAGTGACGACGGAGGTGGCATTGGTGTTGACGTAGCTCGCGGTGGCACCGGCGGCCAGGATGGCAGAAGCAGCGATAGAGAAACGCATCTTGTCTAGAAAGGTCGGGATTGCCGATTAAACCAACGTAAAGATTAAAAAGCTCGGGGTGTGCGAGACGCGCGAGGGTATAAACTGGAGCGGTTTGGCTGAGCGAAACGAATGGACTCGGTTGATAAACCGGAAAGGAGTGGTCTTTTGGGATTAAAGAGCGGTGCAGGTTGGGATAAAAGAGAAAAGAAGAAGAAGAGAGAAGAGGAGGGAGAAGAAGAGAGGGAAAGCGGACAGGGAGGCGAAAGGTTTAAAGGGAATTTGGGGGGTTTGCGCGGGCTGCTAAAATAGGGGCGGTCAACCGGGGGGGCGCCGGGGTGCCCAATGGGAGCGGCGCCGTCCCTCTGCCGTGGTTATGCAAGGGGCGCAGAACAGCCAGCCAGCCAATTGTGCGCTCCGTTTCTTTTTTTTTTGGCTTTTGGTGCTTCATTTCGATCAAAATACCAATAATTTCTCGCCTTCTGCACATCTCTCTCTGGTCGCCTGGCTGCTGAATTCTAATAGGCCATCCATTCTGCCTTGTTTTGCCCTGAGAGTTACACATCAATTCCAGCAAAGCACTGACTCAACTGTGGAAATGGCAAGCCATTGGCTTCGGGATTGGCATTCCACCCGCATGGCTGGTTGAGTTATTACGATAGTTTCTCCGTGTGAGTGTAAAGGTTGTTTCCATCCCGCCTTGGACATCTGGCTGCCCTCTGATGACATGTTCATTGGCAACAAGCCCACATTTACACACACACACACAGAGAGAGAGAGAGAGGTTAGCCTATTAAATTTTGGGGGTTTGAAAACCAAACACCTGTTTTCCATCTCCCCTGGGCAGGATTACCTCCCGTTTCAATCTTGAGTTACCATCGTTTCACTCCCTTAGCGCTAGGAAACATCTAGACCCTGATTTGGCAGATCGCTGGGCAAAGGGTTGCCAGCGTCTCGACTCCCTTCCCCTGGCTCGGGATCGCTCTCTCGTTCCTTTTTGCAAGCTAGCGTCCCCGCGATAGGATCAACCGGGATTCGATAGTCGGCGCCACTTGTCAGGAACAGCCCAACACCCAAAGATCTCGCTTACGATTCGCCTTCTTCCCGACTCGTCATCCCCACCGAAAGGCGTCATTTACCAAACTTTTTCTCGACTTTTCTTTCTTTTTTTTATCGCGATGATCGGATAACCGACTCTTTTGCTCTGGAAGTCGACATAATAATACATAAAATATGCGGGTTTTTAACTCTCGCCACATTGGAGACTTCTCAGCGCAAGATGGAAAATCGCTGCTCGAACCGCGAATCGCAGAGCTGAAATCTGAGTTTGTTTATCCTAAAGGCTTCGTCAGCTTTGTGGGTTGATGAGCTCATGGCTTTCAAGCTGAGTGCTTGGGGCTTTTTTTTTTTTTTTTTTGGTCGAGTCAGGTTAGCAACAGGAGAACCAGATCTCAGATCGAACCCCCTGTTCCCCATTCACCGTTGGACGACTGCAAACTCCTCCCTTTCGGAGTCCGGAATCTAACCCTCACTCGGAGAATTTTTTTTGTTGGAGAGCATGCATTGCACATTTTCGTCTCTTGCATGACGGATGACTCTGTATGGAGCACACGCGTTCTATTTTAGAGATTGTCTAGTCGCGATGCACGGACGGCGAGATCAGCATCATGTCCCCTTTCAAGGGTCTCGCTTATCTCTTTGCGGAGCTTGTTCTCTGGAAAATCGCAGCTGATAACCAACCCATTTTTGCCCCATGGCTCGCTGCATGCAGATGAGATAACTATATCGCTCACCTGCCTATTGAGGACTCCGCATGCATCGAAATAAGCGGATGATGGTGGCTTCAGAAAATTTTACGTCTTTGATTTTTGATAACTTCGCGGCTTGAGTACTTACTCTGTAGAGAGTATGCGAAGTGTTTATTTTGTCATGCTGATATGGCATGGCATGCTAGGGTACATCTCCAGCGTTGAGATCATCAAATAAAAATATTATGCGGACGTCCAGTGCCACAGAGCACATAATGAAAGCGAATTTGTGTTGCATATCCAGAATCCGCGGCCCTGCTGTCGAGTCCGGTCTAGCCGGGCATGAAGTACGCCAGGGGGTTAGCTGCTGTCAGTCAATATGTGGGGGAGGCACGGGACGGGTGGAACATTCTGGGCGTGAAAGAATGCCTTTCATGTTTTGTTGTTCATGCAAAGTAGCCTCTGCTTCTGGTTTGGACGGTTCTAAAGAGAGAGAGAAAAAAAAAAAAAGAATAACAAAGGAAAGAATGGGCTGTATGTCCGCAAAAAGCGCGCTTCCTCCACATGAACATAACAATAGGCTGTGAGAAAAGTGACCAAAATTATCTGTCCCAATGAACAGGAGTGCGATGAAGAATGTGTTCGTGGTGTTGGATGGGTATCCGTGACCTGCCATCCATCCATCACATCACAACACAACCATGTTTGCATAGGAAGGGAAGCAGTAAACTTTAATTTCAAGTGGGTGATGGGTTTGTGATGTGGTGAAGCAACAATCCACAGGACCTTCCGGCCTTCATATCTGCGTGCTTTTTCTTTCTCTTTTTTTTTTTTTTTTTTTTCTTCAATGTTGCTATGGAGCCGAGACATTGTTTCATTCAGAAAGAGTGTTGTTGGGTCCACACGGAAGAGTCGGGTAGCCTGAGATGCTCTCATTACTCTACACAAGGTACAGAGTAAAAGATCACTCAATAATAAACAGCAGTCTTTCAAACGCTTTTTCATACTCCGAGACGGGAGAGCGTTGCAGGAAGTTAAACACCAGCCCAGGATAATCACTAATTGGTTAAAGGGATTGAAGATCTCATCTTTTATGTATTTTTATGTACGCACATAAAGCAGATGCAGCAAAACACAACTTTTAGGGGATAGAAAAATCTTATACAAAAAGCTCCATAAAAGCTCTTCTCCCAGAACTCTTTCTTTGCTCTTTGACAAATCATTGAAGTCTATGAATTTTCAAGCCCACTCTTGAGTAACAAGTGAACGACGAACGTATGTCAAACTGGGCTAACTGGTAACGAGAGTGAGCATGGACTAGATTAGCACAAGGACTTTGCTCCCTCAGCTTGCTCGATGCGAGGGGGTTACAACGACATTCGAATCCCTCCCGTCAACATGTCTGCGGCATGCCACTAGAAAACTCTTCGCAACAAAACGGTCTCGACTTGTTATAATAACCCAGTGGTAAGTGTCGTTTCTCTCAAGACACGATACACAACCTTTTTCTTTCCAATCAGATGAATTCAAATTGTCCCTTCAAAGGATGGTGAAGTGGACCCAGGACATATCAGCATCGCCCGCCAGATCAGCTTTTGAGAGATGGATAAGGCGAGGGCTGGTAACTGCCGAACAGGCCGTCTCGTCATCTTGGATTTAGTTGTGTGAGGAAAAGAAGAGAAGAAAAAGAAGAGAAAAGGGCCAGCGAAGATACCCGCGGGAAAGGGAGAAGGTTTGCACGCCGGCGGCATCACGTGGAGGGGCGCTAAACCCGGAAGGGCAAGGTGCTCCCCGGGAAAGCCACTTCGGCCGACAAGCAGGCCAGAATGCTGTCATGGCGGGCGACGACAGAGCGCAGGGAAGCGCTTTGCTGCGAATCCATTGTGCTTTTATTCCTCCACGCCGACCTGTCTTGTCCTTTTCAGCTCCTTTCTGGAGTATCTAATTGCTAAAACTAATAAAAGAGATAAAATTCTGGTGCCAATGTCGGTCAATCGCTGCGGCCGCCAAGCTGCAAAGCTGCTCCGGTTATCTGGCGGGTATTCGAGAGTGGCCTGTGGGCTCAGATGGAGTCATCCCGCAAGACGAGTTGCTCAATGGCAGAGCGTTGCGTCTGTCCACACTGATGGCCATCAGAATGTATGAATGCGACTGGCCGCAACCTTCGAAGATGTCGCTAACTACCTCCCTGGCTAGATGCTAGCGGAGAAACTCGAGCAAGCTGATCCAACTGTTTATAAGATTATCCAGAATGTATGTGCCCCTGCCATTATGCCTGTTTGATTTTACACGATCCTAACTCCCATGCAGGAAAAAAGCAGGCAGAAACATTTTATCAACCTGATCCCCTCAGAGAACTTCACCTCCCAGGCTGTCCTCGATGCGCTTGGCAGTGTGATGCAAAGTCAGTTGTTGGCTCCAGCACGCCTTGCTTAACGGAATCTAACCAATTGGCCGTAGATAAATATTCTGAGGGATACCCCGGTGCTCGGTACTACGGTGGGAACGAATTCATTGACCAAGCTGAGCGCCTCTGCCAGCAGCGCGCTCTGCAGGCATTTGGGTTGAACCCAGAAGAGTGGGGAGTGAACGTCCAACGTGAGTCGCCCGCAACAACGTCCAGCATTGTCGTGCATCCAAAAAATCTTACGCTTCACAGCCCTATCTGGATCTCCCGCCAACTTCTACGCATATTCCGCCGTCCTCCAGCCCCACGATCGCCTTATGGGCTTGGACCTCCCTCACGGAGGTCACCTTTCTCATGGCTACCAAACTCCCACGAAAAAGATCTCCGCAGTGTCTAAGTACTTCGAGACGCTTCCTTATCGTCTAGATGAATCTACTGGTCTCATAGATTATGCCAAACTGGAGGATTTGGCCACATTGTACCGACCAAAACTCATTGTTGCAGGAACATCCGCATACAGCAGGCTGATTGATTATCCCCGCATGAAAAAGATTGCTGACAGCGTTGGAGCATATCTGCTCAGTGACATGGCCCATATTTCTGGGTTGGTTGCTGCTGGCGTCATTCCATCGCCATTCCCACAGTCAGATATCGTCACAACTACGACACACAAATCGCTCCGAGGGCCACGCGGCGCCATGATCTTCTACCGGAAGGGTGTCCGTAAACACGATGCTAAAGGAAATCCTATCATGTATGATTTGGAAAACCCCATCAATGCCGCCGTGTTCCCTGGCCACCAAGGTGGGCCCCACAACCACACAATTACCGCCCTTGCCGTTGCTTTGAAACAAGCCCACAGCCCAGAATTCAAAACATACCAGCAAAGTGTATTGGAAAACGCAAAGGCCTTGGCAGCCCGCCTCGGTAACTCTACAAATAGCGGTGGCTTGGGCTACAATATCGTGTCTGGTGGTACCGATAACCATCTTGTTCTCGTCGACCTGAAGAACCGTGGCGTCGATGGTGCACGCGTGGAGAGAGTTCTCGAGCTCTGTGGTGTGGCAAGTAACAAGAACACCGTGCCAGGTGATAAGTCTGCAATGAAGCCCGGTGGTCTCCGAATGGGCACACCGGCCATGACTTCCCGTGGCTTTGGACCGGAGGACTTCTCTCGCGTTGCTGATATTGTTGACCGCGCTGTCATCATCACGCAGAAGCTTGACAAAGCCGCCAGAGCTGAAGCGGAGGCCAAGAATCGGAAGAACCCCACGAGCTTGAAGGCATTCTTCGAATACCTCGGACAAGGAGAGGAGGTTTCGGAGATTGTACAATTAAGAAAAGAGGTTGAGGACTGGGTGGGAACATTCAGCCTTCCGTGGACTGAGGAATAGTTAGAGTGTGATCCGAGCGATACGTATATTTCTTAAGTACGGATGATGGATGATGACGACTTAACCCTTTTCCGCCTGTATCCTGGCCTTTTTTTGTCATGCTCTTCTTAACAAGATGCGAGATGTGCTGTTACTTTGTCACCTGTATAAAATGGACGACCTTTTTTGATATTTTATTTTTGGAAATCTAGTCTCCCCGAGATCCCTTGATAACCCGGTAATTTGGGTGTAGAGGCATTTTGAGAAGTATTGCTTTGGTAGGCTACACACTTTTTTGATTCCCCTGATTGATTCCACGCCAAACATCTCGCTTGGAGCTGCGAAGTAGTTTGGATGATGCCGCAGAATCCAGCTTCAGCGAGCGATATACATGCGGATCAAAGAGAAGTTTGAAAATGTGTTGGTTTCGACTTCTGCTCCGGCTCTCCTCAGGTGCTGGCGGGAAAAGGAAGGGGAGAGCGATTGAGACCGGAATGTTGACGCTGAAGGTATGGCTTGGCTAGTGGAAATGCTGCAGGATGCATTTAAGGCGATTGGGAAGATAGTTAGCCAGGTCTACAAGAGCAACTTGTATGTAAAGGAGCTTATGAAGGAGATTGAGTTGGTGGATCGTTTGCAGCAGAGTAGGTATTTTTGGGAAGGGACAGCGCTTTGCAAGCAACAAAAGCCATTAAGGCCACAGATAAAAGGGTGGATACGGATCCGGTGCTGATTGGAATGTAAAGGATGAGTATCGTTTTTCCCGTTTAATTGAGGTATCTCCAAACATCATTTATTAAATTATAGTGATATTATTAGTTTGTCAACCCAGGCCACTCTGGCGCTTTTATTAGCTGGCTGTAGCAAAAGAGAAGCTTTTATAATCAACTCACCGAGTTTCGTGTGCTCCGAATTTGTTTTTGAGACTTCGACTTCATCACCAATTTTGATATGGGAACCTTCGCAGCCTCTGCCTAGAAATCCGTAGCGTCCAAATATAGGGCTGTATTTTGTCCCCTGATCGATCCTCCTATCCTTCATGAGCTTCTTCAAGACGGCACCCATCTCTCCAGTCCCAGGGGCTCCAGTGTCAAAGTCAATGTTGATGCTAATACATCTCGCACAGTTATTCGTCAAAACCAATGTAATATCATCTTTCACCTTGAGTTCGCGCCAATAATCTTCTTCAAACTCCTTAGGCGCACCTGAAATAACGATATTGGGCCGGAATTTGGTTATGTCCATTTTTTCCGGCAGTCTGGCCGACACATTGTCCAAAGAGGACTCGGAGACCACGAGATATGGTGCCACATCCGCAAATGTGATACTCTCTGGATCATTTGTATCTTTTCCGACCCAACCACCAAGAGAAGTGACGTTCTCGGCCACACGCGATAACCAGCCACTCTGGGTTTTCTCTTGTTCCGCATTTGGGGACATATTCCCCAGAACAGTTCTCCTGTTGTCGCCGATGTAGGCAAGGATAACGTCGAAGCCGAAGCAGTCAGAGAACCAAGAGTTATATTGCTCTCCCATATCATAGGCATGTGTCGGACTTTGGTGCATAACAACTTCGAAGGTTTTCAGGTTGTCAATACGAGGCTTCAAGGGGATATCCAACGTCTTAATGCAATCCTTGTCATTGTGACTCATGGGTTGCCGATATGTTACGATGATCTTTCCATCCTGGCCTTGGGCATCGTCGGGGAAGACAATGTCCGTTAAAAACAGCGCCATTCGGGGGAAATTAGGGACGTGCATGTTGACCAGGCGGCCGTCCTCTTCCACTTTAAGGAGCATAAAATGGCGATCGTGAGGAAATCCATGACTTGTCAGTTCAGATTCGGAGAGGGCAGTTGGCCGGAGGGACTTGATGGGATAGACGTAGAGCTATAGAAGGAGGAGAGCATAATCTAAGCAAGACCATCCAGCTACCTAACTACTAGACATGGGATTGATAGATTGGATCGTAAATTCAGATAGAATTGGTGTGGACGGCACATCAAGGAGCTATGACATTCTACTTACCTGGCTTATCTTCATCCTTGCGGCGTACTTAAGAGCTATATAGTTTGGGTGCTGTAAGTTCTTAGAGGCCCAAGGGTTGTGACGAGGCGACGTTGGGCTGATGGGCGAAGAGGGGCCTTCATATAGGGCTGTCCGCTCACGGTACAACAGGGCCGACTAGCCCCGGGACAGGGCGGCTCTGGGGTATCGGCTGCTTTGTCAGCCTCCCAATACCCGACCTGGACGACTCCGGGATTGAATTGCCCTTTTAGGAAACCTTGGCTGCCAGGGGAATGCTGACTCAGCACACGTTTATCTCCACGTGATCTCGTTGTGGCCAGATGACTGCGCCACATGGCTGTGTGTGTGGCTTGGAACATGAAGGCTGCCACATGATGACATCATCCACTGCATTTCCACACAAACCGGGGCTTGATTTGCATGATTGTGGTGCGAGTGAAAAGGCGGCATGATGGTTGATGCTGCATGCTCTTGAGTTGCAGCAGCCGGTAATCGTTCTGCTCGGCCTTTAGGGGAGAAAAAAAAGAAGGGTTTGCCTCTCCACTAAGAAGATACGTGTCGACAGCAGGTTTCGAATGCGGATTGTGGTAGCTCTAGGGAACAATGCATCCCTTTCCAAAAACACCAGGCATTTTGCGTTTAGATTTCCAAGGTTGACCATAGCGCAGCCAAAACCGTGGACGCCTTTAACCGTTAGCCGGCTTTTTGCATGAATCATCGGTGTATGTGCTCCCTGCTGTTCTTGAGCATTCTCCATGTACAAATATCATCAAAGCTTCGCGTCGTTGACCGGTGGTTTGATGGCGTTGGGATGTAGGCAGGGTTTTGGGCTGTAACGGCCTCGTCGCTCGGAAGCGCCCTGTCACGACCGACCTTGTTCCTGGGCTCGCATGCCGGCCATTTCTTCGTGTTGTGATTCGCCTTTCGCAGGCTCCCTCCCACCATCGTCTTTCGTTCAACCAACGAGATCGTTCCATTACCAAAATAAAATAAATCAGACTTCGCCCTCCTTCTAGAATCTCGTTGTCATTCTTATCCACCGCCCTCCGGCCCATTTCCTTGAATTTCAACTCTCTGTTTCCTGCAAAGCCTTTATCACCCCTGTTCGAGCGGAGAGACACAAGAGTCATAGATTTTTGTGCTCAGGTCGGCCATCGGACTGTGGGGAAGCTTATCTAAGGAGCCGCGTAAGGCTGAAAAGACGGTCAGCGCTTCATTTCCACACATTGACATCCATTTCGCTCTTCCACCATGGAGAATGCCACGGCGACGACGGTACGTCGAAAAGACACCACGAAGGGCCCGCCGCTGCGGATACTGTGCCTCGGTGAGTTGTTCTTGTTAATTCGCTCCGCAGAGGTGGCGCAACATCCAGACTCCTGCGCTTGCCGATGCCGGAAACCTAAACTAATGTGTACTGTGCGCTTCAATTTTAGATGGCGGCGGGGTGCGTGGATATTCGATGCTAATCATCCTCCAAGAGTTGATGTACCGAGCATACGTAGAGTCGGAGGGAACCGCACCGCGACGTGACCAAATACCTAAACCATGCGACCACTTCGATCTCATCGCTGGAGCCGGAACCGGCGGGCTCATCGCTTTGATGCTGGGCCGTCTGCGGCTTGACATAGAAACATGCAAGAATATCTATCCTCGCCTGACGAAATATGTCTTTGAGACGGACAAGACAATTGCCGGCATTCCGTATCGATCAACATTGTTCAAGGCATCAAGACTGGAACAAGCAATCCGTCAGTGCGTTCGGGAATACACAGTCTCTGAATCAGAAGGAAATGATGGAAGCTCGCCGTCACTTTCAGGAAGCAATTACATGGATACCGCTTTGTCGTGCCCGTCGTCCACCAGCGTCGCATCCGCCCTCCCACCAAAACGCCTGAGCCGATCCAGCGCACATCTATCTCGCACTCTGAGTACCAGTAGTGGGCAGCTGTCGCCTTCGCCTCCGCTCTTGTCGCCGACCATGACGAGTCGATCGCCTTATTCCACCATGAATGAGTCATCAAGATGGGGAAATCCTGACGCTTTATTATATGACAATAGAGAAAATCGGACGAAAACGTGAGTGGCCCCGTTCCATTATCAGTATCCAGGCTTGAGCTTTCCATCCCAATAGTCATAAAGAGATTGATGGGCGAGACTTTTTTGTGGATCTTGAGCGTCGATTATGTCAGTTTGTTTTATTTTACTGATTCCCTTTTTTTTGACAGAGCTATAACAGCGTATTTCAAAGGAACACCCAGAAATGGACCCGCGACACTTCTACGTTCGTACGATTCGAGAAAGGAGCCTCCTCCCGACTTCAACTGTACGATATGGCAAGCAGGGCGTGCGACGGGCGCAATGCTTCATCACTTCAAACCTATTCAGATAGGACAGCAGGTCTTCCTTGATGAAGGAGGCGGAAAATTCAACCCATCCCCGCAAATACTCGACGAAGCAACTGTCAATGAATGGCCGGGACGAGACGTCGGCATTTTTGTGAGCGTTGGTACGGGCAAACGGCCTTCCGGGACAAGTAATAGGACGCATGAGTGGTGGGAAGATGTCTTCGTAGAGTTTGCAGAAGCGCGGCGAAACCTGATTTCCAAAATTGAAGGATGTGAGACGATTCACCAATACATGCTAAAAGAGCATCTCGCGAAAAGAAATGTACCGAAAGAAAACTACTGCCGTCTAAATGTCGAGATCGGTGTTGGAGAATACGGAATGAATGAGTGGAATCGCCTGGCAGAAATCAGCACCAATACCCGAATATACCTGGCGAAGAACGACGTTCAGAGAATGACCCATGATGCAGCGGTCAAATTAGCCAGAATACATCGAACACACCGTCGCATTGAGGCCCATGCAGCTGCAATCGCCGCAGCAGAAGCCCGCGAAACTACCTTGATGATGCGTCCTTTACCTCCTCCTCCACCACCGCCCCAGCGACCGATTCCTCCAATTCCATCCCATCCTCCGCAAATTTCCCCGAATCAGTCACCCACAACGTTGCGTCGGCCTTCTCACCCTTCTCATACACAGCCGGTCTACGAACTCCCGGCGATAGAACTGCCAGCGGATCCAGCTCCCATTTCACAGTTCACAGCACCTCCGAGCCAGGCCAAAAATCCCTCGCGCCTCTCCCACATTAGCGTCTCACCACCAGGCAGTAGACATAGCATGGATCAATCTCACACAAGCTCTCCACGTGTAAGCAGCGATACTTTTATTTCCGACGCTGCTCCACCACGCCCGCCGAAGACGCCAATGCCACAAGCAGCAAGGCCAGTAAATACCGTCAATAATACCGCACCTAATAACGATATATCGGAGAACGTGATTATCTCTATGCCTTCACCAACACAAGGCGCAAGCAGACCAATCGGTACGACGGCTCCTAACTCGAATAAATGGAAGCCACCGTACCCGGACGATGGGCCGCCTCCGCCGGTGAATAAGTTTCGCAAGCCAACGTCTAATTCACGAGGTTAATGACTTTCTACGGTTTTATAGTTTCACTTCTTTTTGGTTTTCTACCTACGCAGTACTCAGGGTTGTTTAATGTCATGAAGGCACAAAGTGTTTATGCTGTAAATACCGAATTAGCACCTTTCAATGGCTCCTTTCCTTCTGATTTCAGGTGGAATATTATGAATTTTTGTTTTACGGCATCAATAGCATGGGATGTTTTGGCTTTATTCCCTTTTTCATTCTTTTTGTTTTTTTTTTTTTTTTTCATTCTTTTTTACGGGGGAGGCCATAATGCTTTCGAAAAGATGAGCATGCTGTGCGCTCTGGGATATTATGGAGTTATGTTGCATAATGCTAATCCCGTCTGTTCAAATTTCAGAACTCCCTAATGAAGCTCAAATTGTACAGATCTATGTTAAGCATTCTCCCCTTTTTTCTCTTTTCGTCAGTGTTTTGCTCCTTTTTTTTTAAGGGCTTTTTTGTTATCCCGGCGAACGGATCATGTACTTGCTAGGTCTCGAAATCGCCATATCTAAAGTCCTCGCATATGCGCCCTTGAGTTTTAGACCTCGCAAACAGACGTTGCGGCGCATATTCAGAAGTTGTTCCTTCGATGAATCCATATTAATTCTTTGGGTTCCTCTCCGCTTTCTCCCCAGTCTGTCCCTCTTGTCCTTCCTGGGCATTGATTTGCTCTTCTTGGCAGTCCTGCCGCTGGTCACAAGCGCGATTCTCGACTGCCTTGCCCTTGTTTCCCCCTTTATATTGCTGGCATTCCAGGAACTCTTGAACTTGGTGGCAACCCTGTTCATTCGGACTATTCTTCATCTCCTGTGCCTCTTGTCCATCGACTTCTCGGTGTCCCTCCTGTCCCGCGTCTCGGTCATTTAGAACTTCTCCCGAAGCCGACGTTCCTGCTTCCCCCCAAAGAGCCATGCCAGCCTCAAACAGCGCACTGCCAAATCTCTCCGCGATTTTTCTGTAGATCGCGTCTAGAATTTCAACATCGCTAGTAACCCTTGCACCGACCCATTCAGTCGGAACGTTCCACGGAAACGGAAACTGTCCGCTTGACCGGCGCGAAATGAAGCTTGGATATTCGTAGAGGGTGTTCCAGGCTGCGAAGACGGCGGAGCATGCAGCGCAAATGGGCTGGGAGGAACCGATACATGTAAACGGTGGTGGATGGATGCGATGCGTCGTGAAAAACTGAAGCAGCTGAATGGGTGGGTGCAGGGTGACCCTACAAGGGTTGTTTCGCTTGGATGATATTTCGCCCAGAGCAGTGAAGTGAGCTTGAACACCGGCTTCGTATTCCGGTTTGATCGCGAAGTTGCGGTATGCAAGGCCCTGAGTGAGGACGGCCTCCCAGCCATTGGTGTCGATCGGCAGCGCGGTTGGGATGGGCTGCGGGTTGAAGTCGTCAACGTACACAACTTCAAGAGACTTGTTGCTGAAAATCTGAGGTGCCTTTCCAGACTGAGCAACGCGCTCCAGAGTATTGATCGCAATATGGAGCTCGACGAAGTGTCGGAGATGCGAGAGAATAGGCTCCTCTGTGAATTGAGAGGAGTGTTAGTTGTTGGGCTCTTTCCTGCGCATTGGTTGGAAGCACCACATACCTTGTTCAGGGATCATCGCGCCCCAGTCTTCAATTATTTTCAAGGCGTCGTCCCCTTGTTCAAACACGCGATATGCAGATTCCAAGCGATCCATCTTGGCTGGAAAGTCTGGGTGTAACACAATGCTTGCGGGGTCACGGCCTTCCTTGGTCAACAAGTTCGCAGAATCGCACACCCACTCGTATTGCTCGATAAGATAAGTCAAAGGCTCAAGCCACCAGTGGAATTTTGGATTGAAGTCCTCGAGCTCGTCTCCGACTGTGTCCACCATGATAGCCTTAAACCGCGACATGTCGTCGTAGGACTGATGGATCCACTTAAGCCACCGCTTGAAACACTGACGGTAAACAAGTCGCATCAGACTATGATAAGTGTCTTGTGGCATAGTGGGTGGCCTGGCCTTTTGAGCATCCGGCTCTTCCTCGGGGTGCTCACGCTCAAATTTCTCCTTTTCAATGTCGAAGAGCTCATAATCTTTAGCCCGTTTTTGCAGGAGGTTCCAAATATCCTCGAGAAAGATGGTTTTAGAAGCTGTGACTTTCTGGTTTGTCGATATGTATATGACAACCGCGCGCTTTGAAGCATCGGGATCTTGGTCAAGCTGGATACCAACTGCATAAAGTTCTCCAGGACGACCATCCAGTAAAATTGTTGCCACGGCATCCTGGACTGTGAACTTTTCTGCAAATTTGTCGGCAGGACAGTTGGCAAAAACCCGATGGCGTTCACTCAGTGGTTCCACATTGGTAGTGCTTGCTAAAGTCACCAAATGGTTGATGTCCCTGGCAAGAGCTTGCTTTTGTTCAGTTTCATCATCCATCTTCACTCACCTGGATGAAGTGAAAAAGGCCCTAAAGATCGGGACCTCAGGAGGAAATAGAGAATGTCAACAGCTGAAGTGCAGGAGTTGAACAAGGGCAGTATATGAGACGAAAATCACAAATGTGCAAGCAGCAATGAGGAAACCTCTGCCATGCAAGCTCATAGCAGAATGAAAGAACTTAGAAAAGTGAAAACAGCAGGAGAGAAAAAAGAGAATGAAAGAAGTTGACGACATAAGCAGGCTGGGGTGAAAGGACGACATCACCATGGGAACTCATTATGCGACGCCGAGCATGATAGCAGAGTGCAGCTGAGAACTTCCACACTCTTGTCACACCTTTGTGAAGGATGCTGCAGTGCAGTTTGATATATATCCAATTCTCTAGGGCGATTTTACAGCATACATGACCAATCCAGGGGCCAGGAGATCAAGGATTGTCAGCGCAGTCGTTGCACACCCCCTTCCCTTTATTTGCGTTGAACCTCAGCAACAAATTAGCATGGAGAACTGGCAACATCATGAACGGAACCTGCTAAGCAGCTGGAATCTGTAGAGCAAAGTAAGATATGCCTTGCGCCCCAATGAGTTAGGTGTCTCCCAAGGCCCATCGCAAGGCACAAAATCATCCAGTATTTCCCAGGTGTTTGAAACGACCGACATGACAGCAGCTTCTTTGCCCTTGTGACCTTGAAGCCCTGAGAAAGTCAGATTTGATAACTAGCAGTGAGATGAGTACGAATCACTATCCTTGAGTTTGATATTATCATCTCCCTCCTTTTCATATCGTGTTGGTCATTTTCTTTTGTTTTTCTGTTTTCACCGACCAAGCGCTTGTGGCTGGTGGTCTAGAGCTACCTAGCCACCCCAAAAATAGCAACCGGACCCACTACCAGCCACCTAGATAAGATAAGATGGATTACTTAAGAAACTCTCTGATGTTGACAGCGCTGGACGCAGCGTTTTTCTGCTTCAGCCAGCTGCCGGACCACGATGTCTGTAGAAACGAGTTATATGATTCTTATGTTACCGCTATGAGATGAGATTAGGTTGTCGATCTGCTCGCTCCGCAAAATTTCTCCCAACAAGCCACCGTCTGAGACGAGATATATCTATCCTTCTCCCTCTTATCCAACGTTTGAACACGGCGAACCCTCTAACGTATATCGGCGCCCTAACGGCCGCCAAGGCCTACGATCAGGCCGCCGGCGCCAAATTCCAGCCCAACGATGCCTGAGCAGCTGTTGCATGCTATATCCCTGGCTGCGCGGGCCGGAGGTTTAGCAGGCGATGTCGGGAGTCGACCACCCGTTTTCAAAGCCGTTGGCATCTCCTTGGCCGTGGCATCGGGCCTATTTATCGGCGTCTCATTCGTCCTGAAAAAGGTCGGCTTACTCAGGGCAAATGTCAAATACAATGAGGAGGCCGGGGAGGGTTATGGATATCTCAAGAATTTTTACTGGTGGGCTGGCATGACGCTGATGATACTGGGAGAAATATGCAATTTTGTGGCGTATGCATTCGTGGATGCCATTTTGGTGACACCATTGGGTGCATTGTCTGTGGTGGTGACGACGATTCTATCAGCTATCTTTCTCAAGGAGCGGTTAAGCTTTGTGGGAAAAGTCGGCTGTTTCAACTGTATCATCGGATCGGTGGTGATTGCAATGAATGCACCACAGCAGTCGTCGGTTTCAAACATCCAGGATATGAAACGCTACGTTATTCGGCCCGTATTTCTTACCTATGCCGGAGTCATCATCGTTGGCTGTACTGTCGTGGCGATTTGGGCTGGTCCCCGCTACGGGAAAAGAAGCATGTTCGTGTATCTGTCTATTTGCAGTCTAATTGGTGCATTGAGTGTTGTTGCTACTCAGGGTTTGGGCGCAGCGATTATTGCCCAGATATCTGGACAGCCGCAATTTAAGGAGTGGTTCCTTTACGTTCTGTTGGGTTTTGTGATAATAACCCTATTGACCGAGATCATCTATTTAAATGTAAGGCTCTGTCTCGGCAATACTGCTACTATTTGTCAGTGGCCGTTAGTTAATGACTGACCGTTCGAACTAGAAAGCTTTGAATGTTTTTAATGCCGCACTGGTTACTCCGACTTACTATGTTATTTTTACCAGCGCCACAATTATTACATCCGCCGTTCTATTCCAAGGTTTCAAAGGCTCTCCGATAAGTATAACCACTGTTGTCATGGGCTTTCTCCAAATATGTACGGGAGTCGTGTTGCTGCAGCTGTCAAAATCTGCCAAAGATGTGCCAGATGCCGCCATATTCAAGGGCGACTTGGATCAAGTTCGAGAAGTTGCTGAGCAGGAGCAACCCGAGTCAGAGCCGAAAGCAGATGCTATTCGAGGTACTGCTGCAATTATCCGCCGCATATCGACACCTAGACAGAAGATGGAAAGGGATGAAGCACTGCGATATCAAAGCGAACGGAAGCTCGATGAGTCATGGTCACCTGGAGAAAATGAAATAATTGAATGGGATGGCCTCAGAAGAAGAAGAACCGTTCTCAGCGTTGGACCAACTGCCACACCGCGGCGGACAAAAACACCTCGTCCACCTCTGGGGATGTCGCGATTTCCAGAAGACGACGAAGATTCAGAGCCCAAATCAAGAACTGGGAGGTCGTTTCTGGACAGTTTTCGGAGCCGCACATCAAGCGGTCGCTCTTCGAGGAAGTCGAGCGAGAATTCGCAAAGCACCGAAACTCGAATGTGCTCTATCGAATTAGAATCGATTCACGACCGTTCACGGAAGAACGTCGATGGTCAGCATAGATACACCGAAGTCAAAAATTACCCTGCCACTACTCTTTTAGAACCATTCCAATACGAGAGTCAAAAGCGAATGCGAAGCGGCACTGTAGGATCTGTCAGGTTTGCGGATGACGTGAAGACCATCGATGATAGCCCTCAGAGACAAAGGAGCAGATCACCGCCCACCCCGCCAGCACATCGCCAATTCTCTTTCCAGAGACTTTTCCACCGCGAAGGGTCTTCCCCTCGTGCTGATATCTCCAGCGAACTGTCTCCTAGCCGAGACAACAGATTTCTTGGGTTTTCGAATTTCAGGGCGCACCGTCAGCCTCCACAGCAGCGACGAGTTACAAAAAACGCAACCGAAGAAGAAGTACTTGGACTTGTCAGAGATGGGGCCATGGACACCGAGATCCCTCATGATCGGAGTCGTACCCCATCGCCAACATCATCCATCCTTGAATCAATGAATGAGAAGCCGTTTGGTGAAAGTAATATGTCCTATCCTAGCCGATCGCGCCGCTCCTCGTCTACGTCGTCGTCGTCATCTTCAGAATATCACCGTTCATTCGACCGTATTCCATCATATGTTAAAGGAGACGATCATCTGTATAATGTCGTGCGTACCTCCGCATCCGATCCTTTCTCAGTTACAGACCAAGATAACCCCGCCGGAATATCTGAACTACGCGTCCCCCATAATCCGGACAATGAACGCTCCTTAACGGCTGGAACTGATAACGTCGCTCACCCGCCCGCCTCCTACCAGCGACCACTCGTCCAAGGCCGAGATCTACCACCGATACCCGTCGAAACTACCCGATCCGATGGAACATCTCTCTTTGACCCTCCACAAAATGTTTATACTACAAACCCGAACATTTCAATTCCTCCACTGCCGCCTGATCCTCGTTCCATCCCCTCCGCTCCGCCGTCCATCTCTTCTGACATGGACAGTGTAGAAGAGGAAATTCTCGAAGACCATGATGATAGAGATCGAGCGGGCTCCAGAAACCGTGGCCCCACGAGTTTGTCGTCAAGCAACGGAGTGGCTTTCATCTAAATAGCTCGCAGTTTTCCAAAACTGAATGTTTATATGCATTAACTATTAATATCTGATATGCTCTGGGAGAAGCATGTTATATTGATTGTTGTAGGTAGGTACCTCATACATGTGCTGTACATCCATACATGCATGCATAGCGGTTACAAAGAAGGGTCTAAATAGTTAATAATATTGCGATAAAGTTCGGCACCCTATTTGTGGTGCAATTTGGTCCACACGTAGAAATCATCGCAGATTCAAATCACTTGCTAAAAAAGTCAGAGACTTGTTGAATTAACTCAGGCTGAGCACTCAGTATTCTCGGGTTCTTTGGACTCTATTCGCCTCCCAACAACCGAAGATATCCGGAGATTTCTTTTTTAGGAATTTCTTAACCCAATCTTTACCCAGTGGATTGTTATCATTATTCATTCGAAGGATTCGGCTTGACAGTCCATGGACTTGGGGGGTGAGAGAGAAACCCTTGAAGGTCCTGCTCCATTATCCATTCAACTAGAAATTTTCTCTTGTTCAGGAACGTTGATGCCCTTTTTGATGATTTGTGTGTCCTGCTCTTCGACTGCGGATCGTACTTCGAGGAATGCCATACATGGCCGCGGCGGCTCGTTCTGATTTAATTTGACTAGATTCAAGAGCTTCAATAGCAAGAGAAATATTAACTTCACGATTTAAATCCACTTTGAGAGGAATTTATTGATTTCTAATACATTGAAATTAAAATTTCAAACTACGCGAAGATTTTACGTGTGGACTAAATTGGTGAGGGGTTGGACTAGAAATAATAGGGAGCTTATGCCTTTTTTTTTTTCGGGCGAAACACTACAAAACGGGCTGCTTTCATGATCTGTTAAAATGGTTTGGCACTTCTGTTGAAAATCTAAATACCACTGCAGCAGAGATCGATCATCCAGTGAATACACTGTGTACCTCTGGGCAACTTTCCCATGATTAATTGAACAAATACTCCGTCCTCGCCCCATAAATTCTCTTCACACAGAGCTGTTTAACCAAGCCACACGGGGATGCACAGGGCTAGTTCCATGTGTTACCTTCAATAACAGCCTCTCAGGCATGCAATTCAGGACTTGAACATGTAGTCGAACTAACCATGGCCTGTTTAAAAACGCCAAAGTCTTCTCGCTAATCCTTTGAACATCCAAAGGGAGTCAAAATACTTCCAAAAAGAAGTAATCAGACAGATTAAAAAAAAGAAAAAAAAGAAAAAGGAAGGTAGTGTATATGTGTGTGTGTATATATATATATGTCCATATATCAAACCAAATTAAGAAAAAAAACCGACGGGGCGCCTATGTCCATGTTTTATCTCTTGGGGGCTTTGGGGGAATTCCAACAGCAAAGAACAATTGTCCATCTCCTGGATATTAATACTGAGCTTCCCCCATGAACTTCGTCCACAGCATATCACCCCAAATTGGTTCCTTGTCCTGCCTGAGCTCTTGTCTCCGCCAGAGTTGATGCCCTTCTCACCACACCGCATCCCCATTATAGTATAAATGTGAGTCCTTATTGTTAGTACAGTCTCTCATTGCTATCTAATTCTAACCATAAACTAGCCGCGTCTCAAGTCTCAAAACAAAATTGCAATGACCCGCCCATTGAACACTTTGTCCCTCACATTGCCACAAACACTGCAAATGGCTGTACTCAACACACTTCCTCCCTGCTACTCTATTCTTTTGCAGATGATCTTTCCTGTTTTCCAGAAGAAGCCCTGGCTATATATCCTTCTTACCTTGTTGTTCACTGTACATATGTCCATCACCTGTTGGTGTCATATCCAAAACTTGTACTTTGTAACCATGGAAGTCAGGTACAACAACAAACTGTACAATGCCATTCTGGACTATGCAGTGAAAAATTCTACAGGGGTATCCCATGTTGTCGCATCAACAAGGACATGAAATGGTCTGGCATTGTACAAAGAGAATGACAAAAATAACAGTGACATTAATTCAGAAGATGAGAAAGAGGACTTTAACACATACTGGAAGCAAGAAATCAGCATCACCAGATTCTTGAAGTCTTGCTATACCCCATCTGACACTTGGACTTTTTGGCACAACAGACACTGGATACACTTGGAATTCAAACAAAGTGGTTCACAAGACACTCTATGGTTTCTGGATCTGAGGACAATTATTTTGACTGCCTGGAAAATAGAACATCTCAAGAAGTTTGTACATGATGCAAACCAGTGTTATATTGAATGCCACATTCACTGTATTGCTGTTTATTGTGGGCAGACATTTTCCAGCAGGCTTCAGTGGGCCAAAGGTGCATCAAGACAACCTTGATCTTTATCAACTCTAATGTTGGATAAGGGACTAGTAGATCATGTTCTTGCTGATATCAAGATATATCTAAAGGGATGCTCCTGGTATGAAACTCATGCTATTCTCTATCAATAAGGTTATCTCTTCCACAGTCCTTCTGGCACAGGGAAAACAAGTTTGGCTTTTGTCATTGCCAGTGAACTACAACTAGATATCTATGTGCTCAGTCTAAATTCCTCAGATCTTGGTGAAGAATAACTTGTTGTCCTGTTCTGTGCCATCCCAAAACATTGTATTGTACTGCTTGAGAATGTCAATTGCTCTGATATCTCTTGTGAACATAGTGATTCAGCAGCAAATGTGGAAATGAAAGATAAGACCTCAGGTGGGTTGACTCTCTCTTCTATGCTTAATGCCCTTGATGGCCCTGCAACACCAGAAGGTTACATCCTGATCATGACCACCAACTATTGTGAGAAACTTGACAAGACACTTATCTGCCCTGGCTGGATAGACATGGAGGTTCTGTTCAGCTATGCAGATAAGAATATCATCAGAGACCTCTTCAGCTGTCTGTATGATCCCTTCAATCAGATATCATCCAAGATCAGCAACAACAGAATCCCAGACCTTGCCATGGAATTTATGAGTCAAGTTCCTGGGGGCAAGTTCACAACCACTGTGGAGATTCAAGGCTACCTTTTGTGACACATGGGGAGTCCTGAGGATGCTGTTAAGGGTGCCAAAAACTGGGCATGAAACCTCCTCAGCAAGAAACAAGCTGGATAGGGCCCCGGAGATTCTTGATGTATTGATGTAGTTAACAGGGCGCTTAAATGGCGTTGGGAGCTTTCTCACCTCTTTGAATGACAAAACATTGTGCTTCAAGTCTTTCCATTGCAGGGCCTGCAAGTGCTCAATGGCTCGCTATTCTACACTATCATTATCATTACTTCATCCCTTTGCTCCATTATATTCCCGGAGACTTCAAGTCGGCATTGGTTACACCAAGTTCAGAGCAATGTCACATGATCAAGCGAATTTGATCAAATACAAGTGGATTGATGGTGTAGAGACACTCGAGCATTATGTTCCCGGGGGCTATCATCCTGTTATGATTGGCGATGTCCTCGACGACAGATACCACATTGTTGACAAACTTGGGTTCGGCGGGTATTCGACTGTTTGGCTTGCTCGAGACTCTCGTTACGACCACTATGTTGCGTTGAAAGTCGGCATCGCACACTGGGGAAAGGGCGCGCTTTTGCGTGAAACAAGAGGTCTCAGGGCACTTTCTGCGCCGCTACCATCTTCTGCGTCTAGACAGCAACATCTAGGACACGGTTCAATACCTTGTCTCCTAGATCAATTTGAGGTACATGGCCCTAATGGGACGCATGTCTGCTACACAACCACTCCCGCCCGGTGCAATCTCCACGAAGTTTCTTTCAGCCGTCTTTTTCCTCTTGACGTCGCGCGAGCACTATCGGGTGGGCTGGCTCTGGCTCTCGCATATATCCATTCAAGAGGCTATGTTCACGGAGGTTGGTCAGGACATTTTGCCCTTTTCTTTGTACCTACTCAGCTAATCACTTGGGTCTATATCTAGATATCCAGTTGCAGAACATTTTTGTCAAGCTACCATCAAGTTTTGATGCGCTTTCAATTGACCAGCTGTACGAAAAATACGGCAAATCTGCAACAGTGGATGTTAGACGTAAAGATGGCAAACCACTTCCACCAAACATTCCACCCAAAGCGGTCTTGCCGCTATACCTTGGTAAAAAAGCGCAGGAGTTTACCCTTGCCGATGTCCGCGTCCTCCTGAGTGACTTTGGCGAGGCATTTGCCCCAGGCACAGATATTCGCCCTGGAAAAGCTAGCAATATCCCTCTAGCTTTTCAGCCACCAGAGGTTCGCTTTGAACCAGATGCCCCATTGACATTCTCCTCAGACATATGGAGTCTGGCGACTGCCATATGGGAGATTATCGGTATCAAAGCTATTTTCAGTACTGACTGGGTGACTGAGGATGAGATGACAGCCCAGCATATCGATGAGCTAGGACCCATGCCTTTGAGCTGGTGGGACCGCTGGGAGAAGAGGGGTGAATTCTTTGATGAGAATGTGCGCCCGATAGAAGGTAGGGAAGTGTGGCCGCCTCTTGACCAGGCGTTTGAGGATTTTGTACAGGTGTCTCGTCGGAAGCGTGGGATGGGAGAGTTTGGCAAGGAAGAAACCATTGCTCTTTTACATTTGATGCGACGCATGCTGGCCTACCTGCCGGAAGACAGGCCAACTGTTGAAGAGGTACTCAAGTCAGAGTGGATAGTCAAGTGGGTGATGCCGGATTTCGAGCGGAGTTTGCAGGCGCAGCAATAACAATTAACCACCGCCGTGGACGGACTAATAAGTGCTAAGAATAGTATAAAGAGGATTAATTGTATGCAATAGCCTTGCCGTTCCAGGTCATCATCATGTTGCCTCGGCTCTACCTACTCCTCCAGCAATACTTTGTCCGAAGGAAGCTTTCCACATGTCTTCATCAGTGTCACTCCCCGTATCCTCATCCGATTCAATCGAGGCGGTGTATTGTCTACCGTAGCAGGAGCTGGAGGAGAGACTTGTCTCCCATCATCCACGTGTGGGCTGTCCACGAGAAAAACACATGGGAAGTCTTCTGCCACTTGTAACATACACACAGCTGGGGACTGAGGACTTGGAGTAATTCAGCTCAAAATGTGGGTTAATCATGATGCTAACAAGAACCCTTCCAGAGTAATTAATCTTACCAGGATATGCTGGGCTCTTCAGTTCTCAAGAGATGTGATGAGATCCTATTTGAAGAGTAAAAAGAAGACATTTTATGTCATGCCTGATGATCAGAGACATGGAGAGAAGTATATTTTGTGAGATATCTATATTAGCTTGCCCTGTGCTATTACATTCATTAAAAGATATAGATCTGAGTTGAGGGAGCTCCAGGATGATCTTGAACATCTTGATAGATAATGTAATACAGTGTTAGAGGAGAAACAGTAAATGCTCTATAGAGGGCCAGAGTAGTAAACCTCCCCTTCCTCCCACACAAGCTAACAACCAACAAGCAAAAAGGAGATTAAATTAACAAGAAAGCCGCCATGGAAAGCCTCTGCATAAGAGAAAATCAAACAAGGCTCAATGGAGAAAAGGTTTCTGAAAATTTCACAAATTGCCGCCCATGCAAAATTACCATCTGGAGGGGTGCTAGCATGACCAAAGTGAGTATCATATGCAGGACGATAGAGGAGGAAGCCAGTATATACAAAGCATGCCACGCTTCGAACAAAATAAAAATAGCAAGGGGAAAAAAACAAAAAGGGAAAAGGGGAAATAGAAATTCTCCAAGGGGGAGTCGCTGGTAAGTATAGAAAGGATAAATGAAGATGAGTTCCATAGTTCACCCGTCACTAGATGAAAAGCTGGTGTTGTTGACGCCGTGTTGTTCGAAGAGCTTCTGGCGGATCTGAGTGAGGATCTCTGCGTCTTTTCGGAGACTGGGAGATATGTGTCTGCTATGAAGAAGAAATTTGATTGTCCGATCGATGAGTTCGCCGAGTCTCTTTCGATCGACAAAATTTGAAAGTCGAGATGTATACGTTGCGGCAAGGACGAGAATATTTCCGAATTGCCTTTTAAGGGAGAAAAAAGAACAGTTAGTTATGTCGCCAAAATTTGATGGTATGAAACGTACGACTTACGCGTGAGCAGTTCCAAAAATATTCGTCACGATAGGTCGTCCTTCAACATTATCAAAAGCGACGGTGCTATGCATCGCAGCCTCAATGCACGCTACGCAAGCAGCATGTAGTTTAGGATCCAAATCCTTCTCGAACGGAGGTTGCGGAGGATCCTGGCTGGAGGTTATCCGGGGTGGTGGGGGCATCTCCCCGGACCAGCGATCGATATTTTCAACTTGTTGCACATGCGCCAGGGCGGGCGAGATTTGCGAATTTGCGCTCGACACGACTGAGGGCGCAGGCGATTCCGCTGGGCCGGTGCTGTGGGTCTTCGCTATCATGGGGTGCAGAGCATGATGCAACAGTGGTCGATGAATGATGTATCTGGCTCCATAGTATTTACCGCGCATCCGAGCTATATTAATGTCCCTCGCTGGTGGGTCTGAGTCGTCCCATTGCATGGCTTTTGGCAAACCACTCCGCCAATATTCCAGCATGTCGCTCAAGGCTTCTTGAATCGTAGTTGTCCATCGCGTCCTCTTTTCGCCGTTGGCTGTTTCTAGATGGACGTGTATGTTAGTTTGTTTTCGATTGGAGCTCCAATTGCCCGCAAAATAAGAATATCAAATTCAGAAAATATATATATAAAACAAACTTACTCTCGGTTTTATACAAATTCGTATGCACGCGATTCAAGACCTTTCTTAAATGAATCTGGGCCGAGTAATACATCATCATCAGCGTATCTGGTGCCTCGATCTCATTCGGGATCGAGTGGGCGAAGACTGCCTTGGGAAACTCCATGCGGCCTTCCAATCGGCTGATGCCACTGGCAGGGAGGTCAAGCTCAGCGAGGATATCACTGGAGTTTCGGGTGAGTAAAAGGGTAGAGACCTTTAGCTGAAGCAAGACTGGGAGGGTGTTTACCTTTCAAGTTGCAGACACGTCCAGAACGCAAAAGTGATCAAGTCCTTGCGTGGGCCATCGGGCATCACCTCAAAGCTCCGCCTTGACGCAATGAGTCAGTAAATCTTATTCGAAGCTCCGGAAGGGTTACAGAAGAAAAGCTATTACTCACGCTCGAACCAAAACTTGACAAGCTCGAGCTGCTTGACTAATCCACCCATGACTGGCAAAAGGGTGAGCGAGCTGCCCTGTGTACAGCGCAGCAAGAAGACACCCCTGCGCGTGTGCAAGGTCATTTCCACCCTGGAGGTTACCCAAAATATCAGACGCAAGAGCATAATATGCCATTCCAGGAATAACATCCATGTTCTTGAGGTTAGGGTCGGAATGATCGCTGCCGGAATAGCTCCCGGATCGTTTCCAGCCCTGGATATTATTCGGAGAGCGACTCGTGGGAGAACGGAATGCGTTTGTTGAAGGCATGGCCGAATCCATGGTGACAGGCGACACGGCGGAGGTCACGTATGGTAATTTACTTGGCGGGTCCGGGATGGGACCTGGCAGCTCCATTTTCCACGAGCAAATGGCACCGAGGGCCAAGACGAGAAGGACAATCGCATTGTCCATAGATCGTTGAATCGGAGGACAACTGGCGCCCATACTGTGGTCAGAGCCTGGGGATTCGAGTTCGGTATAGCCGGATGCGACATCGACGGATCGTTTCCGTTTTTGAGATCTGTTCAAAGTGTTCATCGAATCGTTGGCTACGATGTGGCCGAAGGGAGGAGCAGCAAAATGGCCCCTTTTGGGAGGACTGTATGCATTGACAAAATCTTTGACCATGATTGCGAGATCGGTGGACCTGAGGAACGGATGGAGGATGTGCATGTTTTCCATATAACTCTTGTGATATGCGTACACCACATCCACATCGAGATCGAGTGCGCCGGCACTGTTGAGTCCTCCGATCTGGCGCTCCTTGGGAATCTTGGACACACTGTTCCCTTGGAATATCTCAAAGCCTGTTCCCCACCCCGAGCCGCAAAACTGAAACATATCTTCATCGCGTGGACTCGACGAGCTGACGATGGGGCTGAGGGGATATACACTGGTGCGAATGCTGCCGCCTCCCTCGCCGCGACCATAGGGCCGAATGGGACCGCGCGACTCCTCCAGTCGCATAACATAGTCGTCATCGATCCTGTCGGGTATAAGCTTCTGTATTGATGGCCACAGAAGCAGTTTGTGCGCTGCGGTTGTGTGCTCGATCGGGATGGAGAGTTCGTCGTCGTCAGCCTCAACTTGGATGTCCCCTTGCTCCTGCTTGACAGCGTCGCTAGCCAGCTTTTCGGATAGCTTCACGGGTTCCATCTCGGCACCCTTTCCCTGCTGAGGAGTAGCGGCATTTTGAACCGGCTGTTTCAGCTCCGGATCAGAGAGTGAACTTGAAGGCTTTGTTCGGTTCGCCCTTCCTAGGAGAGCGTCGAGCTTGTCGGTATGTGCCTTGAGCAGCTTTACGACCTCGTCGATCTTCTCAATGTTCTCAAATTTGTCGAATCGATCGTCGATCTGTTGAAGCCTCTCGAGTAATATCTGAGTCGATCTCTCGTGCCTTCATCGTGAACGGGAAGAGCAAAAAAAAAGCAAAACTTGGTCAGGTTCGTCTTCCCGCGTGCGACAATGTCTCGGTAGGTACGGCACTTACTTATGGGGAGGAACATCTTTATAGACACACTGAACATTACTATCTTTACAATGCCCACAGGAAGGCCGACCTTCGTCACACTTGGCTTTTCGCGCTCGACATTGATCGCAAGCCTAAGATCGAATTAGAAAACGGCCGTAGGACGAATGGTTTTTTTTTTTTTCTTTTTTTTTAGGGTTTTTGATTCTAAATTTTCAAGTTAAGGGTATTACTGAACCTGTTGTGCTCTGGTAGTTCTCCGCTGCCGCTGGCTATAAGGAACATTGGCCTGCGCGAAGTAATAGCCTGCATCGTACGCAGCGGCACCGGGAGGCATGTGCGCGCCAGACCCGTAGGGTCGATGTATTGGAATACCGTCCGGAGTCGGCGGGGGAGGAGGCATCATCTGTAGGCCGCGAGGTGGCTCGCCGTTCCCATGACCGTCGCTGGGAGGGCCATAGGGGAAGGAAGGGCGATACTCGGTGGTGGGAGTGGGCGGGAGACTGGAGGAAGAAGGCTCGTGGGAATTGCCGTTTATAGGGCGAAATGAGGGATCGGAGTGGGTTCTTGGGGGCCCAGATATACTGGGGGGCCGGGAATACATATCCTGCGGGTGATGCGACCCTTCTCGGGGTGGACCGTTGAATACGGGATGGCCGCGCTGATCAGCATTTGCGCCTTCGAAAGGAGGATACGGACGGCTCCAAGGCTCAAACTGGGAGCGGGGAGGCGGGAGGGTGTGGGAGTGCTCCGGCGGAGGCAATGGGCGAGAGGGTCCCGGAGGCTGTTGCTGTTGCTGCTGCGGTTGTTGCAGCGGCGGAGGCTGTTGTGGATGTTGGTTTTGTTGTTGGGAGGGAGGGGGCGGTTGTGGTGGTGGTGGTAGTGGTGGAGCAGAGAACGAAGCTATCTGTTTGGGCTTCTCATCCGTGGCAGCTGATTCCATCGTCTTCATTGGATGAAACACGTTGGGCCATCAGCAAGACAAGAATGTATGTTACGGGGCTTGAAAAATTATATTTCCTCGGGTCAGGGAAAAAAAGGGGGGGTGTGTGGGTTTAGAGGAGACGGGGTTCCAGCTACGAGAACCTGGAGCAGACGGGCCTCGACAACGATATCATGGCGGAATGGGACGAGCGACCGCTCAGGCCAGAGAGGGTCGAAGGAGTGAGCACGCAGTGGCGGCCGGATTGGAGGGACAAACGGGCGAAAGCAAACGCGGCAGGGCGGTCTGCGGCGAATTGAACTCACTGGTGATTTTTCTTTTTTTTTCTTCTCTTCTCTTCTCTTTTCTTTTCTTTTTTTTTTTTTTTTTTTTTTTTTTTTTTCCCTTAATATTTGGGGGTGGGAGAAAAAAAAAAGGAGCAGTCAGGTACCCGGTATACACAAGCTCAGGCACCGCAGGAGAGTTTTCCGGGGGATGGCAACAAAAAAAAACAAAAAAGCAACCAGAACCAGGCCTTGGGACGAGTGGCAAAAAAGAAAAAAAAAAAGGGTTAAGATTTCCGTGCGTGGGACCCAGGAATGCGGCCACCCGCAGCTGGGGATCCTTCAGGACGCGGAAAGCTTGCTGGCGAGCAGTGGATGTATGTACGGAGTATGTATGTATATGTATGGATGGATGGATGGCAACACCAAGAGAAAACTGAAGGGGTCTTACGCGAGCCAGCGGTTTCGGTGCGCGCCGGATTAGGTTGGAGGGAAACAAGGGAGCGCTCGCGGGGATAAACCTTGCAGTCGGGGATGGGATGGAGGGAGGGAAGGGGGAGAGCGGGAGGCGAGAGAACAGCAGCGGACGAGAGGGAGATCAGCCAGCGAGCAGGCAGAGGAGTGAGGTGGTGGTGGTGGAAAGGAGAGGGTGAGAGAGAGGCTGGCGAGACGAGAGGAGAGAGAGGGAGCGAGAGAGAAGCGAGAGAGAGAGAGAGAGAGAGAGAGAGAGCGGAAAAGAGAGTTCAGACAATCCCGTTACGAAGAGATCCACCGAACTAAGATCAACGAACTCTCGCATTGATCAGGAATGGCACCCTGGCCTGGCCTGACTGCGCCGGGAAAAAAATAACCACCAGCAGCAGCAGCAGCTCGTCGTCGTTCCCATCCACAATCCGAATCCTCCAGCTGAAGCGATCGCTGCTGGAAAATCTGCCTGTCAATTGCTTCATCTGCTGCAAGGGTGCGCAAAGCGCAGCTTTTCACGATCCATCACCCGTCGCCGCCCCCGTCACGTCACCGTCTCCAACGACTCCAACGACTCCAACGACGACGACAACGGCGACAACAGCTGGCTTCGATGTCAATCTGAACGCCGACTAGCCGAAACCTAACTCAGCTGTAGAGACCAAACTTGTTCTGCCATTCACCTCGCGTTCTGACAAATAATGGCGTCAAACTCGTCACTTTTTCTGCTTCGGCCATTTTTTACTTTCTGCATTTCTTTTTCTTTTACCTGTTTACCTTTTTCTTTTTCTTTACTCCGTACTGTTTACCTTTTTACCTTTTTCTTTTTCTTTTTTTCTTTTTTCCCCGACTACGGAGTACTCCGTACAGTGTAATGATCAGCTCTACTCCGTACTGGCTAGGATTTGTCGCGTTTCATATTACTCCATCGAGTCTATCCTGCTGATGATAAAAACAATCATGATGCTGGTGGTGGTGATGGTGATGGTGATGGTGATATGAGAAAGCTATTGTCGTGGTGTGACGGTGGACTGGGGAGGGGGAGCGAATGGCATACGAAGCCGAGCAGATCCATTCACCATTGACTATGTAGTGCCGTTGACTAGTTAGCTAACTCAGATTCGCCGTCAACCCGACAGCTCTCACTCTCTCTCTCGTCAGATCAACGGAGCTGCAGCTGGTCGATCAGAACACACAAAAAATCCAGAGTCTATGTGTTCTATTCGCTACCGCTGACCAAGCAAAAGGGAGAGCAGCTAGAATCATCGACGATTTTCTGATCAGTTACAAAATAAAATAAAACAAAATAATAAAAAGCCCCCGAACGACAGCACAGACAGCACGGAGAGAGGACGCTTATCCAAGGCCGTGGCGAACATCCTGGCTGTATCCGACTTCAACTAACTCTCTGACCATCTTCACTACCCGACTGCACAGAGCTCGATCGGAGAGACGGAGGGCAGCTGGCGCATCTTCAGACTTCCATGCAGAACAGCAGCACCCAGCGGCGCGACCACTCCTTCGGAGCAAGCCAAGTGATCCCACGAGCAACTGCCCGAAACAACGTTAGCCCGCCCGCTGTAGACGGTTTCTGTCCTCCTGTCTCGACGCCGTGGCTGCCGGTTGGGCCTCTCTTCTACATACTTTCTTCTCCACGGCTCGCACGGCAAGGTAACATGTAACTCACCAGCCAGCCAGCCAGCCAGCTAGTCGTTCGTTCCTCCGCCCTCCTTTTTTTTTTTTTTTTTTTTTTTTTTCCCTTCCTTCACCGTCGAAGGCTTTTCTTCTAGAAACCGGAGCACTAGGGCTAGCTCTCGGTAACTCCAGGCCCTTGGGGTTACTAGTGGGTAGACCGGGACGGAATACAGCCTGCAAGTGCATTCGGAGTATCCCGTCCATCATCATCATCATCATCAGCGTCATACCACATACTCCGTACATATGTATACTATGCACTCCGAACATACTCCGTACTCTGCGTAAATGGAACTGGCGGTCAGAGCCAGCCATCGTCTTGCTGCCAGCGAGCAAGGACAAGGCGCGTGTACCCCGCTTGCAACCTCTCGGGCTTTACGAGGAGGCCAGTCGAAAAAGGGTCGATAATTCCGCCCGATATGATGAATCACGCACCAAAATGGCCAATGAGAACCTCTGTCACTCCCAGGCCAGAGTGCAGAAGACGAGGCGCCATCCGGTCCCTCGGTTCTCGACCAGCTTGCGACCCCGTCCGAGACCTCTCCACCAAGCACTCCGTCTGATATTAATTACTAGCCAACCGTTTCCAGTATTAATATCTCGCAGGCCGTCTGTCCTCTAATAATGCTAGTCTAGCAATATGGCTGCGCCGAAGAACCACCAACTGTCGAGTGTCGGGTTACACACACACACACTCTCTCTCTCTCTCTCTCTCTCTCTCTCTCTCTCTCTCTCTCTCTCTCGCTCTCTCTCTCTCCCCTGTCCCTCTGTCGGCGTCTGTGCTTCTCACTCTCTCACTTCCTCCGTATCTGCACCCCACAACCCCGGCCGAGATGCACCCACCTCTCGACCTGTGATATATCTCCCCCGCGAGGTTGATCTCAAGTTGTGAAGATATGTTATTTCACCTGTTACAGACTGAGACAATGAACAAGGGCCCTCTTCTTCTTCTTCCTTTTTTTTTTTTTTTTTTTTTTTTTTTTTTTTTAATTATTATTTTAATAATAGTATTGCGCATTAAATGTACATTTCCATTTTTCATTTATTTCTTGTTTTTAACTTTTGAACCGGCGGAAGGCCAAGAGGGCGGTGGGTGCGTTGGGCGGCGCGAGGCGGAACCCCTCAGATTTGACACAAAATCGCATCGTACAGAGCTCTGATGCTCCCAGAAAGACGGGCATTGGATATCCTGACCACCCACGCTCAGGCTCTTGCCTGCCAATCCATAGTTACGACAGGGGGCCTTGTCTTAATGCGAAGGAGTCACTCGCCCAAACAGCATCTCAGCCATATAGGACCGAGGACAGACAGTCCGGCACGTCCCACATGTATGTATTTATGGGCAGCATCCTGGAGGACAGCGACGGGGTTGCCGGGAGAGGATTGAGCAGTTCAAACGTACATACGGAGTAGTCAAACTGGCTGTCCTCTTTTTCTCTCCGACTTGGAAGTTTTTCACCATTCGTCTGTCTCTCACACACACAGGCGTAAACATGCACCAATACGGAGTACAAATACCCGGTATCGTAGCCGACACTCACCCTAAACTTCGGCCCCAACCTCTCTCCTTTTCGAGTCGCTGTTAGTCAACTCCACAGGCATTAGCCTTGGCAAAAGGCCACTGAATGAGAGTTTGGTTTTAAGTTGGTTAACCGACTCCAGAACTAACCTTCTCCACAACCTTCGTCCCGACCGTTGGACATGAACGCGCTAGTTGAACGACCGCTCCACTTGCAAATCCCATCTGCCTCACGGGTCACCAAAAAAAAAAAAAAAAAAAAAAATCTCCTCAAAATGGCTGTGGGCTGTGGGCTGTGTGAGATGGGGAGGGGAAGATTTCTGCCAAGGGTCGCTGAAACCATTTGCTGAACTTTTATACGGGAGGATGCGTGTACGTATTATTCCTCTGCTCTTTGGCGCCGCCTTTGCCACTCTTTCCTGCTCCGTGGGGGTTAGTTTGGGATCAAGCAAGATAAGAGGAAAAAAAGCAATAAGAAAGAGGGATCAGTGAAGAAGAGAAACAAAAAAGAAAAAAAAGAAAGGAAAAGAAAAAAGGATCCGCATTCTTCGCCAATTCACCGCTTCATGATTCTCGATGCCGTTCGGCGAGAAGATGATGAGATGAGGAATGTACAGTACCTCGTTCCATGAATCGAGACTTCGAAAATGTCCAAGACAGAGCTGCACTACATACTCCGTACTCCGTGCATGTGCAGTATATTGACTGTACCTTCTCGGGCCAAATCATCCGAAACGTCAAGACTCGAAGAGAGAAGAATATAAGGTTATACATCCTGCTTAACCACATACATGTCCCACGCCCCCGGTTATGGGGACGCGCGAGGCTGGCAGTACCCTCGCCGAACATCATAATTTCTCAGTAAGACGGCGTCGGGACGGCCACTAGCTTGTTGGCTAGCTAAGGTCTGGAGTAGACGGAGTACGAAAGCCACCCTTGCATCCCGTCCCCCAGTAAGACTGCACATCTTCCGTACGGAGCATGAAGGTCAGGAGGTGGGCGCGGGTGAGGAACCTGGAAATATACCCGTCCCATTTTCTCACCGTCTCTATCTCACTCAATCTCACACACACACACACGTACGCACAAAATTAGCAATGGAGTGGAATTCCCTTGTGATATTTACTCATGCAGGAACGGGGACTGACGAATCCCGTGCAGTAGTAGTGCCCGCCGAAGCAGCTCTTCCAGGATTGAATGAATGGGTTCTCCCTGCTCAAGCGCCTCATGATGCTCCCCTGCAGCATGGTTGTGCTGAGTATTGTTCCTTGGAGATTTCCCATCCTTCAAGACATACTTCATGGCATAGCCGCCTCATGAACAAGGGTAGGGCCGATCGCCATAACTGCGATAGGCAAACGCAGGGGGTTAGGCGAGCGGGAAAACAAAAGTAAAGAGGTTCGATATATTTGGTAGCAAAACCAGGGGGCGGGAATTGAATGAATCGTGCAATTCCAGGGTTAAAGTTAGTATTGAAGATATCCAGAAAGCCTCTGATCTTCGTTGGCTGCGAGAATGGGGCGTAGATGTGTATCCACAACTACCGCAGTGGCATTCTGGACTTCGGCGGCCTCTGAACGCAGGACAAGCGGGATATCAATACCATTGATATTTACCCATTTGACGTACACGGGTCGAGCGTCAAGCAGTGCAGCAGAATCGTTTCATGAACAAGATATCTCCTGGTCAAAACTCAGCACATGACCTCCCTGCAGGGCACCAGGATAGGTGATTCGTCAGGTAGATTGTGCAGTCGACACCGAGTCTGATGCGCTTCTGATGACAATGGAGCTCTGGCCATCAAGGTGGAAAATAGTCATTGTTCTGGGGCTGTTTGGGATGTTTGGATTGGGGCAAAGTGAGGTGATTAACGAACCAATTTTACAGGGAAAAAAAAAAAAAAAAAAAAAAAAAAGAAAGAAAGAGAAAGGATAACAAAAGAAAAAGCACTATTGTCACTGAAGTGCCCGCAGGGTTGATTTTATCCACATTGCTTGTGTTTTGTGCGACATCTTCAACCTCCAACGCTGAAGAATCCGGGATTTGAAAAAAACAAGGAATCCCTCTACACTGACATTCTCTTCGGCTTTACTTTTTTCTCTTTCTGTTTTTCTTTTTCCTTTTGCTTTTATTTTTTGGAGTTGGATTCTAAGCTTTCACTTAAAGTTATGTACTGGAGCCATCACTGTCACACTTCCTTGTCTTGCCGATGAATTCCTCTCCCTGCTCATGCTTGTCCTCGCGGAGCACGTATACCCCATTCCCCACTGTCTCCGTATCCTGCACATCCTCGCGAAAATTAGTCTCACCTTCACAAGATGAATGTCTTGAAGCATGCCCTCAGCCTCAACAATTGCTTCTCAATCACCCTGTTCTGTTACCTAATCCGGGTGAAGCTTCGTCGACTGCCCCGGCTTACCGTCACAGAATCCCGAGGAAAGATGCGCACAAACATACGGAGGACATGGTCATTCACCCATGTATATACTCCGTATCCGATCCGCATAGACCTGTGGCGATAGCTGCCCGCACTCTCGGTGCCCCGATGCAGGTCGAATTCCTCCCCCCAAAAGTGGATCTCTGAAGGACCGCAGGCCTAGCTCCGGCTCTCTGGGTCCGGAATTGCCCTTCATTGCTACCCGGATTTAAGCTTGAGGTCTATTTCCCCCCCCCCAAAAAGAGGCTGTTGCTCCTACCACAGGAGTAGACTCAAAAGCTCGAGGGAGACATTGCGCAGTGAGAACTCGCGGAATGTGCTACGCTATAATGATTGCGGCTTTGGATGCCACGGCAAACTGTCAAAAGCGTCCTGGGACCTTGTCGAAGTATGGATATATTCTCTCCGCCCCTGATCCAGGGACAATAATTACAGATTGCTCCTGGCCTGCAGCTTCTTATTGCGTCCATTATACTTGTCAGGGCCTGTCGCTTTTCCGAATAGTACCACTGGGACAAGAAATAACCGAACCCTTGCAGCACCTGCATTTCAAGGCAATGTCAAGTCTGCATACTGTCTCTTGACCGTGGAGAGGAGCAGGGAAATGTGGATTCCACGACCCTGGTGTGTGGATTTCTTGACCCATGCAAGGCCCCGGTTCTTGCATGCGTATCTTTGACTATGATCGACTCTGTATCTCAACAAAAGAGAAATTTCAACCCAATTCAGCCCTTCTCAAACATTCCATTCCATTCTTTTCTATTTATCTCCAAACATCATCGCGTTTTTACTCCCTTTCAAATGTTCGGAGGTGGCAGAACGATTGCATATTTTTGCAGCACATGTCCCCTGCCTTCAAACATTCCCATAACCCCCTCGTGGTAGGGATCAGGGCCCGGATTGGTCGCGCGTCCAACCTCATCGTGAGGCGCCTCCTTCTAAAGAGAACTTAGAATTCATCAACAAAAGAACAAATTTAGCACGCATTGTATTGGATGTACATCATACAAGTCTCTGCTGGTGCTCTCGGCCTTGATCCGAAGGCGCTCTGACGCTGAAGGATTTACGTGCATGGTGTCCTGCAGGACACATCTCCCACCAGCCCTTCTAACAATGATATGCTCATCACGGCTATTGCGTTGCAAAATGGGGCCAATCAATAGTTCATTTGTGACAGCTCCTAAACAATCCCCCCCCCCTCTCTCCTTCTCTCTTTTATCTTTATTTTTTCTTTTTTTCCCCTTTCCCTCTTGTTTGTTTTTGACCCAGAAAAGTGGATAAAGGTTGGGGAGTTTTTACGAGAGAAAAATTCGTTACGGGATATTCAGACCAATGGACACATCCCCCAGAGAGGGGGAGTGGTTGGGAATTCCTCATCACCAAACCTCTTGCAGATTATCGGATAGGCTTTGGTAATGGTTTTTCAAATCCATAAACCTACATCAATAACTGGCGTACAAATGTGTCACTGTCAAACTGAGCTGCGATTGGAATTTCCTATGCTCTGCAGTGTTTGATCTGCCTTGGCCCCCCCATCGGAGGAGACTGGTATCATGGCTCTTATTCAGGACTTCACATGAAGTAAAAAAGGGGGGTTGCAGCCTGCATGTTACTTTGTTAGAGAGTGTATAATTCCTAGAAAGGCCAGCCAGAACTCGAGTAGAACTCCTCCCTGTAGTAGTAGAAACTTCCTTTAATAAGAGAGCCAGCTTAGGTTGAAAAGTTGTCTATTTTTCAACAGAGAAAGGAGGATGTCATTCTTCTAAATCCACTGGCTTGGTAAGCATGTCATCCAACGTGTGAAGTAGATTGTGAATGCCAGTCATTTCCAAAACCCAAGCTTAAAGTAAACTGAAATCGCATCATCATTTGAAAAGGGGGTTCAAATATAAAATAAGAGAGAAAAGGAGAAAAAAAAATTCAAGTAGAAATGATGGGTCTTAATAAGAAATAAACCAATCCATGAAAAGCATCAAGAAAGGAAACAAAGAGCTTGTAGAAGATGGGATACCCGTCGAACAATGATGGTCAGCTAGACGTCAAACTCTCAAGTGTATTTTTATCTCTCTGAAGGAATATGGATTTCGTCGGCTTATATCAACCGCAATGCACTGCACTAGTTTTCGGGCCTCATCATGTACGAGAAGATTGTCCACAGCGCATCAAGACCTGCCACGCGGTCTTCAGGATTGAAGAAGTCAAACCACCGAGTCCGGCGTAATACGATTCTATGCCAAGGTTGTTCAGCATCTTCAACTGGGAAATTCGTTTTCCCGGTTTTGAGCCACTCTATATAATTGGCATGTACGCGGAGGCGTAGTATCGCGAAGTGGTGATTGATTGACGAAACCATGAAGATCTAGATCTGTGCATTAGAACAAAAGCATCCACAGGGGAAATAAGTTAGACTGGAGTTTGGTATAACCTACATCATCGAAAGGACTATCCCGCGGTTTTCCTATTTGCATATATCTCATCTTCCTGTCCCATAGGCTCGGGCCGGGCTGGACTATTTTCCATTGCTCGCTCATGCTCCGCTTCTTGGAATGGCCGAGTCCCGCGCGGCGCAGTGAAAGAGAGTAACGATCATGTCTAGGCCGTTTGTTGTCGTTCTTCTCCGCGTCTGCATCCGGAGCGGATCCTTTTTCCTTATCTTCCGATTGATTATTTTCTGGGTCTCCAACAGGCCCATCATTTGGGGCACCACCCCATCTGGGCTCTGTTGCCCACCACTTCCCATCTCCAGGCTTAGTTTCCGTATTTCCCTCTCTGCTTCTCTCTTGTGCGAGCAGAAGCATTGCCGCGGTTTCCCGAAGAAGGTCACAGATCTCAGCGTATCTGCTTTGGGGATTACCATTCGGGCCATGAAACTCTGTATCACCACGACACTGGGCAAACAATATTGGGCCTTCAAGGATGCCTTTTCTTGCAATCTGTCTATCCTGGGGGGCACGTGATATCGTAAAATTCTGGCGTACCGGAAAGAGTAGACCTTTTACGAAGAGACGTGGCGGTAGGACTGGCACCGAAGGTTGGCACCCAAATGACCACGCGATCATTTCGAGAAAACCGCGCATCGTGTCCTCCCTCATTGACTCTGGCATATCTTTCCCGGTACCGATACGTCGCCCCTTATACGTTGTCCGGGATTCGGACTTTGTCATGTCCACGTCTTTATCCACATTACCACTATCAATGTCCATTTTATCCTCGGGTGGGGTTTTAGGCACATCGTCTTTCATTGGAGTCTGGTCGTGGGATGTCTCCGCAACGTTGGCGGGGCCGGGCTCGGGCTCAGGCTCTGAACGCTCAATGTATTGGTCTAAGCTTGTATCCCAGTACTGAGAGATATGTTCTAAACCAGTCCAAAACTTGCGAGAATGAGTGAGACGTATTTTCGGGCGCCCTGGCAAGGGAGATAGCCGAGAGAGCGTTCGAAAAGCATCGTCGTTGTCAAAGAGCAGTTCTTCTCGTAGCAAGTCGTACTTTTCTTTGTCGGGAAAGGGGAAGCCATTGCTCATTAGCTTTTTGGCGGCGGCGGCGGGGGTGCTTGCCGAGGTCTCGGACTGCTCGGATTTCTCCGGCCATTGGAACGGAGGTAGAGACTTGAGGGTGTCTCCGGCGATCAGATCGGTAGGAGCAACGTCTGGTTCAACTTTGAGATTCAGGGCCTGGAGGAATTCGGCTGATATGTCTTGTGGCTTCTTGAGTCGGGATAGCAACTGGTGAAGCTTGTCACATGTCGGTCCGTCTTCAGGCCGAGACTCGAGATCTGGAACGTAGGATGGGAAATCAAGCGGAGTGGCAGGAGGAGGAGGAGCTCGTTCCTTTTCAGTGTCGACAGCAAGGGTCGGAACCGCTAATTCGCCAGTCAGTCAGCCACATTTTGAATCAAGCAAAAAGGGAGCTTTTGTCATTGGATGGTTTGATCGAGAAACTGTCCAAGATAAACGGGATGTATGCAGGTGTTGTTTTGAGCAAAGCAAACAGTGATTGCGATGACTTCAGACCAAACCACGGGAAAAGGCTGAACCTAACTTTGATGGGCGGGCGCCAAGGCACGATTAGGCGTGGCGAAGCAGCCACTACCTTTGCACAAAGCGAGTCACATAGCGGGGGATAGAGAGGTTGACATGAGGGTACGGGCAACAATTTGCACCTCGGAGAGCATTGACAAGGGCCAGCGATCTCGCGAGTTGGGCTAAGGGTTCGGCTTACCAATGCCACCTCCCCATGCAAACATGATGGCGGTTGCGAGAGAGAACCTAACCCCGCGAGAGCTGCGGGGGAACAAGACACCAACAAGACTTGCACAGAAATAGATCGACACACAGCTCCCAGACGACAGAGCTCGTTACGGGCAGGTATTAGAATTTCGGTTGAGATCCAAGGCCGGATACCTTAGCAACCCAAAGCCAGATTTGGTATTCGGCGGGGCTATATTCAAAACAGTGTTTCACCTGAGGCTGGAGTATGGGAAAAGGGAGCGAGGACCAAACACTGGGCGTAAACGGGGTTTCAATGCGGTAGAAGGGGAGTGATCCTGGGCCTAAAAGACGGTGCCACAGAGAGAGAGCAGAGGGAGGGGAGACGATGAGTCCAACTGACGGCCCGACAGCTTCTCAAGATGAAGGGAGCTGGTCTGTGGGATGCGTGTTAAGATACAAGGATGGGCGAGAACGGAACGGGTTATGGGTTGCTCCACAAACTTTACGGGAAGAAGAGGGTTTGATAGAGCTCCCAGGTAGCTTGGTCAACGGGAGGGAGCGAGATGGGAGCGAGATCGTGAACCTGACAGTCGAGAATCGTGCGAAGCCCGGGCCATTCACAGTCTCCCAGATGGCGGATGAGCTGTCGATTGAGCGGAGAGCTCACCAACTCGCCCGCTGCGCCGCCGTGACGCCGTGGCGCCTGGGGCTTGCTGTAAAATTACAACGGCCAGCGAACCGCTCAACGGTCCTAGCGAGCCATTGTCCAGTCAGGCTGCGTATCATTGGAAATTTTGGTAATCGTGGGGAAGCTACCGCGCTAGCGCCAGCTGACTAAATCCGGACCGGAAACTCCGCCCCGCGCCTTTCCGGAATAGGCTAGCCAAAAACCATACCCACTTTCCGCTTCCGGCAAGCTACTTGCCGGTGCCATACCGGCTGCTGTGCTGCGCCGTATGTATCGACTTCGTCGCTTCGAACGTTCGCCTCAGCGAGTCCAGCAAACAGCGGCACGGCTGCGACGACGTGAAGCCTCCTGGCATGTGTCAGTGAGATGGCCGTGCTCACGAGCGGAATAGGATTTAGCCCTCGCGCACCCGCCCACCAGCAGATCATGGTATTACACGCCTAACTCCATAACTAATGCCAGGAACCGTTTATCCGCCGTTTGATGCGGGCCACGCCCAGTATCGCCGGCGGGAAACCCGTGGCGGAGAGGTCGACAGTCCATCCTGTTTGCGGAATCGTCCTGGCGTTTGGCCTGACAATGCCGTGTGCTCTTTTCCTGCATCCTTACAATTTAACTACTCCGTACATATACGGAGTATGGCGTTTGCCAGCATTCAATGCAGTGACCCGGAAAATCAACGCAGCCGCAAACCTCTCTTCAGCTCCCAATCTTCCCAGAATGTTATTCGATGATTGTTGGGTGGTGATATGAAGCTCGAAGGTCTTTCACTTCGGAAGCTTGTGATGGGTCTCCCCCCCGTGATACCCTTTTTTTTTTTTTTTTTTGGCATCATCGCGCCCACATTCAAAACCTATGCGGATTTCGCGCTGCCGTGCGGGTAACTGTATACTTCTTTTGTGGGAGTTAACTCCCTCAACCCTCCTCACTTCCTTTCTTTTCTTTTTTCTCTCTGAAATTTTCGTCATGAAGATACTTTCTGATCCGCGAGACCATCGGCTGGACCCTGGGGAGGGATCCCTATGTTTCCTGCATCCGGCCCTGAGCCAGTTAGAATTATTCCAACGCCCATTGCATCTTTCTAGCTTTTTTTGCATGGTCTACTTGGCAAAAACCATTCTGGAATCATCCATTGATGCCAGTGTTTCACCCTTCAGACCCGGGGGAGCTGATCTGCGCCTGTCCGTGTCATTCATCATCCCGATTGGCATCAACTTTCGTTATAAGATATTTATATGACTCCGTGATGCTCACACTTAACGGCTTCTCTTCCGCGCTCAGATGTTCAGCATCTCAGACCTTTATCTCCCTTGTAATATACCCGATGAGCCTTTGTTCTGAGCCCAAAATCTCTGGACCTCCCTGGAAGGGAAGAATTACTTATTTACTGCCAGGCCCACGGAAAATTTCTTATCCTTTGGGATAGCGTGACAACTTGTGTCGTCGCTATCTACGGCCTCTCACTTGGTCTACTAAATCCGTTTCGTGCCTGCCATGACTATCCCTGCGTTCATTTGCAATTCCTCTCCGCGCCAGGAGGCTAGAAGTATTCCTGCAAAGCAAGAATTTAATCAACGCTTAGCACTAAGAGTTGTCGTAGCAGTTGGAGCTTTCGCTTTGGGCTCTCTTGTCCCAGGATTGTGTATCCTCTCTCAACAGAATAGAGTTGCAAATCAGGTTTCAGCAGTGGTAGACACTACCACATTGGGGACGTATCTGGGAAATCTTTACGAGATTACCTGCGAACCCCAACTTGGCCCAACTTTACTTAGTTGGATAAAGCCAAAAAAAAAAAGAGAAGAAAAGAAAAGAAAAGAAAAAAAAGGAAGAGCTTATTTTCAATGCACAATGCACCGAAATTTTACAACCAGTGATTATCCCGCAACAAGGCATCGATACAGCTCCTGTTTGGTCTTAATTCAAGTTCATTCCCATCAAGCAAAAGTTATTTAAGATCCAGAGTGGTTAAGCCGCCAGGCGCCTTGTTGAGCGACGGCACGAGGGTTCATAGGGAAAATCGGCGCCTAGTCAACTCGATGGCATAGAAAAGCTCTACGCACCGTTTTGAGGAACATGGAACGCTGCCACCATTTCTGTACTAGGCACCATTGACAGGATCAATGTAACCAAGTTCTCCGCCGCACATAAGCACGTAGCACGCTCCCTGATACTGCGTTCCCTGAGCTTCTCAAAGCCTCTTCCTCCGAGTCTCGCCAATCCTCTTCCGGCTACCTCCCCAGAATTAATAGATCTGTATTAAATGGTACGCTTGATCATCCCTGATGGTTCGGATTGGAAAGTCCTGCTTATAGTCCGCCACGCTACAATCCTAGACACACGCGGAGTTGCAGCAGTAGTGTTAGATACTTCGTGGTCAGGGTGCGAGCAATATTTTTTCCTCCAAGACTTCACTACAGATCACAATATCGGTGCTATCCCGATGGGAAAAAACGCGCGTCACACTGGTCGAATTGACCGCAGATCGAGGAAGTGATCTGTTTGATCATCTTCGGCCAATACCTGATCTCGCTGCGGGATGGGACTCTATATGATGAGATGTGTGGGATTGTGAGATTACGAAATATTGCCACTTTGATACCCGAAAATGTATATGCCTATTAAAATTGAAGACCGTTTCTGATTGTCCAACGTGTTCGAACTATATACTTCATGTAACACTAATTCTCTTTCAAAAATTGATGTAATTTTCCTAGATTTTCTGGCAAGAAAAAAAAAAAAAAATTTCTAGCTACTTTTCTATACTGACTAGAAATATAGTCAGAATATTTTCTACTACTATTCATTATTTCCTTTCCTACAATCAGGCCAACTTCAATGTAGATTTGTTGCCGTTCGTCTTGAGATAGTATTTAAACGTCACTTACGCCAGCGAAGAGAGACTAGCGATAGTTAAGGCTCGGGTCGGGATGAGGCAATGGCTTGCACAAAGTTACTGTACCATGATTGACGACACTTCGGGCTCAGAACCTGTCTCTTCATTTCACATCGAAACACTTAGTCGACACTGCCATGATGCTTCTTCCCCGCTTCTATCCCATTGGCCGTCTTACTGCTCCGTGAGCAGGGAGACTCGTGTGATAATTAGTCCAGCGAGCGATCCCAATCATGGGACCAAATGGAAAGGCAAGACGGGCAAAACCATATGGCTTGAACCCTATCACCATACTCGCCACAGCGCAAAGAACAGTAGGAACAAAGCAAGAATTGATTTCAAAGTCTTTTCATTCATAATTCCTTATCGGTATTTTCCCCTAAGCCGCTTTTCACTTTTGTGCCATATCCCATTCGTATGTGCTATTCCCTCTACACCCATATTCTCAGTTGAGAACCCTGTGTTCCATTTCCTTCGCTCGCTCAGGATGGAAAAATAAAATATAAGGGGGTGATGGACAAAATGGCTGGAGATGGATGAAAAAAAAAACGACAGATGCTTCATGCATAATATGTTTCGTTTTTGTGTAATCATCAAAATAAAGACCTTGCCATTGACCCATAATGTTTGATAAGGAAAAATTAAATCAAAGACAATGAATGTATTTAGGCCTCCTCAGTCTCACCAGCAAGAGCGTTTCTCTTGGCGGCGATACGCTCTTGTCGTCGCTCGCGGGCAGCCTTGGTCTTGGCACGTTTGGCGTCCATCTCTTCCTTAAGCATACGCTCACGTTGTTTCTCGGCTTTGGCCTTGTGAATCTATAGAGATATTTATTAGCATGTTCATTCATTTCCAAAGCGATTTCTTGGGTGAAAAGGGGGGGGGGGGGGAGAGAAGAGTATAAATGGAAAAGGATGCATAAACTTTGCGATAGTGTAGACTTCGGGTCAAATGGAATTATAGGACGTACGTGTTCGACGAGGGCACGCTTGTGCTTGAAGGTGTTACCCTTGCTCAGATGGTACAGCTCGTGGTAAAGGTGCTTGTCAATCTTGCCGGAGGCACGGTACTTGGCGAGGAGACGGCGAAGGACACGCAGCCGGCGCATCCAAAGGACTTGGCTGTAACGAAACATATTGTGTTAATAGAGAAAGGTAACAACAACCGACTAAGGGACTCCATCGAGCTTGCTGCTACATCATCGCGATGTGGCGAATATCAGGTAGATCGCAACGTACCTGGGCATTCTAGCATCCTTTGTACCCTTTCGCTTACCGAAGCCTCGGTGTCTACCGATCTTGCGGGCCTCTGCGAGCTCACGAGCTCTCGCACGCGAGTGCATCGTGACTGGTTTGTGGATAATCAGGCCATCACTGATGAGTTTCCGTATGGTCTGGCGGGAGTTGGCGGTGGAGATCTCGTTGACTTCGTTGGGATCAAGCCAGATCTTGCGCTGGCCGCAGCCGACAACAGCAGCGGCCAGGCGCTTCTGAGTGCGAAGGTTGACCCTATTTGGCAGAAAACGAGATCAAAACGTCAGCCAAAACTCGTGAATTTCGCCTTGCGTAGTGCTCTAATCCTTTCAAATTTCATGTTGACGCCAAAAACTTCGGGTACATCGGGGGACACGTAAAATATGCAGACGAGTGGTGTGGTATTATCGCAGGGACAATAATTAACTTACATCTTGATGCCGTTCAATTCGATAGCCGAGTTTGTCGATGGATGGTTGTTCGAATCTCGACGTCGACAGCAGTGCGTGAGGATGTGGGTGGAACAAGGTTTGTCATAGGCGATTACTAAGCGACTTTGTGCTAAGCGAGAGGAAATTCCACAACTTAGGGCTTCGTGTGACTTTACCCAAACAGGAAATCTAAACTACCGCCAATCCTCAAGGCGAGGACAAGGTCCGTTGGGATGGAGCAAAATAGCACGAGGGATTGTGTACAGATTGTTTTTAGATACTAATAGCTACCATCTGAGCCACATCTTAGGTAACTGCCTTAATCCTCAGAGAAATCGCCCAGATCCACCTTTCCCACGCTCCAAAGTTCCTTTTCATCGTCAGCCTCGTCGCTCGCTAAATCGAGGCCTCCAGCACCGCCTTCTGCATCCCTTCGTTCGCGAGCTTGGGTTGCAAGACGCAGAGCAACGCGCTTAAAATAGTCTTGCATGCTTCGCTTTGTTGTCATTGGGAGGCCCGCCCCCGGTCCCTGGAGGTATGTATCAAAAATGACGCTTCCGGTATCCACCACCTGCAGTAAGGCGAGGAATGTTGCCTCAGCACCAAGCTTGATGGGGATGACTAGGTCCCTGACGCTAGAGAATACGGGTGGTATGAGTAGAGAAAGGTGTGGTCCAACAAGACCGGGCTCTAAGCGGCTGACTGTGCGAAGCACTACTAAAGCCACACGACGCGTATCAGCCGGGTTGCCGGGTGGTATCACTGATGTCAAAGCCTCAAGCACAACTCTATCTGTTTCGGCATCCCGATCAATATCTGTTGTTAATAAATACTTGCCGGCAGCCAGGACACTGTTGTCGGCAATAAACACCTATTATCAAAGTTAATATTCTAAACAACTCCGTGGAGAGAAAGCATGCACTTACATCCTTATGCTTGATACCTTCGCATATAGTCGATAGGGTTTCATCGGGAAATGTGTCAGTTATAGACCTCGGGGATTCAGCCAAAATAGAATTAAGTGCGAGGACAGAGAGGTGTGTGTAGTGAGATGTGAGAACGCGGTTTCTGTCCAATTATTAGCACCAATATCCAACAATTGTACTAGAGAGAACATACTTAATCAGTGGCACGGCCGTAGCCTCTGGAAGTGACTTGATAAGGGCTCCGACGAGCTGGGCATTGGCGATGTTCGTTGCCTCTGCACTGAGTTAGCTACACCATTTTCATGGAACTGAGGTAAGGCATACCATCACGATCGGCCGATTCATCATCAATGAGCTCAAGGATGGCTTGTTTGGATGCATCGCTCATATTTTTGCCAGCCTTAGCGACCACCTCATGCAAGGCGCGGAGCATAGCACTCTTCACACCTGAGTCTGACGTTTTGGAACCAGCGACCAGTTCTATAAAGATGTTAGACTTTGTGATATTGAGCAGATTACAAGCTTTCTTACCTGAAATAAGGGGATCGACCCTAGGCGTCAAAGTGATAAGAATTCCCAACCCTTTAGCCGCTCTTGACCGCAATGTCTCGCTGCTAGAGTCTGCCAGGCCTCGAGCAAAAATTCTTTGCAACTGAGGGAGGAATGGTTTGATGAAGAGTGGAATTTTCTCCAGCAATTTGTTGATAGCCGAAAAGACCGCGCCTATGTCTAGCGGTTAGATTTGTAGTTCATCAAATATGGGCAGTGGGACCATACATTTGATCTCAACGGAACGTTCTGAAACCACTCTGATCAATGGACCAGTGATCTGTGTCACAAACGGTTTTAGAGCTTCGGTGCTGGTCCTATCTATGATATCTCCGATAGCTAAAGCGGATTGCACCCGTTGCTCAACAGTTCCATTCAGCAAACCCTGAAGGAAAATGGGGAAGACTGCGCTGATTCCCTTGGGCCTACAAAATCCTGGAAGATTGGCACCTGCAACGCCGACCTGCCGGAGGACTTGTCTCGTTGGAATCACCAATACTTCCATTTCTTCTTTCCGCATATGTGACGTTAATTGGCTAAGAGCTTCCCAGGCTGCGGCCACCACATTCGTATCATAGTCATCAAACGATATAAGGCATACCCGAACTAACTCAGGATAATAACGAGATATGTCGAGAGTTGTTTTCCCGAAGAACGATGACAAGCGGTTTGCGGCAGCTGCACGCTTGTGGTGGTCTTCGTGTTTCATGAGTGTAATCATGACATTCATCGCCGCATTCAATCCATCAAACTCATCGACTGAATTAAGGACTGTGTCAAAGGCGCTGTTAATCTCGGGCCGGAGCTTTTCGTTCTTTGTCGAAAGAGAATTGTCTATGAGGGTGTTGAGAATATTTGGAAGCCTTCGAGTGAGCGCGCCACCGGTGACTTCAGCCAGCGATGCCAGTGCCTTTGCGTTGAAGCTCGTCATGGGACTAGCAAGAAGAGTCGGAATAAGATTAGGAAGAATTATGTTCGCGCGCGTAGTTTCAGTCAGGAGCGTAAGAAGAGCAGCGAGAGCCCGATCTGCCTCTGCGTCTGTGTGCAACAAATTAAGAAGATCCGGCAATACCCGATCAACAATACGCTTTCCTAGGGCCTGCTGAAGCGCATCGAAAGCCTCTGCGGCTGCTTCGCGGACATCTTGATTTGAATCAAGCAACGCTGTCCGAACAGTAGAAATAAGAATCTTCTCATACACCTCGAGAGATTCCCCAGAAGAGGAGATGACGAGCTCACGGAGAGCGATACAGATTCCCTGCCTTGCGTCAACCTCAGTGGACGCCAGGAGCCCTTCTTCAAGTGATGGCAACAGGGTTGAGAGAACGCCTTCGCCCGCTTTCTTGATCAATTCACCCAATGCATTTCCAGCAATAACCTTTTGTTCCATATTTGCGCTCCCCAAGCGACGGATGATGAGTTGGGTCAATGTCGGCACCAGTTCTTTGAGAGTTCGAGGGCTGGCAACCAAAGCCTTCCATACATTTATTGCAGCACTTCGAACAAGCCCTGAGGTATCACAGCGACATATGTAAAGTGCAGACAAGACCTTATTCCGCTTATCTTGACCAAGCACTTCAAGCAAAGATTGGCCAGCTTGAGCGGCGGTATCATCCTCTTCTTCTATATCCGCCTTGGTATTAATGCCGGTGAGGTTGAACAAGAGGTCTCCTACTAATTCAACAGAGCTAAGTCGAATACGGTGGCTATCATCTGCAAGGCCTCGTTCAAGCTCAGGCAACAGGAGATCGATCGATTTAGTAGCAAAATTCTTAACTAACAAGCGACCGGCCCGAAGGGAAGTCTCTCGTATTGCCTCCACATCATCCGCCAAACCGGATAATATGGGAGGAATGATTCTGTTGAGGTATGAAGCAAAGCTATTCCCGAAGCAAGCAGGAAGAAAGATAAACAACGACATGAATCCTTCTCGAACTGCAGACTTGGCACTTGATACGTTTTGTAAGATTGATGGCAAGGTTTCTTCGAGTCGAGACGTCCCCAGCCCGGCAAGAACTTCGGAGAGGGCCTGAGCAGAGCCCAGCCGATCTCCCGCTCCGGTATCTGATTTGAGAGTAGTCATTAAGCTTGGGATCAAGTCCGGCAATGCTTCCTCTCCTAGTTTCTCAATGAGAGAACCAAGAGCCTTCGAAGCTGTTGCACGAGTGGTAGGCACAGGATCGACGATTGCGATTTTGAGGCCGGCAACAAGGATCGGGAGATGCGAGGTAAGGTCTTTGCGTTCAGTTAGATGAGCCAGACTGCCGATGATCTGAGCAGCTTTCCGTTTTGTTGTGGATCGATCACCAAGTCCTCTTTCGAGGATTCTCACAATGAGTGCCAGCGAAGGCGCATCTAGGTAGTGAATAAATGATATTTTAATCAGAGCATCCAGAGCCTCGTCTGTATACTTCGTGGGGTCGCTAAGAGCCTTTAGTAAAATATTAACAAGACCTTTTACTTCAGGATTGCTTATGACGTCTCCAAAACGTTGAAGGCTCCTATTCGCGGAATTGCGGACCTCCTTATGACTGTCATTGAGGACGACGGTGAGAGGAGGGATGATGTCGGGAAGGCTGACAGCAAGTTGCTGAGGATCGAGATAGGCCATAGCTCCTAGAAGGTCGCAGGCGCCCTTCTTACTCCTCCACTGTGGATCATCCAAGCCTTCGAGAAGAGTCGGTAAAATTTGTTTCACACCATAAGAGCTTAGGCTAGCGAAGCACGCTTTGGCAGTATCTAAACATGCATCACGAACATCAACACTGGGGTCGCCGAAAGCAGTGAGTAATTGGGGTAGTATTTGAATGATATAAGGCTCAAACATTCGGCCGAGGATTAGTGAAAGGAGCTCGAAAGCAAGGAGTGACCCTTGTCTCTCATTTGGATCTTTCTTATTTTCGGATGCCTCCTTGAGCCGTGGCATGATACGGAATTCACGCAAAGCAGATATGCCTCTTCCATGCACAATACCTGCCAAACCATACGCAGCCCCGCGTCTTGTAGCGTACCTTTTCGAGTGCAAAAGCTGATCCACCAATTCGTCTATATAGACAGACGTCTCTGTAGGAGAGAGCCGAATAAGGGGTGTCAGGCACTCCGAAACAGCATACTGAATACTTTCAGACGGAGTGGAAAGGGCAGCAAGGAGTTTCTTAATGACCGTCTGCAACCGCTTATCCCCACTCTTGAGATGGCGCGCGAGGGAGCCGTATAGAATTATAACGGCCTCGTTAAGCCAATCTGATTGTTCTGTCGCTTTGTCGGACGTCTCTAATGTCTTCTCGAATAGATGCATTAGTTCCTCGACGTTACCTTGTCCATGCAAAGCTATGGCTGCACTCCCACTTTCCGCCATTTGCCGTCGGACTGACACATTTTGATCAACAAGTGGGCCATCGCTGATTAAAAATTGTAAGAAACCAACGATTTGATCTCCATGAAAACCCTGGGCCATAGATTTAAGAGCCAAAGCTATTCCGCTTCGAAGCTGCCAATTGTCCGGAGTATCTACCTTCTTGGGCATACCGTATGCGTCCGTTTCTGGAGCCCTTGGTTTAATTTCATCCCGGTATTTGGTCTCAAGCTTCTCCAAAGTAGTCGTAAATACAGAAGGGCTGAACTTGCAAGCATGCGCGAGAGCCACTGCTGCTGCACCCCGCAGTTGCGAATCGGCCGTACCGAGATACTCCATAATAAAATCGGGCGAGTTCGCATCGACTTCGAGGCCGTTCTCTTCCCATATAGCCTTGGATATTTCCGCATTTTCAAAAACATGATCATGGCATCCGAGCCAGATGTACTCAGAAAAATCAAGATCAGTGAGGTCAATCTCAGCCTCGATGGCTTGGAGAACCGCAGTCCGAACTGATGTTTCTGGAACTATCACTCCTTGAAGTAGGATCGTGAGTTCATCCGGTTGGACATTGTCTGTTACAGAACGGCAAATATCAATCAGAAGATCTCGCATTAACTTATAATGCTCCGCATGAATTCGCATCGCAGATATCAATTTTCGTAGGACTTCAGTTCTCGGCAATCTGCTATCGGAAACTAAGATAAGTCGTTAGCAATGGCAAATAGTAGTTAGGTCAAGGCTTCATACATAGATTTGCGTGAATTGTGAGAAATTCAAGCGCCAGAAGGATCTGTTCCCCTCGGCTTTCTGCCACCTCCTTAACGCCATCCTTTTCAAGAACGACAATTATTAGCCGAAGCATAATTCCGAAGGAAACAACATCGAATGGTCGCTGCTCCGAAGCGAGTCGGATGCGATAAAGAATTCGAGTCACGAGGGCTGCACATAGAAAGTTAGAAACTTCTTTCCCCTAAATACTTTAGCATAAATAACACGTACTTCCCAGTGGCTCCACTTCAAGGTCAGAAGGCATGTAAGTTTTGCCCAGAGAGCGAAGGGTAGCAATTCCAATAAACGGCCTAATTTCTTCCAGGCGACTGGATATTCGGCTGGTACACGCAACATAGGCTTCGGAGATACTACTGCCGACTAAAGCACCCGCGTCAACTTCGACAAGCTGACATAGACAGTTAACCGCTTGGTTTATCCATTCTTCAGCTTCAGTGGTGGGCCCTCTAGCGAGACTTTCGACGATGCCGGCTCCTCTCCTAATTATTTGCTCCTGAATTTGGATACTTTTTCGAATTTCTGCTTCCTTTACTAACTGCGCTTTGACCTTAACTTGCTCTTCTGGTGTTAGCTTTTTCTGGTATTGACCACGTTTCTGAGCCATTTCGGCTCGAAGTTCTGCTTCCCATTTAAGAGTGTCGTAATCCTTGTCTCCTTTGCCAGGTAATCTTTTAGTCTTGGTACTGAGGACGTCTATGAAGGGTGTTTCTCCCGAATGTCGCGCAATTGCAATGTCAGTGGGCCCAAATCTCGTAATCCTGTCTATGTTGAGATCCTCTTGAATTTGCTTCACAAGTATAGGCATCATGACATCGGGCGCCACGAAAGCCAGGTCAGCAGCAGCATTCCACGCCGCTGTCCTTCCCTTGGATAGTTTGGATCGAATTGGGTCCTGCATTAAACATCGTGTTAGCAAGGTCGATGCGTGGCTGAAATACCAAAATCTACGACTCACTTCTGTAGCGAGAAGCACCTGTGCTATGCATTCTTTTGGATAGCTTTGGGCAATTTTGCCGGGATCTGCACCAGCTCTCAGCGTAATCTCTATCCAATTAGCTCTGGGGATGAGTTCTGGGCGGCATAGCACCAGGAGTTCAATTAATTGACGATCGAGGACCAGGGAATCCACAACATTGGGACTGGGAGTGATAGCTCTAACAACAAGCAGGAGTTTATCACCGCCTGTGCCTGCACTGAGAGCAGCAGAATCCTTATCTCCTGTATCAACGGCGAGCAACCACTTCCACATCGCGCTGATGATGGCCATTCCGACCACTTGCGGATTCTTGAGATAACAGTTGCGAAGATGGGAAATCGCAGATTCTCGCAAATTCTCAGGTGTAGCTGCGGAGGAAATTACATAAATAAAAGCTTGTGCCCAAGTATCTCTCACTGTTGGGTCTACAGCTTGAAAGGCAGCCACTGATGAAACTCCGGATAACGCGCGAATATTCCATGCAAGCTCGTCTTTTGAGGCCAATTTTGTGAAGATCCTGGGATTGAGTAAGAAAGATTGTTTCGGAGATAATGATAGAGATTGGCCGACAATGACATCAGTATTAAGGAGTAAACTGCCATCGTCTAGCTTTCCTCCTTGAAGATTCTGACATGAGAGGGCCAGAAGAACATAGGCTATTGAAATAGTTCCACCTTGAACTGCAGGCAGGGGGTTGGCGTTTATCTCGTGAAATGAACTTGAAATTTTTTCCACCACCGGTTTCAGGAAATTGGTCTTCACACTCGATGAAGAGAACAAGGAATCACGGTCAAGATTCCAGATGACCTCTCCAACATTAGAAATCCAAATTTTGCGAAAAGCACTTCGTTTCTCAGCGCAGCCTTTGGCAACAACAGAGAAATCTTCCTTGCTAATCGTGGATTGAGAACGGATCAGATATGCCAGGTGGTGACAAAACGCCTGTACTTCTGACTCGAGTGCGGCCTCATTACTCTCACGTGCAAGGGCAGGCGAAAGGCCCGACAGTACCCTGTGGGACAGCTCTGGAAAACAATGAAAGATGCTGAGAACTTGTACCTGGAGCGCGCGATGTTCAGCATTTGTAATTCTTGAGGTTTTCAAAGGGAGAATGACTTCATCGATGATTTTCAGAAGCCACTGTTCTTCCTTGCATTTAGCAATCAAAGCCTCGAAAGCTTTGACTGCCCCTTGCCGGACTGTTTGACTGGCGGACTTAAAGCTCGAAAGAAGGGGTTTAGTAAGTCGTGTGGAAACCACTTCGGACAGTTCAATCTCGCATGGAATTGCAGCCACAAAAGAGGGAATAATGCCGGTGAAAACCACTTCAGGGCTCCTAAGCATAGCCTTTTCAAGTGATGGCCAGATTTCTTTTTGGAGATCCTCCGCGGAGGCAAATGAGATGAAAAAGTCGCCTAAACTTCCAGCGATGTGGCTAGGAACCACTGTTCGAGACCCAATGACATCTTTGATATAGAATTGAAAAATGGCAGGCTTCACATCGTCTAAAACCGCTCTTCTTTTGCGAAGTCGCGCGCAAACTCCAGATAGAACTCCGAGGTAGGGAGCGTTTCTAAATCCTGAACCCGTCTCGCTGGTAAGCACACGAACAAGTCGCCGCACCACTTCATCGCCGTTTTCCTCCTTTGATAGAACGGTTCGCAAAGCGCGTCTAGACACTATGATAGCAGAGTGTTTTAGACCCTCCTTTTTAGATGATCGAAGACACGTTTCCAGTGCTTTTGAATTTGCAGATAGAACGTTCACTGCCAGCTGGGTTGCATCTTCAGGGTTTTCTGCTTCGCGTTGGCTTAGGTGCTGCAAAAGCAATGTGCACCACTCGATCAAGACGAAGGCATTGGCAGCAGCAATTGCTGGCTTATAACATTCCTTGTGGAGCTTATTCGCGAAATCTTTGAGATCAACGGACGCTATCGGAGCTTGAAATATATCGCGAATACATCGCTGCGCATCTCGGCGAGAATCTCGATCAACGTAAATAGGATATGTTCCGAAAAGCAAATCTAGGAGAGGCCTATCTTGTTCCTTTGGCAACTCGTGTGCTTCCAGGAGGAATCAGTCAAATGCTGAGCAAGGCTAACCAAAAGTCGCTGACTTACATAGGATTTTCTCATGAAGTTCATGAAGGCCAGCACGACGCCGAGACGTTGAACCAGAAAAAATAACCGGTTTCAATGACTCTAGCATGCCATCATGCACATTATTCCACTTGATTTCATCCATGCTTGCATCTCCATGCTATAGCATGAAAGTAGTGGGGTTTGATCTTGTGTGCTTGCCCTGTGGTGGCTTGAAACTTTGGTGACAAAAAAGACTGGTGGATCTTCCTCACCCACTTTTAGACTTCTCTCAACTCTCGAGCCTAGTTGATTGTTCTTGATAAGACATCACTAGCCATAAAGGCATTAATACTTTTTCTATTTTGCATACGGTCAGCAGTCATATAGCTTCTTAAATCTTTCCTTTAGTCTTTTATTTTTGTTCTGCCAGCTCACCTGCCTCCTTGAAACTATATAGACTCTATCACGCCAGATTTGGCTATGGCACCAGGTCGCAAGAAGAAGAAGCCTGCTTCCAACCCAGCAAGAGGATTCACAACTACTTCAATCCCATCTAAATCACAAGTCATAAACTCTGGAGTGTTAACAAAGGCAGAACAGCCATCTGTTACCAAAGAAGAGCAGAAACTAGCCACTGCAGGACAACCAGAGAAATCCAAGGATTCTTTGGAAAACCTGTCGCCAGAGGAGCTCGAGAAACATCTCGAAGAGGCTGAACTACAGAGTCTGTTAGACAAGTATGCAGGAAAATGCAAAAACGAGGCTTCTCGTCAAGCTGGAAAACTCGAAACAGAGCGCCGCACTCTGCGTGCTCAAGGGATGACCATTAATACTCGAGATTGGTTAAGCCCGGATATCTGCAACCTGATCATTGAAAAAGAAATCAAAGAAATTGAAAAATTACCGTCCTATTTTAGTAGGTTTGACGAAAATGCTGATTTCATGGCAAATGAAGAAGAACTATGTATAAACATGTGGACACTCAAGGAGACCCTGCTTAAACTTGGGTTTTCCAAGTCCATGGTGGATAAAGCGTTGAGAGGAATTCTCTTACACTCTTCCCAGGATCAAGCCTCAAACAAGGATTTCACGTCGAGTATAGGCCAGGTCCTTGAGTGGCTGGCATCGCACTCCTCCGAAGATGAGCTACCGATATACGGGCAGCAGAAACCCCCAGCAAAGCCGGACGATCAAAAAGGTGTGCTCTGTGGATGCATTCAGAACTTAACCCATAAACCAAATGTGCCGCTAACAATTTAATAGATGAAATAGAAGCAACACCTCCAAACTCTGGGACAATCACTCCTGTTAACAATATATCAACAAAGCCAAAAAGCCCTACGCACCCAAGCCCTTCGTTGGACTCAGACTCTGACATGTCCGATATTGATCTGGATCCAGACGCATTGATCCCGCGTTATCTAGAACTTCGATCACGTATCTATTCCCTTCAACCAAGTTTTTTCAATCATCCCAAGACAAGGTCCAAAAAGGCTGCTGTGAGCGTAGTGGACCCTGCAATTGATTCCCAAATAGAAAAAATAAAGACTAAACTTGCTGTGGTCGAAAGGGATATCTTATTTGATTCCGAAAAAGCTGAGGCTGAATGGAAAGAAAGGCTCTGTGAATTGCGTGCTGATACCGCTGGGTCGTTACGTGGAGGACTAAAACCTACAGAACCTAGCCTGAAAATGGCATCAGGAAGAGATGGGAAGGGCCCACCAACCGATACCGGTGGGCAGCCGAACTTAGTCGATAGCGATGACGACGAAAACATCCTAGGAAGCATGTTCGCGATTGAGTCCGATTCCCCTATAGGAACGGCTGCGAATGCCTTCACCGACGGGCGTGTGGTAACTAAGCTCAGAGATTTTGGTAAATCGGTTGGGATCAATCCCCGTCGCGTTTTGGAAGAAGCGTGCAGAACGAGGTTTGGATGCCGAGCTTTTAATTGTTGAATTTTGATACTAATACGCTGATCGTGATCTAGAGACCCGGGTTTCAAAATAGTTTATAGGGACTTGGATTCTACGTCTTATTCCCACCGCAAGAGCGTTCGGATAACTTGGTCCAAAGCCCAGGAGGTACCTCTGGATATTCCGTACCCCGACATATATTTCACCTCGAATCCGCATTTCGTACAGGTTTCGATGGATTCCATAAGTGCGACAACTGCACTGCAAGCAGAATCCTACGTCTCTGTTGTTGCCTTATTTATTCTCTCTTCTTCGACGAGGGAAAATAGAGCGTACATGAAATTACCTGGGCTGTGGAAGGACGTGTGGGATGAGTTGTCCGGCTCCAGAAAGGAATACGAGGAGGCTGCCGATAAGGAAGTCGTTAAGGGTTTACAGGATATTTTTCAACAAGTTAAAAGTCAAGCCGACGAGGATGTCGTGCTGATCGAAAATTTTAAACGACGGAACGGAAACGCGAGAGCGAGACAAGAGGAAAATCTGCAACCGAAATTTTCAAGTTCGCAACCGTCAAAATACTTCCAAAGCCTATGGAAAGACCGATCTTCCACCGACCTTTTCGCAAAAATGATGAAAACCCGGACTAACCTCCCAATATGGCCATTCAAAGAGCAGATAATAGAAATGATTTCAGCAAACCAAACGCTTATCATTTGTAGCGAAACCGGAAGTGGCAAGAGCACGCAAATACCATCTTTTATCCTCGAAAATGAACTCACAGCGGGCCGTCATTGCAAGATATACGTGACCGAACCACGAAGGATTTCGGCCATATCACTCGCAAAAAGAGTTAGCGAAGAACTCGGAGAGGGTAGGGACGCCATTGGAACAGCTAGATCTCTTGTGGGATACGCAATAAGGCTGGAGAGCAAAGTAGTGGCATCTAGTAGATTGATATATGCGTAAGTGACCCGGTATCGTTTTCGCCCATTTGTACAGGCTGACTCCTTAGGCTAGGACAACGGGAGTAGTAATCAGGATGTTAGAACGGCCGCATGATTTCAACGACATAACTCATTTGGTTTTGGACGAAGTTCACGAGCGCACGCTTGATAGCGATTTTTTATTGATTATACTTCGTCGACTTTTGAATCAACGAGCAGACCTTAAATTAGTCCTCATGTCTGCGACCGTTGATGCGCAGATGTTTTCTGCATATCTCGATGGCGCACCAGTCCTGAATATTCCTGGTCGGACATTCGCTGTGCAAACCAATTATCTGGAGGATGCGATCGAGGTCACGAGGCACTGTTCACACGAAAAGGAGTCGCTAGATTATACAGACGAAAGCGATTTCTCCAGCACTGAACGGGCTCAAACTGACGAGAGTCTACGATCCACATTGTCCGCATATAGCAAACAAACTTGCGATGCGGTTTGTTCTTTTGACGAATATCGCCTTGATTATAAGCTGATCATAGATTTGATTTTCACTATAGCGACTAAACCCGGGCTAGAGAAATATAGCAAGGCATTCTTGGTTTTCATGCCTGGGCTAGCGGAAATACGCAGGCTGCATGACGGAATACTTTCAGAGCCATTTTTTGAAAACGGTTGGATAGTGCATTCTCTTCACTCTTCAATAGCCAGTGAGGAGCAGGAAAAGGCATTTTTAGTCCCTCAAAATGGAACAAGAAAAATTGTCATCGCAACAAATATTGCTGAGACTGGTAGGATAAGCGCAGAAGATAACTTTTTTCGTGGCTTCCACTTTCTAACGAGCCTAGGGATTACAATTCCGGATATAACTGCAGTAATAGATACGGGAAAAGAGAAGGTTATGCGGTAAGTTGGCGTCTTTGTCATTGTAGGGCATTTGCTAACACCTTCAAAGGTTTGACGAGCGACGTCAGATATCAAGACTCGTTGAAACGTTTATATCCCGTGCCAATGCTAAGCAACGACGTGGCAGAGCTGGAAGAGTTCAAGAAGGCCTCTGTTTTCACTTATTTACCAAACATCGCCACGATAAACTGGTATGCATTGTCTTTTCCTAATAAACTTTGTATTCTTGTCTAATTTGCATCACAGATGGCAGATCAACAAACCCCTGAAATGCTCCGTCTCTCTCTTCAAGACCTAATCCTTCGAGTGAAAATCTGCAATCTCGGTGACATTGAGGAAACTCTCTCTGAAGCACTCGATCCTCCATCATCCAAGAATATTCGTCGGGCGATAGAGGCACTCAAGGCAGTCAAGGCTCTTACTAACACTGAAGTGTTGACACCCTTAGGCAGGCAACTCGCTCAACTGCCACTGGATGTGTTCTTAGGCAAGTTAATCCTGTATGGTGCTCTGTTTCAATGTGTAGATTCAACGGTGAGCATCGCGGCCATTTTATCCTGCAAATCCCCTTTTGTACATACAGCCGCATCGAGCAATACCACACAGGCTGCAAAACGTGCTTTTGATCGAGGTAAGTGAACATATTTCCCTCGTGGGTTCTATTCCGTAAGTGCTTATAAAAATGTAGGGAATTCCGATCTGTTGTCTGTCTACAACGCTTACTGTGCGTGGAAAAAATGCCGTGAGACACCAAGAATGAACGAGTTCACGTTCTGTCGAAAGAACTGCTTGAGCCCCCAAGCACTGTTAAATATAGAAGATGTCAAAACTCAATTGCTAGTTTCCCTAGTTGATACAGGCCTGGTAAAGCTGGATGTTTCCGAAGAAGCTGATTTGAGCAGGTTAGTATTTCATACCTACCACTAGCTGAAACTAATGCTAATGTGAGCCAAAGGGCACGATTTTCTGGACGCAGACGCCAGTTTTTCACAGTGCCCGAACGACTGGATGTCAATAGCAGCAATGACCTGGTTGTAAACTCTGTTATTGCATGGAGTTTCTACCCTAGGATTTTGACCCGCCAAGGGAAAGGATGGAGGAACATTTCAAACAATCAGTCAGTGGTTCTCCACACGACATCAGTAAATAAGACTGCAGAACTTTCAACAAAGTGGCTCTCTTATTATCATATAATGCAGTCACGAAATCGGAACTACAACGCGCATGAGACGAGCGCGGCCGAGGACTTTCCCATTGCGTTGCTTTGCGGTGATGTTGAGTTCAAGGTATGTGTTACAACGGTCCGCTATCTTAGCTTTCACACTGAGATATAGCTGATCACTCTTTGTTATTTTTTCCTTTATTTTGCAGATGTATTCTGGGGTGGTGTCAATAGACGGTAATCGCATTAGATTCTCGGTGAAAGATTGGAAGTCGATGATGGCGCTCAAAGCCTTGAGCACCAGGATTCGAGATATCATTTCCCAGATCTTCCGAAATCCTAAGAAAGACTTAACGATCGATCAGAAGGATTGGTTTGATATCTTGCAGCAAGTGTTCATTCAGCAGAAAGAAAAGAGAAGCGAAAAGAGCCAAAGAAGGTAATATGCTATTCCTTGGCTTCACTTCCCTAGTGTCCAGCCTACATTCATTTCTTGGTGATTACAGATAAAATGTGGTTCCATTAGGGATGAAATATACTTGGCAAAATCTCTTTTCTGTTCCTTTGCATGATTCGAAGGGCTAATGGGATCTCCCTCGCTACATGGGCTTATATTGGCTTTCCAAAATCCAAATCAACCATTTCGATCTCGACTTAACTATACGTTCTACGGTCCGGGACCTATAGGTCAAATCAAACCCGGTTCAAAAATTTAGCCAACTTATTGACACTCACCCTCTTATTGGGGTTACCCATCACGTCCCAGGTCGAGTTCTCGCAGGCACGCCTCGGCAGCGTGCCCTGAAGGACAGGTACTCCATATAGATTCCACGTTATTGCAAGGTATGGGTGTCTCTTCCCGTCTAGAGGGTTATGTACCGCACACGCGGAGTATGAACACTGCATAGTACATACGTATATACCGACGGCTGAGTCACTCATGTCTTTCGTCTATTCCGCTTGTTGGACATTTCAAAACGCGGTAGAGTTACCGTTGTACTCCATAGAACTCCATGCAGGTTAAGAGAGGCAAAGTTGAGTACAATAGCACAGCATCTGAGTTAAAATAGATTTACCCCTCAAACATAACTAAGACTTACATGAATTATGCAGCGACTCCTCGATCTCTGACAAAATGAGTCGGGCAAAGTCTTCAAGATACATGATTGGTCCCACTGTATGTTTGGTATGAACATTCATAGGTCTATACGATACAAATGGATGTCCAAATATACGGTCCCAAAAGTGCATCTTGGTAACATATTGCATCCTTTTTTGCCTGTTATTGGGCCAAGGTGTAACAACAAAGGGAGGACTGGCAGGCGAGGGGATCACCCCATCTTTGTGATACCATCGACCGCTAGCTCTTTCAATACAAGATATTTTGCGTAATCCCGCGCAGAGAGTAGAAATCTTCGGAATTGATTCAAAAATGACATGCCAACATGTAAATCCCTATGATATCTCCTTTACCAGCCCCGTTAAAAGCAGTAAAATCCTGGGGATAAGTCATAGCAACTCATTCCTCATTGGATTACATCATGTCTGCAACCCGAAAGCTCTGATGATAACCTATTTACCTGCATATATATGTATGCAGAAAGTTTTGTGTCTCAGCCAGCTCTTTGTCCTTGGCCAACATATTTCTTGATGAAAGAAGCAAAGCTTGAAAGTGTGCATCCTCTGTGCTGGGTGGGGGAAGCCCCTGATAGACATGGATTCCTCGTCACGGTCGGGATCAATGGTAGCTTTGAGTGCCACAAAGAACCTTCATCATTTGACCTGCTATTTTAAGATTCATGTACATACAGAAAGAAGTCTCACTTGGGGTGTTGCACCGCTCTATTCGAGATGTGTGTTTACTCCGTACCAACACCCGAAAAGCATTCCCGGTGGGGACGTATTTTCTGGGACATGCGGTCCCAATGGACTCGTCAATTCAACAGGCACTCTTGGGAAGATCTGGAAGGTATCGATCGAGGGTTGTGCAGGGCGGGAAAATGTCCCGTAAATGTAGCTGTACATAAATTAGATGTGCACGATGTGACAGCCTGCAGAACGCATCTTCGATTGAAGGTAAGAGATTAGCAAGAGCTTCCATCAGCCAAAGAAACGTCAATGCAGAGAGGAATCTTAGGTCGAGGCATTGCAAGAGTAGCTTGGTTCTACCTGAAGAGGTACTCATACTCCGAAGTGCTTCTATCGTCGGAATAACTCCATTTTCCAAAGAAGCGTTTGCAAAATCAAGGTATTAAAAACCAGACCAGAGGAATAGCAGTACATTTTTAGAGCTCCATTATTTCTCCTGTCCTCTGTAGTCATACCAATGAAACACTAATAGTGTTACGTGGCACCACTCTTGGTGTACATACGTATGCGACTCCGTACAAGCAACTCTCACCCTTTTGATCTGGGCTCTTCGCACTCTACAGGCTTGATGTTCGTGCGTCAATGTATGGGTGCGGTTGATGCTGGCTCCAGTCAAAACTGCCATGCCAGGGGGATTTTCTAACCATGTGGACCTTTGGCATCTGCAAACAGACGCAGTCTCAAGTGATACACAGTCAAAGCCTAAGAAAATAAGAATTATCTCTTTTGGTACCCGGACACAGTCACTCGAGCCTCTAGCTTCCAGCAGTGTCTCTCGACTCAATTACCGGACGAAGATTCAAGCCGCAACCTCAGCTCTGCTCCCAACTTGATATCAGAGACCTAGAAGATCCTCGTTCTCGTTGCCCTGGCCTGAAACGTAATATTCTAAATCGAATATAATGGCTGAAAAAGAAGCTACAGAGAGTCCCTGCGTTCTTAAGCTTCCTTCTGTCTATTGTCACCCTCGATAATGTAATGAGCTCACTGTGCTCGAAGGAATGATGGCCTAAGGCCATTGAGATTCTTTCCTCCTTTGTCAAAGTTGCACACACTTGTGAAGAGGGAGAAACCAAAGGTGACACAAGTTCACGTGTAACATATCTGAAGACAAATAGTGGGAGCTTGTGTATCCGGGAGGGGGAAGAAGATGATGGAAAGGGTTCTTTTTTGACCATGATGAGAGCTGAGTGGACACACTCGCACCTAAAGCTAGAGAAAGAGAATTGTCAGCCGGCTGCTTTTGGATAGCTCCCTACTCTAATCTTGTTCAAAGGAGGTATACTATGATAAGTTGTAAGATAAGTCACATATTCAATAGAGCATCGCAAGTTAGACAAAGTAGGGCTGATAACCTTAACAGTGAACTCAAAATATTAGACCGGAAAAGATTGGAGGGCCAAGGCGCGGGTATGCAGTGTAGAAAAAATACGTTTGGCTCAGAAAACGGTGCACATTGCACCTATATCAATGTTGGCTTGGTACTGCTGTAGGCCCGTAGTCGATGCTCGGTGTGTGTCTCTCAGACCGTCTACGTCGATAACTTGGCTCCTAGGTTCGTCACAACTTACACCTCGAAGACTTCCGGGGCCCGAGGGCCACGAGTACGAAAGTGCTTGATGTCGGTGTGGACAAATTGGCGGTCAGAATAAGACCAAATGAGCCCAAGTGTACCAACACCTAGACGGTCTTTGAGAAGGCCTAATTTGTACGCCAGCTGTAGGGTATTTGAAAGAAAAACACCGCTAGATTAACTGCAATATTTAGCTAGGCCTAGAAATTATTTTCGCATGAAGCCGAGTGTCTATTCCTTTTCTCCAACTGTGCTTGTAACTCTCTGTCGGCATTTATTATGCTGCGAATACCAAAAGCAACATGGAGATAAAGCTGGCCAAGAGTCAATTTACCTTTTGTCGTTGGTTTGCGTGCTTGGCTGTGATTTGTGAATTTGATCATGATTGCTCCAAATTGGCAACACAGTTCCTCATTATCCTTGGGAAAAAGGCTGCAATCTGCTTGTCGCACAAAAATGGAATTTACCCGTACCAGGAGGAATATCAAAATTCACTTGCAAAATCTCGCCAGCCTGGAGATGCATTATTTTGTTATTCAGCTGAACATCCAATGAAAAGACTCTTCTGGGTGTGAGCTTCAATGATCAACTTTAGAAACGGGTGGCATGGATCTTCTCGGAAGTCGACAAACACTCGCATATGCAATCACGGGTGGATGCAGCTGAAACCGCTATGACCACACACTAGAGGCTCCACAGTCTATTATTTGATTGACCAAGGCGACTCGCATGGGAAGAGAACCACCGCAAGGAAAGATAATCCAACCAGGTCACGGAGGAGAGTGGTTCGATAACGGCGGAAACCTTCGCAATGCAAGGTTGTCTTCAATCAGAGCGGCAAGTTAGGCGAGGTTGCGGAGGTCACACGCGTCCCCTGGTCATTTCAGAATTTCGACGACAATTCCCATGATCGGTTGTATGTGCTCCAAATTCAGCAAGAAAGCCAGAGACTTTCTGACAAGCCTGCGTGTCCGTGCATGCGCGCGTCCCAATCTCCAGAGATCTCATGGCAGAGGGGGTGTCAACGAGGTGACAAGGGTAACGGGCTAAACCCTGTTCGCTTTTGGGCAGTGCATTAGCCTCGGATAGGTAACCGGGGGGTTTTTTGAAAGCTCATGGGGGCGAAAGGTTGTGAAGGACTTTGAGGTAACCCTGGCCTCCTAGTCTCTCCTCGTTGAAATATTCCCTTTTTGGATCCATTCGATGGGGTTGAGAGTTTTTAGCCCATTAATGAGTTCCACGCTGTCTACCATGCCGATGAATCACCACGACTCATTGAAACCAGCTGAGAGATACGAAGCAGAGAGCAGGTGTGAGGGTTCAGTGAGTGGAGAAAGAAAGAAGAGAGGGTCATTCGAAACGACGACATCCGAATCTGCTCACAAGCTCGGGTCTTGGCACTCATGGATCTTCGACGGCGTCTGTTTTGGCCTTACATACGTGGCTGCTGCAACCACCAGTTAATTCGCTTGCTTACTCCATCAATGAGGCTGCTCGGCCTCAATTTCACCGGCCTTGATCTGTTCTGGTTTCCAAGAGTCATGTCGTGAGTGGCGTTATTTTGCGACTCTCACCCTTTGTTTGGAGTTCAATCTCAGCCGGATAGTCCCCAAGGCTGATCTGACCAACGAGGACTGATCGTCCCAGTCTTTGGGTGACGCGGAGCGGAAAGATCGCAAGTTGGAAAAAAGGATTCTGCCAGGAAATGCTATCTCAGCCACGTAGCACATCGCTGGTGGTCACAGCCCAGGAGAGAGCCAGGGCGGTAAAAGAGTCTGGACCGCCCTCAGCGCTTCGCATATGATTGGGTTGCTCTCCTGATCCGTCGTTCGCTCGCTCCATTACGGTGGGGATCAATGGGTGAAGCAAGAGTGCGTGCGTAAGGCAGCGAAAACCCGCAACGTCCCCATCAAAGTCTCTTGATATCTGGTTTGTCAAGGCAGCCCGCTCGTGACTTTCATTCGGTTGATGCGCAACCCCATGACTGGATGAAGGTGGCACTTTGTGCAAAGAACGGAATTCCCCGTCTTTGTTGCATCCAATCCCTGCTCTCTCGTCCTACATCGACCGCGGGTGGCTTAATGCCAAGCATACTATCCCTTGTCGACCTCTGCGTTGTCAATCCGGACGGTCTGCCCCGCCATGGCAACCCTGGATGGATGGGGGGATTATCAATTCCATGCCTGTCAATGTCCCATTTGCTTGCTGAACAGGAATCCAAAGACGCCAGACTGTGATGTGCCGTCAAGCAAAGTGCCACTTTTTCGCGGTTCAACCACGACAATAATTCGGAACCGTTTGTTGAATTCACAACGTGGAGTCTGAACTCTGCCATTTTGCCAAGTAACATATCAGCATGCCGAACCCGCAAGGCAGGCTTGACGAGCAGATCTACACTTCCATCACAGGGCGCGCCTCGCTGACCTGTAAATCAAATCTGCGCTGGGGCCAGCTCCCGATTTTGGGTGGTGATGAAGGAAACACAGTATTTTTTCAATGGGGTGACATTTGGCATTCACTTTTACGAGTCATACCATTGCGCTCGGCGATTTGACTAAGACGGCAGCGAGATCCCCGACACTGAGGTTGCCAACATGAGAACTATTCATGTGCTCGAGCATTGTCGCTTCAACCGCATCGCTTCTGGACGTGGATTGAATCCTGGCTACTAAGCGAATTTGGCCCGTGCTAAGAATAGCCGCCATTACCACCGTCGCAGGGGGGGCGGGGAACGAAACTTTATTCAAAGCTCTGTCCATCGAAGCCCTGCAAATTCCTCCGTCATTCCGTGAGATCTTTGCACATCCCTGTTGCGTCTTCCTGGATGTTCATCGATGGGTTGAAATACATTAATATCCCTCACTTTCGAATAGCCGTGGCGGTGGAATTGAAAGTTGTGGAATTAACCAAGGTAACCGGACAGCGAGAGAAACTGGCGGTTTTCATGACTTTCGCCTCGATGAATTCCCCGATGTTCAATATTTCATAACCGGAGATTTTCATTCAAGGTGGCTTAGAAATGTAAGAGGAGAGCAAAGGCCCAACGGAATGTCATCCATCGCACAAACACGAGACGTCTCAGGCATATGAAACGGGGATGCATCTTTCATAATGTACCCTCATGTAGGGACCGAGCCTGCATCGCTCCCCAAGGGATTTAATGGGATGATGCAATGTGAGGTTAATTGATTCCTTGCATGCTTCTCTATACGCACATACTCAATACATAATTACAGATACATGCTCTTGTCCTTGCCTGCCTTGTGTTTCTTTTGTGTGCGTGTGCGGGAGCACTAAACCTTGTGCCTTGCAGTAGTACCCAGGAAAGCATTGAGACAGACAATTCTTTCCTTGAGGTAGCTTCCCGCTTCTGTGGTCGCAAAAAATATCATACATATGTCCCTGACAATATCTCTGACGCAGGTACGGAGCCCGGCACTCCGTACATACGCAGCCCGTTATACTCCGTACATGCAGCAAGCCTGGGAAGGTGGGCGGGCCTGGTTGGGGTTGTGGATAAGGTAGTGGTGAGGCAGAGCTGGCAGCAACTCCAGGAGATCGACATAATAATATAGCCATGTACTCGATACCCCAAGTGTTGATTTTGAATGAATCTCCATTGCCCCGTACAAGCGGATGTGCGTCGCTTCTAGCGGTTACGAGCCCGGCATGAGCCGTCGATCCACTCCAAATAACCGCGTGTTCGGTTTTGTAACTCGTCACTCCAGAGGAGGAAAGGCTTTGGAGATTCTTCTCTTTTCCTTTTTCTATTTATTTATAAAAACCTTGATTTTTTGCACCCTCTCCGCCAGCGAATATTCTCGCACCGACATACGCCATCATTCCCGACGTTGACAATAGTTATGTCCCTGGAAATCCAATTTCCATTTCCATATAACTTCGTCAATGGTCATTTACGTGAACACGCCTCGAAATAAGTCAATCTTAATGTTTCAAGGCCCGTTGGTTCGAAGCTGAAAGATTAGATGACTGGGATCAGTGTGGTTTTCTGGCTTTGCCTTGCTGGGGAGATAATAGTCCATGTAACTTCAGAGAAGTATCTCCTGACCGGGCTTGGAACTGAAAAAGCATTTTCGAGACAAGGTTTATCGAGGGCCACACGGAGCACCTTTTATTGCAAGTTGTTGTTTCGTTGGCTCTGGTGAGATTGAGAGGTCCTCAGCCATCGAGGTTAACATTCCATAATTGGCGCAAAAGGAGGGACTCTCTCATCGTGCATTTTTCAGCCCGTATTTCTAGAACTTGTTGTCGAAGAGTCCAAGATTGATGGAATCTCTCACCCGTGAGGGCAATGCAGGGTATGTCCCCTCGCTGAATTGAAGACAGTGCAGAAGCTCCATAACCGGTCTCCAAACCTGAAATGGGTCAACCGTTCTTAGGCCCCAAGGCTCCAAGTCCGACCTCGGGATTTGAAAAGATGACGGAGTCCGGAATAAATGAGAAGAGGCATAACTCCGTACCTGCTGGCTTGTCAAATCATTCCGCTCGTCGAATTTGGAGTGAAATCAATGGGGTCCAAGGGACTAAAGCCCGTCCCATGTGAATAACTCATCACAAGCCTTGAGACGACAGAGCCAAAAAAAAAAAAAAAATAGAAAAAATAGAAAAAATAGAAAAAGTAAAAAAAAGAAGGATGAAAGACCACCAGGATGGAAACGAATCCCAAAAATGAGATTATCCATCCTTCAAAACATACAACCAATCAAACCAACAAATCATGGGAGCGGGATCCTCCTATGACTGATATTTCCACGACCTGCGCCTCTCCTGTCGGCACAACCCATGTCCTATTTTTATTTTTTTTGGGTCCGGGAAGGGAACGGTCCCTGAGCTTCGGCTTTGGAAACTTTGTTGTCCCATTCGTGGCTTTCTTTTCGCTCCACGGTATGGGACTTGTCCTGGCATGCACAAGAAGGGGCAAAAAGGAAAAAAAAAAAAAAAAAAAAAACCTTAGACTTGTACTCCGTATGTTTACCATGGGACAGACCGGCAAGCAGCTCCTTTTCTTTTTCTTTCGATCCGCTTTCTTTTTTGAGGGTTGGAGAAGATCGCTCCCGCCCGAGGCCCATGAAATGCTTCCCAGATTTTGAGATGTCGGGAATACCACAGGAATGGAGCCTCTCTACTCTCTCTTTTTGTGTAGCCATGCATTGGCCTGCCACCTCAGAGGGAGCTTCACTCCTTTTTTTTTTTTTTTCTTTTTTTTTTTGTTTTTTGGTCAAAGCAGGAATATTCACCGGCGAATTCTACCACGGAGGATGAACCCACGACCAGAATACGGAGAATGCGCTTGAAGAATGCCCCGCGATTGGGTGCTAGCGACGGCTGCTTGATTTGGGCTTCAAAAATTTAGTTTGCCAACCCATCTCCTTCCCGCTGCAACTGCACATCATCAACCAGGATCGCTGGTGGAAGACTGAGGAGGAGAATCCAGATGCACGTATTTTCTTGTCACACGCGAAACCTTTTTTCCTTTTTTTCCTTTTTTTTTTTTTTTGGAGATGTTTGGTATTTTTACAAAAGGGTATGTTACATCCTTCGGTCATGTAAGTAAAACCACCTGTAAAACCTTGAGAGGGCAGTAACCGCGCTAATTCCCCAAGGTTGCTGATTAAATCAACTATCTTGAAACTCTTATCCAACAAACAACTGCGCCGCTCTCGCTTCACCTGGCTGCAGAACGTGATGGTGTTCGTATAAAGAGCTTTGGGATAGTTATATTGCACACGCATGGGGAGTATATGTGGGTTTCACAGCAAGGAGGCGCGGAGGCTGTTTCCCTTGACCATACTTTGGTATAGTTCTTGATTGATGTGATGCATCTCTCGACGAACAAGGACTGGATGTATGATCCAACGAGCAGCAACCTCGAATTAGCAGAGGCGACATTGTGTTTTGGATGGGGTAGGAGTATTCCGGGATGTGCTGCGGGAGTGCATAACGGCGTTACAAGAATCATTCTACGGAGGAGTCTCGTATGCTCCGTAAAACCCCTGTTCAATAGCGTGTTTGCAAATCTCGACTTGGAAACGCCTTCTCGAATTTGTGTGGAATTACACCGAAGCGATAGATAACAAAAAAAGAGAGCTTCGAGAAAGAGACAGGGACGTATGGGCTCACCCATGGAAGAGAAGTCCATCCAGCTGGAGTCTATTACTCCGAGTGCTAGGAAACTTTGCATTCATGCATTTTTACGATTTGGAACCAAAAGCTGTTGATGGCGCGGCTGTGATATTCGTTTGGACTTCTCGAAAGATGGAAAGAATACACCAGGTTCAGGCGGTACGACCTCGAATGCAGAAATTGAAAGAGGGGTTTCCAATTGCGCATCCTCTGTTATCCCAACTGGACGCAAACCCAAGCAGTCAACAAGTGAAAGCCTGAAATTGTGAATAACACAAAGCTTTGCGAGGCAAATCATCCATTCTTCGAACGTGATTTCGCTGGGCTGTGGTTGTTTCTTCTTTTGATCTCCGATTCCTGGGAATGTGGCTGGGGGTTGGGCGAGGCACATCAATGGATTCTGACAAGGAGGACTCCAGAGCTGCACACGAGATCCTGTGGATCACAACCTGCAGCTCACGATGTGATGGCTGATCTGTGAAGGGACAACCTGAATCTTCCTGTGACGCAGAGTTGATGTCTTTGTTTCCAAAGGACCGTTTGGGAAGGTCGCCAAAATGGCAAATCAAGCTTTTGCTCCACCTTTCAGTCGATGCTCAACAGCTGAAACGGATTAGCTATTTCAGGAGCTTGCTTCGCCCTGAGCAGAGCACGTTCTCAAAGCATCAACACATTGGGCGAGGGAGCCAGGAAAGGCAACTAAACTTTCTTTGATCTTAAGTCCGTCGGGACCCTTGTCGGTTCGGAATCCACAGGGAGGTTGGAGCGCGAGGCGGGCTTTGAGAATGCGAAGTCGGAACGTCTTGTGACGATGTTATCCATATTATTGGCCAATAAGACCTGGTCAGGACAGAGCGTCTGGTGGTAACATTCGTACTCCGTACAGGCCAACGGTACTTCTTTCCATGCCTCTCTTTCTCGATGGGCTTATCGTTCTGGCAGGTTGCACGGAAGTCGATCACACATTGCATAACCGCTTCGTCCTTGTGCTAGCTTGAACCCCACGAATCCCCTTTGGGTTCTGAGTTGTCAAAAGATCCACACTGGCCTCGAGCTTGGACAGGGTCAATAATAATCCAAACGGGCAGAGCAGAGGTCACTAACTCTGGAGTAAGATTCATCCATTATTACTCGGATGTGATATTCCGCCATCAGGGTCCAATTCGAGCGAAACACAGAGAGAGAGAGATTCGCTTAGTCGACGGTTTGGCTGAGAGGCAGTGAGCAGGGCTGGCGTGTGAAGCGGTCATCTGGGGCTAGTAATGTATGGTCATTTACGCACTTTTTCGTGTATGATACGTTTCGGCCCAGTACCAATCGGTACGGACAAGTCATCAGGGCTTGCGGGATCTAGGCCAGTGGGCGAAAAATACACTCAAAACCAACATTGCCAACATGCTATTTGTCCGTGTTGCTTTCGGGCTGTATCGCCCTGACGGCGCGAGTAATCGAGAAGCGGGTTTCGCTGAGACTTTCTCGCCCAGCGAGCTCCAGAGAAAACCTTGGGACTCACGATTAAACTTCTTTGAGCGGAACAGCCTTTGACGACCAAGTTCCTTTATGGCTCCAGAGCACAGACGTGTTGTGAAGTCACTTCTTAGGTACGAAAGTATGGACAGACATACATACTTACTATGTATATTCCTTGCGCCGGACGTAAATCATGGCGAAGGAGCGTCTTTACAGGCACATATAAATATCGCGCAGGCGCGGACCCGATCTAACAAATAGCAGGACTCTAGATGTATGTCAGGTCGTATGTACTCCGTACTGTACGCTCTTAATCTTGGACATCGAAAAAGGCCGTTGTACCCACACTGCAGGGCCATGTGTTGATTCATTCTTGCGTGCTGTTCCTCCTTCGACTTGATTAAATTGTCGCTTGGTGCTAGCCTCCCTGGATTGGACGTGGTGGTACATGGTCAATTCCTTCCCGTCTGAATTTAGAGATCCTTTCACACCTCCGCTGAACACCACGCTCCTGGATTGATATTTTTATTTTTATTTTTATTTTTCGCGCCAAAGTCGACTCTGCTTGGCTGACGAGACGCGAGGGACAGTCCAATATCCGTTGAAGAAGAAGGGGCCAGAAGGCGAATCATAATCCGCAGAGCGTCCAAGGGTGCGTGCGGGAGCGTCACCCAGGTGTATCCACCGGGCCATCTTCCACGGTTGAACGGCGCGAGTGGCTCTCTGACTAGCGTTTGCTGTTTCTCGCCAGCACCAAAAGGAAACATCCCAACACCCTTCCCTCCACCGCCCGCCGCCGCCGCCGCCGCCGCCGGCCGCCCACCCACCCACCACACACGCCCTCCCCCAGCCTCCACATTTTTGCTTGAGCCCACAGTCGTTCACGCTGCCTGAACTTACAGCAAAGTATTATCGGACGAGCGCAGGTAATGTGATCACCATCTCTTTCGTCTTGTTTGTTCCCTCTTTTTTAACTATCCTCTTTCTGTACCTTCTCCCATTTCTCACTTTTCTTCTCCCTTTGCCTTTTTTTTCCCGTCCCCCACTTATGGGTTTCGTCCCATATACCCAATCATTCTGTTTATGATTGTATGACCCTTGCCACTGCCCTTGGATTTTTTATTTTTTATTTTTTTTCGATTTTACATTAGCTCCATTTTCCATTTCCTGTGCCTTTTCGCTGCTGCTGCTACTGCTTCTTGCATACGTTTCGTACCTCCTGCATGCTCCGGCTCTGCTGCTTCTCAACCTCCAACTCGCCGCACATTTGACTGATATCTTGTCACTACGTCGTTCCTTTTGCGATTCAGATTCAGCCAAAAAGCGCAGCAAATCAAGAGATCAAAAAGAAGTAAAATAAAAGGGAAAAAAAAAGAAAGCGTGAACCTCCTACGACTCGTCACGACTGCTACGAATGATATTTCATGCTTGGTTGCGTTGTTGCGTTCTCGTCGCCTAATCTCTCGACCCGCAGTCAATGTACTCAGTCCACCAAGTACCAAACATCGAAAGCTCTTCCGGTCTCGTTTGACATTTCTGGGAAATACCAAGACGCGACTTGACTGACCGCTCCTTGTACGGTTTGCTCTCTTTTAATTTATTTCTCCCCTTCCATGCTTGAGCAGGCTCCGCGAGTGATCCACGGCGAGACGCAGTTCTCGCAGTCCACTGTGGGCAAGCCCCATTTCTTGAGTTTTGCCCCGTTGACCTTGACCGGTTGTACCTCCTTTTGCGGACGTTGTTTTCTGACACGAAAAAGGACAAGGATACCAAACAAGTGCTTCCGTGTACAATTACCTACGATTGCATTTGAATTTTTCTGAGCGTTGTGTATGCTTTCACGTTATTGACGAGGCCGGGTTAGATCATTTGACCTAGAACTTTGTTGCTGTTATATTGAATGAGCTCCGAAGAACGCGACACGTTGCTACTTTGAGTGGCATTGCTGAAGAGCCAGTTGATATTCGACGCCTACGAGACTCACGATCCATATACGATCCTCGCTTCGCCCTAATTTTTCCTTCGCGACCATCGCTCGTTTGAAGGACCTGCTATCCATTACCAATTTCTGTCCAAAGAAGTTTCGTTTCGGACCGGAAAGCTGGAGCTGCCGTCGATATCCCAGGTTCACACCCGCAACCCCGTTGATATCCCGTTTTACAATCATCACGCGTCTCAAAGACCTCTCTTTGGTGCTGACAGGTTGCGATCTCTGTGTCTTCCTGACCCGCAGCTGACGGTCCTGGGAGGAAACCCATCAATCTCGGGCTTAAAGCACGACGTTTCTGGGTCACCTACGTCAATTCCCGCAGCAACACATCCTGGTGGTCCAGGATCTGAGCTTTCAAGCCACTCTCCGCCTCTATCTGAGCCGAAAGTATCTCAGTCATCATTGGCTGAGAGGACTGGAGGGGTCAATCACAGGCCTCCTTTGGAATCCACGCGCCAGACAGATTACGTGGGCGCAGGGGAGAGTTATCTCCAGAGTTCAACGAATTTGGGAACCATGAACCAAACTCAGTCGTATATGGACGTACATTCGTCACATTTACCTTCGGCGCAGGCATATACGTCCCAACCCGGGGCTGTTGAAACACTATCACACTATCCGTATCAACAGCCTCCTCTTTTACAGCCTGGACCCACCGCTTATGCACCAACGACCAGCGCATACCCGTATGGTTATTCGAACCCTGTTACCTCCCCTCAGTCAAGCAGCCAACCAGTGACAAATTCCCTCGCTCCACATGCTCCTGCTCAGATTTTACCTTTACCTGGTAGGTATCTTCAAGTGCGGGGAGAATCTATGAATAAAGCATGGGCCGTTTGCTAATCAATATCATAGCTATGACGACTGCTCCAAATCCCCATGGATATGCTGGATCTAATACCCATACTCCGCCTTATAATGTGCCTCATACTTTCGACACTACCGGCCAGGTAGCGCCTCCAGGAATGAAACCAAGAGTGACTGCCACACTTTGGGAAGATGAGGGTACTCTATGTTTTCAAGTGGAAGCGAAGGGCGTCTGTGTCGCTCGTAGAGAAGGTTCGTTCGCGCTAACTTTTGCAATTAGTTTTAATTTGAATTGACTGATGTTCTCCGCAGATAACCACATGATCAATGGTACTAAATTGTTAAATGTTGCTGGGATGACCAGAGGAAGGAGGGATGGTATTCTTAAGAGTGAAAAGGTCCGGCATGTGGTTAAAATCGGGCCCATGCATCTCAAGGGTGTCTGGTGAGTCTCTTGGGATTGCAACGAGTTATGAATACTTAGCTGATCGAATTTTCAGGATTCCCTTTGAGCGTGCCCTTGAATTTGCCAATAAAGAGAAAATTACAGACTTGCTTTACCCGCTGTTTGTTCATAACATTGGAGGTCTTTTGTACCATCCATCGAATCAAACGAGGCCGAACTCGATTGTTGCAGCCACTGAACGAAGACGGATTGAGGCAAACCAGCAACAGAGTCGCTCTGTCCAAGGACCGCAACCACCACCATTGCACCACCATCACTCCATGCACAACCCTGTTACTTCACAAGTTACCCAACCTTCCAGCCAGGCTCTCATTCCTGCTGGTCGACCAAGTTTTGAACGTGCCCACACATTTCCGACTCCTCCTGCGAGTGCCTCTAGTCTGGTGGGCGTGACAAATCAGGGCAGCTCTTATGATTGGGCTGGAAATGTCCATAATTCGCATGCGTTATCAATTGAGACGGGATTGGGTAATTCGAGGTCGATGCCAACCACTCCCGCAACAACACCTCCAAGCTCCAACTTGCAAAGCATGCAATCGTACCAAAGCCAGCAGACATATGACTCCAAACCATATTACCCTTCCGCCCCCTCCAGCCAGCCCCCCTTTACCTCACAACAGCCAACCGCTACCCAGAATATGTCCAGGTATGTGAGACAAGGCTCGACGACTTTTGAACGAGCTATGACTACCGGAAATGATTCGGACCTACGGCATACTAACAAATATCTACACAGCCAGGGAAATGGGCAAGTGACCCATGGTACAGCAGTAGGAGAGGGAGGACAAGAGCATGAGAGTGAATATATCAACGACACCAACGGTCCCTATAGCGGCAATCGTGGATCTTACAATTACAGCACTGGTCATTCTAGCAGCAATTTGCATGGAGAGCCTACCCATTTATCCTCCGATATTACGAACTCGGCGTCCAGCACAAATGGGACTGATAGGATAGGTTCAAGGCCAAGTGCACAGAGCCAGTGGACACCCGGTTACTCAACTCCACGCCTCGGACCGCCCAGCAGCCTATATAATGTTGTCAGTGATACAAGGAGCACTCCCGCAAACGGTCCTGGGGGAGATACTTACTCTGCTTCGTCAAACTCGGCGTCTGTCTACCCGTCTTCGGGTTTGAACGGTTCCGGTAAGCGTTCCAGGGACGATGACGATCAAGAGGAAACTTCCCGAGCCGACAGCCAACATTGCGAAGTTAGTTACGAGCACAAACGGCGAAAAACACTTACCGAAAACCCTATCGGGGGCCCCGTGGGCGGCGCATCGCTTGCTCTCCAGAGCTTGAAGAATGGGGGTATGCCACGCCGCCGTTAAGAACCATCGGGTACTCGCACCACCCTATGGTGATTATATGGTGAACCGGAAATTTACCATGGTCAGATGGGTTCGTTCTCCTCTCCTCAGCTCTCGAACCACCTTTTTCAGCGGCGACGTACCACGGTCCCTGTCATCATGTTTCCGCTATCATTTAGTGGTGTGGCGAGAAATTATAATTGCGAATTCAGTAATCGGACTATTTTTGAACGCTACCTCACGATGCATCTATTCAATCCGTTGCTGACATTATATTCCTCAAAGTCTCGGCTACTTACATCGTTGTCGGTAGTCGCGAAATCGAGAGTCAATCCCTAGAGTTTAAGGGACAGCAGCCCAATATATCGCTTTATACAGTTACTATGCCTCCCCTTTACTGCCGAGTTTCTCGGGATATTAAATGATCGTGATATTCAGCCTAGCCATGTAATCAAGGCGATGTTGTGCTCTTTTCTCTTGAAGATCGTGGATTAAGCACTGGCTCGTTGAAATATTTGTCTTCGCGTTCTCACTTATTGTCTCTTCCTTCTCCACACTAAACTGTCTCAACCTCTACAATTCACCTTTTGCTGTTCAATCCTCACCGCTTATCATTCGTCATTTATAAAACAAAAAAATTGATGATGATGATGACACGAATCTCCTTGATACAGATGTTTTGTCTTCTGCTCAGCAAGCCTTTACTCTTTAGATCGAGGCTGGTCATCTGGTTTTCCGCACTCGAATTTCTACTAATTCTTCACTTTGATGACTCGCATGAGGAAACGCTCGATGAATCTGCTACCCGGCTCTGTTATGTTCCAGTCAGCGAGTTATTCAAAAAGCGACTACACTTCCGATGCATTGGTGATGCTTATGAACTGGAGCGAAGAATACTTTTTGTCTTTTCTATGAAAGAATTCCTCTTTGTTTGTTTTCTTCTTACAAGCCACTTTTACCTTTCTACTTCAAGAACGGTTTTTTTCCTGATCGGTCCCTTCCGCTGCATCTTTTTTGTTCCCCTTCCAACTATACTCTCGTATTTTTTTTTTTTTTTAAAGTCTCTCTGATGGGCCTGGTTGGTGCAGATTTTGGATTAAGGTGCGGTATTTCCATGTTCGTTTTATCCTTTCGCCATGTCATAGATCAATGGGTGAATGAATGAATGATATCATGGCCTTTTCAATTCAAACCATCCTGTGTTTTTGTATTCTTGTAGTTATCTCTCGATCTGTGTGTTGTTGGGCATAACCGGCATTTCACTCTGACAGCTCGCAATGCCATTGAATTTCTGATCGTTGTAGCCTCTGTAATTGTTGAGTTGAGTTGCAGCGATGCGACACGTGACGCCTTAACTAGTTAGGTAATTCCACGTGAGCTGCAGGTCATCTCGGGGGATCGCCTTCCGCCTTTCGAAACAAGCGCGACGGGTGGCTAGGCTTGATTTGGAGCAATAAAAACAATACATGTGCTCACTGCGTCTCTCGCTTCATCCTTAAACGTCGTATCCGATCCAACTGAGAGGATCGATCCTTGCGAGGTCACAGTGCTATTTATCTGACCAGGGGATAGCCGGTTCCTGATGACATCGCAGTTTTGGGAAACTAGGCAGCCCCTCTGTTCAACCCGTTAACCGCCACTTCAGCCTCCACAGGAACTTCGATGAAAAAAAAACCAAAGCTCAGAAATTTTCTTTTTTTTTTTAATTACCCGATGCCAACTGTTTACTGATATTGTGGTGCCCGTACTACATTGGTGAAAGGAACTTTAGACCAAAACAAGTGAGGAAAAACGTCAAAAATGCCTCGACCACAATTTACCGTTTCTCCTGCGCTCCGCGATATCATCAGCAAACCTTCTCCTGCAAACATCGACCAATTCGACCCCTGGAACTCTTCGTCAACAGGCCACCAGCGAGCTGAGAATCCATACACTGGCACTTCCTGGCGAGAAACGAGGAATCAAAAACTCGCCGCACAGCTTAAAGGGACGGCAGGCGATACCAGGCTAGACCATGAGGGCGAATGGAAGTGGGTAACGCCGGAAGAGAGAGAGAAAGAGATACGGAAGAACGAGAAGACAGGGGATATTAAGTCTTTTTTTGGGGTAAAGAAAAGAACTCAGAGAGTGTCCGCGGATGAGAAGAAAATCGGGCAAAACTTGATGGACAGTGTTGTGCATGACGGGCCTTCCTTCGACCGGGCCTTTTCTTCAGAGCCACTAACTGAGCCTTCACGACCCTTCCCAGAAGCTATGCCTTATTTGCCACAGCCAGCACAATCGTCGCTGAGGAATAAAGGTATATTTAGCAATTTGACCATCTACATCAATGGGTCTACCTTCCCCCTAATATCGGACCACAAGCTTAAACAGATTCTCGTCAATAATGGCGCGAGCATCTCTATATCTCTTGCAAGACGCACTGTCACACATGTCATCCTCGGTCGTCCAAATGCATTGAAAACCAGAGATCTGGCTAAAGTAGGGGCTGGAGGTGGTCTCTCTGCAGGGAAACTACAACGAGAGATTCAGCGTATAAGTGGGAAAGGCGTTAAGTTTGTTGGTGTTGAGTGGTGCGTATTTATTGATTTCTTTCCTTTTTTTTTTTTTTTTTTTTTGTTTCTTATTTATTTTTATCCCATATTCTATTCTTTGAATTCAAGCTCACGTTATTTTTTCGTAGGGTCCTGGAAAGCATCAAAGCAGGTCGCCGTTTGCCCGAAGCGCGGTTTGCTAATTTGCATATAGCATCTGTTAAGCAGAGAAGCGTGATGGCTGATTTTGCTGTTTGAAGAGCTGTAGAAAGCTCTTTTTTTCCCACTGTATCTGGCTGTTTTACGCCCTGCGGGTCACTAGAAGAACAGATACTCACTCCATGGATGGATCCGCACGATACATTGGTGCTACAACACTACGGGTTGTTGCGACCACTTCTTAATCTTAGGGCCGAGGTGCGGACGGAGGTAGGAGGCAGTTCCTCGCTCATTGAATGGCTCTATTCCTTTGACCCTCGAGTTGAGCAAGGAGGAGCACCCAACTTGCCGCCAGTGAGCGAAAGGAGCGTGTTGGACCGTGGCGACTGGCTTTAATTGGTTGTGTCGGGGTGTCTGCCTTGGCTCAGCTCCGCCAAATCCGGGAATGGTATAGAGTGGAACACACCATCTAAGTTGCACTAGTCTGTTAATAATGTCAAGGGGCATTGGACCGTGATTCCGTGCTGCTGCTAGCGTCTAAAGTCGGAATATTTGCGACGGCCTTGTACTTTGCTCTTCTAGCTTCCGGCTTTAGGTCTTTTCTAGGTATGAGAGCCCTTGCCGCTTCAGGACTTATAACACCGGCACGTATCCACCGTCTCTCATCGCAAACCTTCTTTCTCGTAGAGTGAAGACGTACATTGTAGAATAGGTCAAGGAATAAATGATCTTCGCTCGGAAAGCTTGATACGACATCTTGAGGTCAGGCAGGATGTATACCGGGTGGCATTCAAAGTATACGTTCATTAAGCCCCCTGACTTCGTAGCGATCGGCAACAGTATCGATTATTGCTGGAGGCGTCGGAATTAGACTTAATGTCATAATAGTTGAAGTGTCAGAACTCAGTTACCTTTAAGATAGATCAGCTTCTGTGGAAATCTGCGTGTATTCGGGATAGTGACTGTGTTTTCCTTCCCTGAATCAGGGCTTAAATCAAGGCGCCAGAAGCTGGGAGGCATGATGATAGTGCCGGTAGCCCATTTCTTAGCATCTTTAGGCAAGAATCGATAACCTGGGCAACCTGTTGTGCTCTCTTTGGTTGCGCGTTTATCAAATAATCCTTCCAGGGTTTGTGGGAACTCTTGGTAGCCGTGCGAAACCACCAGAATCGATCGGGCATTCTCTACTCGTCTACAGTTGCGAGATGGGACACTCCGAACCAGTGGGTACCCGAGGGTCCTCACCACAAAGTTCCCAACGAAAGAGTGCCGCACTCCTGCAGCACTAAGGAATCTCCTCAAGGCGCCAGTTCTGGATGCTATATGGCAATTCGGGGTAAGCCATGATGTGGGTTGCGTAGGAGGAAACAAATTTGTTGTGACTGGAAGATTGAGTGGAGTCAAGAAAACGGCTTTTCTCACGGTATGCGGTGATGCTGGGATATCCTTGTGGAGCCTAGCCGGGTGTTGTGTTTTGATGGACGAGGAGTTTATGCTTAGGGTTCGAAAGGGTTGTCTAGGCAATCTATACGGATCACGTGATCGAGGTGCTCTTTTGTTGGATTAGTAACTACGGAGTACATGGTTGGTTGGTTGGTGACGGAGTACTTAACAAACATGTTTCTCCACAATCGAGGTTCTGACCCCACACTTGGTGCGTCCCCCAGGTGTATGAGGAGACTTTCGGTCGCATGTGGAAGAGCATCAGTCTCAGGCTTCGAGCACTGGAAACCCAATCGACGTCCCGAGGCACTCGGAGGAATAGCCAATGTCGACACGCGCCTATCGACGCTGCGGCCAGCTCTGCTGGTGCCTTCCTTACCAAAATAAGGGCGAACTGGACTATTTTACAAGATTCCCCATATTTAGCACCAACGCACCACAAGACCTCACTCCCAAGGGCTTCTCGTTGCTTTCCTAAGTTTCCTTTGAGGTTCGGGTGCACGTAGTATTCCTAGCTGTGGAATGAGTCTGTGAAAAGCCATCTCCTTATTTCTAATTTCCTCGAAGTCGATCTTCATGACGATGGACGCCAATGGACGTTGGCTGCCGCGTGAAGGTTGGTTGCTGTCGCGCCGCCATACCTGTCCGAATAAATCTTGTGGCTAACTTGATATAACTTAGGATTCATTGCGGATGTGGTGGGTCGCGTGATCAAGGGGACTCTCTTCTCGCCGTCTTTGACTCTGCCACTCCTGCTCCTCGCGCAGCACACTCGTAGGGGTCAAACCCTCAGAAATGAGCAACCCGGCGTCTTTCGAGCCCTGAAAATTTTGGTGGCAATTGGCCTGTATCGATGGCTCAATGGCTGGCTTAGTCGTCGCGCCTTAAACAACGCAACCTCAGATAGATACAACTGGAATTCTGAGATTGCCATCGTCACTGGAGGAAGCGATGGAATTGGTCGGAGAATTGCGCTTCTACTCGCTGCGCGTGGGCTGAAGGTTGCGGTTTTAGATATCAAACCGTTGAATTATGAGACGCCGGCGAATGTCAAATTCTATCCCTGCGACATTTGCTCTCGCGACCAGATCGCTAGCGCTGCTCGGAAAATCCGAGATGAGATGGGTGAGCCCACGATTTTGGTCAACAACGCCGGAGTTCTGAAAGGAAAGACAATACTGGGTGGTACGGACGAAGATATCCGCCAAACCTTCGAAGTGAACACGTTATCCCACTACTGGCTGGCTCAGGAGTTTCTTCCGTGCATGATTTCACGCAATCATGGAATGGTTGTTACGATCGCGTCGCTGGCCGCCTATGTTACCACCCCTAGTATGGTCGACTACTCTGCCAGCAAGGCTGCAGCTCTTGCGTTCCATGAAGGGCTCGCCACTGAGTTGAGGACACGTTATAACGCTCCGAAAGTCAGGACTGTGGTGGTAAACCCGGGTTTTGCCCGCACGTATCTGGTTAACGTGATAAATCCTGAGAACACTTGGTTCAATCCCCTCTTGGAGCCCGACAGTGTGGCGGAAGCCGTTGTGCAGCAGATCCTCACGGGATCCAGTGGCCACATTGTCATTCCTGGCTCAACCGGAGCCCTTGCGAGTAATGTGCGGGCATTTCCTCATTGGCTGCAGAACAGAGTCAGGGACAAATGCGAGCGTTTAACGAGATCAACAGGCGAGCACTGATGAAGCCGACGCTTTTCCCTAAACGCGGGGGGATAGGTTGATGTTTTTATCATTGACTGGATCATCTCCGTTCCACTTTTCCTGACCTACCTTCCTCTATGAATGTATCGAATAGACCGGTTGAAATAGTTTACCACTAGATATTCTTGGTGTGCTGAATGTGCATGAAGACCCCGAGCACCCGATCAGTAATTACTAGATATGTAACTAACTACCAGCGACAGACATTTTGCAGAAGTTCTTATGATGTGTGTAAGTGTTTGTACGGTGTAGGGGGAAGTCTCTCTATGCTTTAGAAGCGAGACACAGGAAGAAATATGATTAACTTTTAATGGTTTGGTTTGGGTGTGAGACATCTGGAGAGCCGTTGACATTTAAATTTTTTTGCTTTTTCTCCTCTTTTTTTTTTTTTTTGCCCCCTTCCCCCCTCCCGCAAGGCCGGTGAGGTGCAGACTGGGCGCTGGGCGGTTCTCGCATGCGTTGCGGTTGATGTGCAGCTGCAGCCACACGCTATTGGTCGGTGGTCAGGTGAAGCGGCGCTGGGAGTAGACAAGCTGACTAACTAACGCCGCCACACACTTTTCTCCTCGAGCTGAGCTCCCTCCGCGCTCTGCATTCCTCCTCCTCACTCTCTGTCGTGCAGTTCTCACTCTTAATGACTTGACGAATTTCATTGCTGTACTCCGTACTCCGTACTCTTGCTTTGTTTGTATATATGATCCTTGTCGGTATCTTATGCCCAAAAGTCATTTCTAATGATTCTTTACGGCCGTGTTTTTGGTTAGCCGGCGGGTGTGAACCAAGGCAAACTTCCCGAGAGAGGGCCCATGGTCCACCAGCCACCACCTCGACAACCCCAAACCATCAAAACAATCCTTAACTAAACAAAACACGGACTTCGCATGGAGTGCTGAGAGTCCTCTTGGGAACGAGGCCAACCTCCATCGTCCCCTCCGATCCTTTCTTTTCTTTCTTTTTTTTTTTTTTTCCCTCCTTTCGTTTTGATCTTAAATTCGCTCCCTTCGATCCATCATGCTTCGAAGTTTGTTGGGGAAATCAAGCAGTCGTTCCGCCACATCCAAATCCAAGTCCGACCGTCATCGCCGTCGCGATCGCGATGAGCGGTCAACCACTTCCTCATCTCGCCACAAGGCGAAAAGCACTCACAATTCTTCCACGCCCTCTTCTTCGGGTCGAAAGTCTGCACGAGCTGACGATCGTGGTCTAGACGTCGATCCCGCACTATCTACATATTCTTCCTCTTCCCGTAGATACCACCCTGAGAGTGCCGCGAGGTCGACGGTTTCAAGTAGTTATGTAACGGCGGATCCTGGAGACCCTGTGGATGATGCATACGATGGCGGAGAGGAGCGACCAGAGTATAAGTATGGCGGCGGCGAGATGGGCGGCCGGCACGAGATTTACCGCGAAGAGAGGTCACTCCGGTCGCATGCGCGGAGGCAAGAGCGGCATGCACGCAATGAAAGTTACGAGCGCTTGCGGAGTAGAGAAAGTGATGGGGAGCGAGAAGAGAGGAGGCGACGCAGGAGAGAACGAGAAGCGTTGGAGAGGATGGATGAACACCCAGTGGAACCGAGACGACACCGGGGCAGAACTGAGAGTGGAGATGGCAGTGAGGAACGGCCACTTTACTCTTCTTCTCGGGCCGCTCCGGATTCGATTGAACCCCATATAGCGGAGTCTTCCTCGCCTAGAGCTGAGACATTCACGACGCCGACTTCCATTCCTGACGCTCACCCTTCAAGTCGACCATCAGACCCAGCGCCTCCGCCGGCAAAATACGGTTTGGCAGCTGAGTATTATAATGACCAGGGCCAGTCAGTTTCTACGCAGCCCGGCGTTAGACCGGAATCACCAGTGCCGCCGATAATCGCCGGAACGCAACCACATTTGATGTCATCTCTCACAACTTCAGCTCCTCCTGTAGAGCCTAGTACAGTTGGTCAAAATGGTGCAGCCTCATCCTTCTACGATACAACTTCAACGCAAGCTAACGAGTCGCATCCTATTATAGACGTAACAGCTCCACCAGGCATGCCACCGAAACCTGAAAGCACTCCATCCACTGTCTCTCAGCCTACCTATGGAATCGACCCTGCTTTGCTGACTGATCACAATCAAGGACAACCACCCGCTCACGGCACGCCTGTTGGTCAAGCCCAAAGCTTTACAAATGGACAGCAACAGCACCAATATACTTCTTTGTCACATCAGGGAATGGCAGCACTTGGAGCAGGCGCCGGAGTTGCAAGCGCTTCTGGCCTTGCGTACAACATAGCCCACAAGCCACATCATTTTGCCCACGCCCAGTACCAACCGGGATCATTTGAATATCATCGTGAACGTCATGGCCCATTACGCCGGTTTATTGATTTCTGGAAAGATCCGGAAGGTGTTGCCCAGTTTGAAGAGTATTCAGAAATCATTGGTGTCTGTAAGTACTGTTTTGAACCGGGCACAACGTCGAAAGATGCTCCGAGAAAACACAACCATCGACGCCGGTATTCATACGAACCTCCATCCAATAGAGCTAGGGTTGATAAGCATAGCCGATATGCATCTTCGGACGATGAAAGTCGCCGAAAACGATCGAACAGGAGATCATGGCTTGCTGGAGCCTTGGCTTCGTACGTTGGAAAATCGCTATATGATAAGACTAGGTCCAGCTTTGGCGGCTCCAGCGCTATGTTGAGGGAGTCACCAAGTTCAACGTCGTTGTCGATTACTCAGAGCATATCATCATCTGAGGCCAAGGGTCGTACATCCCTAGGTGTTGCGAAAAGCTCTGATCGCAGCTATTCTACAAGTCTGCCAGAAGTCACATTTACTGAATTTAGGGGAGGGAATGGTACTTACCGCCTTCCCTCTGAAATCTTCAGCCCTCCAAAATCCCGCGTTTCGAAGCAACGTCGCCAGTCAGCATCAGGCACCTCCTCATCAGAAAGGGGCCCAAGTTCTATCTTGACAGAAGCTGCTCTTGGGACTTCCATTGCTGCCGCCGCTTCTTCATCTTCGGCAGCTGCTCGAAAGACTCGACGTGGTTCCCACAGAAAGTCTCGAAGAAGGCGATACTCAACCTCCAGTTCTTCAGGTTCTCTCGTGGACATATCTCGGCCGTCTGGCAGGTCTGGGCTGGCAGGACTGTCGTATTTCTTTACGGCCCCGTCAGAAAAGCGACCGAAGGAAAAATCCGAAAAGCCGAGAACGAAGAAAAGAGGATTTTTTGGTTTCCGTTCTGTATCTTCGTCTTCATCGGATGATGCCGATCTCGCGTTCGGGACTGGTTTTTACAAGGTACCTTCCCGCAAGTCTAGAACTCGGAGGCAAGATGAAGATTTGGATACGAAGTTGTTTGATTTGGAGTCTACCGCCGTTTCATTAGCTAGCGCGGCGTCTCGCATGAGCGGGCGCCGTCGCTCTGATGTTGCAGCGGGAAAAGCAGCACGCCGCCGTAGCCCAGG